GAGGCTGCGGTGGGAGGACCATGTGAGCCTGGGGAGGCTGATGCTGCAGGGAGCTGTGTTTGTGCCACTGCACTCCAGCCTGGGCAACAGAGATAGATCCTGTCTGCAAATAAAAAGAAAAAAAAAGAGAAGGGGGGAAAAAAGGAGTTTTCCATTACGGGGTTAAGAGGCCTCCAGGGGCTAAGGCCAATGACTGGTTGTTCCCTTACATCAGAAGCCAGAAGGATCACTGACCCAGTCCTATTATATCCATTCTTGGCTGATTGCGGCAAAAATTCTGTGAGGTTGAAGAGAGAGAACTGTTCCCCCAGTTGAAAAACGGAATCTTCTTTACAGAAAATAAAGCTCTGACTCAGAGTATAGGGAGTTGCACAAGCACAAAGTGGTGGCCACCGGTTCGAACCTGGTGGTTGGTCTTCTCATCCTAAACGTCATGCTTCTCTAGGTAACAACGCCACGGCTGGGCACTGGCTACGTGCCCTGTGTTTAGAAAGAATCCCCCACACTTATTTGGAGTTCCCCAACAGATCCTTTCAAGGCTTCTGATGTTCTTTAGGAATAGATTCTTTTGATCTATTTTCTATTGATTCGGATATTGTATTACTCCAGGTAGATATTAAATTGTAAGAGACGCATTGGATTCTTGAATACAAGTGCTGTGATTTCTTCTGATACGATAGATTACAACCCCAAAGGTATAATTTTGCTGCTTGATAGGATAATTAAGGTTTCATAAGTAATTGAGTAATCTTAATTGCAGTATTCTTTTTCTCAGTGATGAGCAATATTCTATATATTTTTAAATGATATCCTGTCATTCTGCTGGTTCTCTCATTCCTGAGTGAAATCTTTGACAGATGCTCACTGTATGTTTGTATGAATTATGTTTTTAACTTTGGAAAACTATCCTTTGGCATCCTCATCATGCCTACAAAAAGGAGACCTTCATGATCAAATCCACCGAGCTGCAGTGGTCAGCCTGGGGTCTGGAGTCCCCTCTCTGTGGGTGATCTGTCAAGAGCTGACCCGGGGAAGGTGGAAACCCCTGGATAGCACAGCTAGGTTTAGCTCTTGGCTGCACCTTTAAAAGCTGTGTCATCTTGGCTAACTTGTAAGATATCTCTCAGTTCCAGTTTCCTCAGCCACAAAATGGAGACAATACTCTGACTTGTTATATAAAAATGAAATAATGAATAATAATAGAAGACGGGTTGCAGATACACATTCTGAGCCAGGCTGCCAGTGTTTGCTTCTTGGCTCTGCTGTTTTCTAGCTGCACAGAGTTTTCTATTTGCACTTGATTTTATTGTGCTTCCATTTCCTCATCTAAACAGTGGGGTTAGACCCTACCTTGTAGGAATACATGTGTCAATATTTAAAAAGCCCTTTGAACTGTAGTTGACTGGTATATTGTAAGCACTTAGTTATCTGTGATGAGGAAAAGAATGATGTTCATAAAACACCCAGTAGAGCACTTAGTGTATCATTTATTTTTTGAGAATAACTCAGAGTCATGGCAAAAGACCTGTTAATACATAAAAACAAAAAGTTTCCAGGAAGTAAAGAAATTTACCCAAGTTCACCGAGCCAGAACCAGAACCCAGGTCTCAGGCCTCCCCGCCCCGATTCTGTCCCCTGTGTAGGACTGCGGAGCTGGAAGCTGAACTCAGAGGACAACCAGCCCGGCCACACAGAGGCTGAGTCTCTTCCTTACAGACTCTTCTCTGTAGCTTTCAGTGATTCCCTGCCCAAGGAAATGTCTTCCCCCTGCTGTTTCTGCTGCTTCTGAATCAGTGCTTTTGTGGGGCCTCAGGGAAGAGTCACAGCCTGAGCAAAACATACCAGCTCAGGGATGGTACCATTTAGTCCCAGGAGCAGAAAAAAAGACCAGGACTGTCCTGCGCCCTCCCCCACCTTCCAGTCCCTGGGGTCCTCGGCTCCACGCTCATGCCTCCAGTCAAAATAGTTAAAGATTTCCATCCTGAGTGATGATGAACAGGGAAAACAAACCCATCCCATACCACATACCCAGATACCAGACATTCCTCAGATGGTTTGCTGTGTAGGTGATTGGCCACAGACTTCTCTAGCTTCTCAGACAGTGGGGATGGAGATGAGGGGTGGGGGACCTGTCCCAGCTGCTCTCCTCAGAGTCTAGAAACAGAACTGGGACCGCTGCTGTCTGCAATAAGTCTGCTGTCTTTTCCCATACCTGTCAAGCCAGATACTGGAATCCAGGTGTTACCAACACCACACTCTGGAGATGCACCAAAAACTACACATTGGTCGAAGACCTACTGTGAGTGTGGCACCAGGTTAGGGGCACACGTGCTCTGTTAACTTGAAAGTGGACAAAATGGGGTTTTCATTGGTCACATTTTTGAAATTGCTTTCATATAGGTGTGAAGGAAAAGGGAACAAAATTTCACCGTGTGGCTAGTACGTGGTCAAATGCTAGCTGGCCTTTTCCCACGTGGCTGCTGTCTGGTGTTAGTTAGGATGCCTTCACCACAAGCCCAACTCTGGCTGGTTCAAATGCGGCCAAACTGTACTGGGAAGGTTAGGGACCGGGAAGCCTGGAAGAATTAGGTTAGACCAACTGATCGACACTGCCACCAAAGAAAGAGTCTTTGACTGGCTTCATTCCACAGTCCTTGGGGGGGGAGGCTGGTCCTGCTTGTGGTCAGAAAGTGGCTTTTCCACTCACCGATAGGGAGGACAGAGCCTGTGGTGGACACTGTGCTCGATTTCCACTGTGCTCGACTTCCCCTCTGCCCTGTGGAGTCCAGCAATATTTTAGGGGACTTAGCTTCAACTCAAGGATAACACCGTTTTCACTGGTCACATTTTGAAGATTGCTTTCATGTAGGTAATAAGGGAACGGGAGCAATTCTTTTAACTAAAAGAATAGATTTTTATTAAGCACTGTACATTTCTTTCTATCCACATTAACAGAACAACTCTTGAGACATTCTCATTCCTTTCTGAAACTATTCCACGAACCCCTGCAGTTTCCCCAAAGAAGCATCCATTCAAACTTCCGTGAATAAACGATGGAGCTTTTGTGGTGAGGAGGGCCAAAGAGGCAGGGAGTTTGGAATCTCCAGATATTCAGTGAACACGCGGTCAAGAGTGTGTTTCCTCTTAACTCCAGCAGACGTCTTCTCGTATCTCCTTGGCCAGAATAAGGTTGTATGCCCGTTCCAGAACTAATCGCCCACAGGGGAAACGGTGTTATCCTTGACATGAGGCTCCCCCAAAACGTTGCTGGACTCCGTACGGCAGAGGGGAAGACATGTTGGGAAGTCAAGTACCATGTCTATTATTTGTCCCCAACAGGCTGGAAAGCCAAGACTTGCTCAGAGCCACGTCTCTCTGACGTTCAAAGCCCATCTGTTCTTTTTACTTCATTGTGCTACCTCATAAGAAAGGGAAGGAAGGACTGGGGAGTTGAATTTCAAGTGCCTTTTGGAAGCCTGGCACTGCAGGAGGAAACTCTGCTTCTTAAAGTACCCTTTTCCCCTCCACCTTCCCCCTTTTTCAGATGGTCTTCACATTCCACTGGCATTCAGACCAGGGGCACTGGTGGGTAGGGATTGGCTCACACCATCCGAGGTCCTTTCAATATTTCAGTAACAACTCCCTTTGGCCAGGCGCAGTGGCTCACGCCTGTAACCAGTACTTTGGGAGGCTGAGATAGGTGGATCACTTGAGGTTAGGAGTTTGAGACCAGCCTGGGCAACATGGCGAAACCCCGTCTCTACTAAAATACAAAAATTAACTGGGTGTGGTGGTGGCCGCCTGTCATCCCAGCAACTTGGGAGGCTGAGGCAGGAATTGCTTGAACCTGGGAGATGGAGTTTGCAACGAGCCAGGATCATACCACTATACTACAGCCTGGGCAACAGAGCAAGACTGCCTCAATAAACAAGCAACTCCCTTTGAGCTGGAGCCTGTCATCTGAATTTTGCTGGACAGTGGGGAGAGTTACCAGGAGAGGGCAGGATATTTAGGATCAAGTTGTGTTTCCTTGCAGCTGTTTTAGGAAGGAAATCCTAGAAAAGTGATTTTTAGAGAAACTATTTTAGTCTCAAGCAATAGTGTTGCCCTGTGGGGTGGCAAGGCCATGGCGGAGGTGGGAGGAGGAAGAAGAACGCTGTGGTGGGTGGGAGCTGTTTGGGAAACAGCTTTTTCAGTCTGTTCCATCTCTAATCAGCCAGAGTCCAAAGCAGCTGACACCAAGCAGGTGGTAAACATGAGTTACAAACTGCATGGTCTGAAGTTTTCACCCAGGCAATCAATCTTTATGAAATATCTCACATGTCCACGGCTTGGCTTCAGGTGCTAGGGAGGCTGCATGGGATCCCTGCCTGCTCCCTAGATGAGGCTGCTGCACAGGCGAAATACTACCTGGTAACACGAGACTGAGTGTGTGACATGCTAAGCTGGGAGGGGAGACAGTAATTGTGATAGAATTTGGGAGCAGTGTTTCTCGAGGTGTGATCTTTGGAACATCTGTCCTTCAAAATATATGGAAATTAAAAACTGCTCCCAGGCCCTCCAGATTGGGGCAGCCCCATCTATTATGAGTATCTTAAAGCCGCTAAGAAGTTTCAAAGAGACTTATTAAATTATTAGCCTATTAACTGGGCGAGGTGGCTCACACCGGTAATTTCAGCACTTTAGGAGGCTGAGGTGGATGGATCAGCCTGACCTGAAGGAGTAACCCATCTCTACTAAAACTACAGAATTAGCCAGGTATGGAGGCACGTGCCTATAATCCCAGCTACTTGAGAGGCTAAGGCAGGAGATTCCCTTGAACCCAGGAGACAGAAGTTATGGTGAGCTGAGATCGCACCATTGTACTCCAGCCTCCGCAACAAGAGCGAAACTGTCTCAAAAAAAAAAAAAAAAAAAAAAAAGACTGTTAACCTATTTAACTTTCATAGCTTGATTTCTGATACTTATTTACGCATGAAACGCCTCCTTTTTCTCTCCAGGAAAGCAGGACTGCTGGATGTATTGGAGTCCCATGGAACCACACTGCCCCCTGTGGTCGGAACCACCTGGGATGCTGAACAGCGAGGACCGCAAACTTGGGTGCAGAGAGCTTTTCTCCAGGCAACCCAGGAAGCTGCGGGACTGGCAGACTTCTCTGTCAGGATCCATGGAATCAGCACATACAGGTGCCTCTAGGGCGCAAACCACAGAAGAGGGCTGCTGTGTGGCGTGCTGGCAGCCAAGCAAAATGCCCCGATCCATCAGGTGAGCTGATGATGAGCTTGCAGGCATGGAGAATGTGGCACTGAGGCAGGGTGGTGGCCAGCCTGAAGGGTTTTCTGTGTCTTCCCAGCTTCCCTGGCCCCTCCTTCCTTTGGAATGCAGCCCTGATTCCAAAGAGTGCAGGCCCTGCCAGATGGCCTCCGTCCCTAGTTGTCCCTCTAGATTGAGGCCTTGCAGGGTCCTCTCCCCACGTCCCTCCTCCCTGCCTGCATGCCTACACCCTCCATGTTCTCTCTGCCCTATTCAGTAGCCCCAGGCTGCTTCCCATCCTTTGAGTATCCACTCCAGCCCACCTCCTCCCCTGACCTACCTTCCTGAGGCTGGAGTCCTGCCAGCCTCCCCCGACACTGGACAGCTTGCATTGCTCTCATTTCTCCTTGCAGGAGACTGGCTTCTCCAGGGTGGTCTGAGATCTTTGGAAGGAAGGACTGTGCCTTGCCTTCTCTTTCTGTCTCCTCTCATGGCCATAGAGTCAGGGAGCTGAGAGGACACTAGCCCGTCTCTCCCCTGCAGCCCTAAGCATCTCTCCCTTCCTGCTTTCCCCGAATGCTTCGCAACACCAAGGTGCTGGGCGCAGGGCATTGAGGGCCTCCCTCTGGGCCCCTTCTCACCCTGGGCTACCCCAGGACTTGTTTGGACCCCATGTGGAACAGGTCAGCCTTCTGATAAGCCCAGAAAGCATTTCTCCAACATTCAGTTATGAGCTTAAGGGAATTAAACTTCTCTTTCTGAAAATAAGCTACAGATTCTCCTGAGAGAGGCCTGAGTATAGGGGAGAACCCCGCAGGTGCCGTGGCAAGGGTCTGAAGCCTCAGCCTGTTCCCATATAAATATTAATTTAGAAAAGAATCAGAAATGTAGGCATGTAGTTATTCCTTTATATAATCACATATAATCTTACAGTTACGTATAATCATAAACATACATACTCAGTGTAACTTTTACTCCTGACTCTCAGGTTATGAGGCAGGGAACTGAGGTGACATTGTGAACAAAGTGATCCTAAGGCACGACGCTCTGAGCCCTCTGTCACGCCCGCATGAAGTCTGCCTGGGCCGTGCGGCAGTGCCAGCGCTGTGAAAGCGCCCGCTGTTTAGCCAGCTAGGGAGGGAGATGTCCAACATGGCCGAGACGTCTCCTTCCTGGGGAAGTTAGGGGAAAACTCCGCTTCTCCAAGCTCTTGTTGCAAGGCCTGACGGCTGTCAGGGACACCACAGACATCCGGGGGCTTGACTGTCTCTGTGACTCTGTGCTTTGGTGGTCACATTCCATGTCTACTCTCATGCCCTGCGTCTGCACCTGGTTTCTCTTTTTCTTAAAAGATAAGAATTAATAATAGTAACATAATCTTAGTGACCCTGATATTTCTGACAAATATGCGAAGAGCGCTGACGCATTAGGTTTTCTCCTCGCCTCGGCTACTTGAGAGTCTTGGGCCCCCTACCTTCAAGACACGTGATTTACCTGACCCTGTTGCTGACCACCATTACGTCACCCTGCCTTCCCTGCCCACTGCTCTGTACTCAAGGTACTCGGGGCCACTGCAGGTCTCCACGCTTTGGTTGGCAGTGGACCCCCGAGCCCAAACTCTCTTTTCTCTATCTCTGTGTCTGTGTCTTTTATTTCTACAGTTTCTGGTCTCTACACCAGCAGGGAGGGGCTCACAAAACCCTATAGGGCTGGACCCTATGCCCAAGTAGGCAGGAGACTCCCAAATATGTCCCAAAGAGCTCAGGCCCTGTTACTGTCCCTCCTAGGTGCCAGCCCACACGGGCGGGCTTTTCTGCCCACCAGTCCCAGGTCAGCCTGGCCTTAGAGAGTCTGGGCTGGGGCTTCTCACCTTGGAGAATTCAGGCAGCAAAACTCCTGCCATTATGCTCTGCGTGGGGTGGAGGGTGTTCACATAAAAACACCTGGTGGAATATCTCAGAGCCACAGAGCCGCCTGTGAACACTGTTATCTTAAACCCAGAATAGAGCTGTGGTCTGAAAGATAAAAGACCCCAAAGCAGGGTTTTGGAGACGCTCGATAGGAATAAAGTGAAGCAAGGCTCTTTGTAACTGCACGTTACAGAACAAGCTCGGTAGCACGGGCTCACTCAGGGGCCTTAGAGTGTCCTCTTCCCCCGCACAGACATGTGCACGCCTGGCCTCGCCTGCAGCCCCCGCCAGCCCCTATGTGCTCTGTCTCTACTCATCCAGGGGCCCCCACCACATCCCAGGCTCTGCCACATGTACAGAGTCCCCTCTGTCCCTAGCTCCCTCTCCCTGTGTCTGCCTAATTTCTATCCCACTGGCCAGGCTCAGACTGAGGTTCTACCTAGGCTGTTAAAAAAAAAAAAAAAAAAAAGAGCTTTGGGAACAAACTGGAATTTCAGTCTCGGCTTTGCCACTCACTAGCTGGGGGATCTTAACATAGTGGTTGGGAGAGTCCAGCTCTGCTGGCTGCATGGCCTTGAGCCTCTCTGTGCCTCAACCGTGCTGTCTGTAAAATGGATAGAAGAGCACCCATGAGTTGTACTGGGTATAGTTGTGAAGATTAACTAACGGAGATAAAGGTGAGTGTCCGGCACGTGGTAGGTGTAGGGGAGGTGTTAGCTATCTCAGTGATGGAACACGGCTCCCCCATCCTACCTCTGGCAGCAGCATCTCCCACCGGGCAGCTCTGGCCCAGCTCAGTCTGCTTCCTGCTCTGGATTTTTTCCCTTGGAACTGAACTCATTCTCCAGTTGCTGTTTTGTTAGTGCATCTCTTGCTTCCATCATGAATGGTCCCTGGACGGAATCTCTCTCCTGATCTCCTGCAGAGTGATTCATCTGGTAACTGGATGTGACGTGCCCTCCCTGACAGAAGGCCCCTCACGGTGCTCCTGGCCGCTCTCCTCTCCGGCATTGCTGGATTGTTCACCTACTTAAACAAGTGCCTCTTCAGAGCCCCAGGTCTATGTAAGTGCAGTCCCTGCGGCCTGGAGTACCACCCCCACCCCTTCTCTGCCTGGGAAATCCTTCCCAGCTTCAGGGCTCCACCCTTTGCTCCCACTGCCCTAGGTCAATGATTGCCCTCTCTGGACTGTGACCTCCTCCAGGAAGTAGGCTCGGGTCCCCAAGGTCCTATACACAGCAGGAGCCGGGGCACTCCTAAGGTAAGGTCTTTGTTGATGGGTCAGTCTGATTGAGCTGTGTGTGCAGAGGATCTGAATTCCTACAGACATGACCACTTCCTGCGTGAGTCTTGGTTTGCCGCTCTGCAAAATGGCCATACCACCTTCCCCACAGCTGCCGAGGGCTGGGCTCCGGGTGTCCAGCAGCACTGAGCTGACACCCAGGAGACTGAGTGAGTCCCCTCACCCCTTCCTGATCTGCTCAGGCTTCCTGCCTTCGTTTTGGGTTGGTCAGCCCCAACCTCATTTTTGTTGTTCTTGTTAAGATATGAAAACCTTCATTATTAAGTGGCTTAGAGATCCTAAATCATCCTTTTAAGTGCAAAAAAACATTCTTATTGGTTGTTAGACACACCGGTGACTCTCTTCGTTGCTATGGTGATTCTCTGACACCCCCTCTTACAGATTAAAAATGCCTCACATTTCTAAGTCTGGCTGTCCCCAACAAACAGCGACTTCTGGCCCAGCAATTCCCACCCCAAAGCAGGAAGGAGGGCCTGGCAGTTTCTCGGGGTTGCAGCTGCGGCCTCAGCTGCCAGAAGTGAATCTGACTTTCCTGTGTCGGGGGGCCTGGGTCATGTGTGGAGATGACCCCAAAGGCACTTCTCTGCTTAGCTGTGCAGTTTTGACAGAGGTAGTATGCAAAGCCAAAAAGCCCCAAGCCACTTGTCCAGGACGCCTGCTCCTTTCAGAGGAAAGTAAGTGTCTTCCTACTCAAGGTCGAGTTCTCCAAATTAACGTTTATGTCAGCAAAACTGCATGAAATTCACTGGCACCCTGTGGCTTCGCATCTGTCTGTCACTCCCACGCATGTGCTCTCTCTCCCTACATCTACCTGTGGTGACTATGGAGCTAGCCCTAAAGGTGGAATTTTACTGTCATCATAAATATGGTCTCTTTCCCCCCTCTTTTCCTCCTTCCTCCCGTTCCCATGAGTCCTCCACACAGGTTCGTTTCTTTAAAGGTTTATTTCTGGCGAATAAAAAAAAATAACTTATGTGGTTAGATAAATTAATGCATATGAATAGACATGACACAAGGCAGACGGATGTTCCTGTTTTCTTCTGGATCTTGCAGGCTGGTGAGAGGCAGCTGAATGGGACCGAGCCTCATGGTTTGTGGGATGAAGAGATGCCGACGTGACTCAGGTACGCTGATGCTCCCTGGAGGGCTGGGAGGTGGGCTCAGAGGAAGGCCGAATCCAAACCTCTTTTATTGAAAAGAAATAACTCTTCTCTGTAGCATTTAAAAAAAATCAATCAGCTGAAGCTCTGCACACACTCATCCGTAATGACCATAAACATAACATACCAAGCACAGGCTCACTCAGAAAGATGGAGCAGTAGACTCAGGACATTTTCAACATGGGACTTGGGGACGCCTTCGGGAGAGATACCTTCCCCAGCAGAGGTTACCTCTGGAGGCCAGCACTGTGCTGAGATGGGACCGGAGCCACTACTAGCTAGCTGTCAAGATCTTTGGCTTTCTGAACTCTGGGGACCACTGCCCTTTAGCCTGAGGTGAACGTCTCCAAATTTCTAGCAGCCAGCCCCTTGGTCAACAGATGGTACCTTTCCTCCAGGAATCTGAGAAGGGAACATACTGATAGTCTGTGCTGGGGTCTTAAGGCCAGAATCCCAGAGGCCTTTCCAGAGCCCCAAACCTCAGAGCTGAGAGAGAAGATTCTGGGGACTACCTGCCAGGGAGGAAACCAAGGCTCCTCAGGGAGAGACCTGCGAGTTCCCCAGGAGCAGACCATGGCTTGCTCACCACTTTTGCCCTGTGTCTGGTTCCTTCATGAGGTTTTGGCCTTGGGATCACTTCGGAGGTGGGGTTTACTCTCTTAGGCTATGGTGAATTTTGGTTATAATTTTTCGATAAACTAGGAAGAGGCTTTAGTTGCCTGTAAATGCATTAAGCCAGAAAGCAAGCAGGTGAGACTCAGGAGCAGCTCAAAAGGTTTTCCCTGATAAAAAAATATGCCGGTGAGGCTACAGGCAGCTCACTTCTTAAGGCCATAGACTGCAGGCCGGGCAGCAATGAGACTGTAGGGCCCGTCAGGAATCCAGGTATCTGCCTACATAGGAGGCCAGGGCCAGAGCTGGCTGGACACTGGCAAAGTTTAAACAAGTGCTATTCATTCAACCAATCATGACCTTAGCATCCCTATCTAAAGACTTCTGAAAGGCAGAACCAAGTAAAATCCAAATTTCCAAATCACTAGGCCATTCTGAAATCAAGTTCCGATTCCCCTCCTGGCCATCAGAAGCAGCGATTTCCGGCTGATAAAAGATTAGCCCAATCATTCAAAGCTCAGTTCGTTGCCCACAAGTAGAGGAGTGTGGAGAGAGACCCATATCAACCCACCTGCTCCCCTTCACACAGAGATACACTTCTGTGCTCCAGACCTGGGATCATGTTTACTGACACCACCCTCTACTTGGATGCTCTGAAAGGTCACGCTCCCGGTTGAACTCATGCCTGTGTTATTTTCCTTTGAAGAACCAGAAGGACACTGCGGTAGTCCCTATTAAATAATGTGCCAGGCTTTGTCCTTCAACCATCTTAGGAAATGAGAAGCCACCAGGCCAGCCACGAGGCCGTTCACACACACATAAACAGGGTGGATGAGGAAGGGGCAGATGAGAAACCGGAACCACACCAGGTGATAACTGAGAAGCAGACTCCCCAAAGCTCCCAGCACTGGACAGCTCCAGAAAGGAGAGTATTTACATAGCTGCTATAGAAATAAACTTTCTTCAGTGGCTGTTCAGAGTTGTAAAGGACAGGCCTTTCCATTTGGTTTGTCTCCAGAGGTTTTTCTGATATCAAATGCAGTAAAGGTTTGAAGCAACTCTGAGGCAGGGTGGAAGAACTCACCGCCTGCTCCTGCCTCAGTCCTGGGATTCCGGGATGTGACGGGGACAGGTGGAAGAGGGAGGGGTAGGCTGGGCCACAGGGGGGGTTCCCAGAGTCCTGTTACAGGAGGCCATTAACACATCGTGACCCTGAGCACTGGGGTCTGAATCCTGAGTACCTCTGGAAGCACCTGTGTCCCTCCTCTCCGGGTCCAGCCAGGGTAGCTGTGAGGTGCTGATCAGCCCTACTCAAAGAGGGCGAGCTGAGGGCGTGTCAGCTTTTCCCCAAGAAGCTCGGGCTCCATCAGCTCCCCTCCTCTTCAGAACTGGTGTCCACACACTCAGTGCCCTACAGACTCACTCGCTTTTCCTTTTCAAAATAAATTCCAGTATGTGCAGCACTTACAAATATCTTACGAATATGGGAAGCTGTCCAAAGTTTAATTATATGTTTTTAAACCATGACATGGGCTAGGGTCGAAAGATCATCAAGCAAGGTGGAAGGGTGACATCTTTGGAGGACCAAAGCAGCAATGTCCCCCCTCGGTGGAACTCTGAAACTACAGCGTGGACGGAGTACGGAGGGTGAGTGCCTTTAACTGTTACCAGTTTTGAAAATCATCCGCTTTTATCTCCCCCACTATGAATTTTTTCAAACATTCTTGCTCCCTGGCACTGACTCTGACCCATAAACCACTCATCTTTCATGCACTGCCTTGGCTAACAGCTCAGATTAAGGGTAAATTCAAGGTCCTCAGGTGCCCTTCCCATGGGAGGGCTCTGAAAAGAAAAGGGGAAAGAAAAGAGGGGCAAAATACGGAATTGTGGGAGTGTGGCATCCAGATGGACTCTGAAAAAATCTTGTATCTTCACTTATGTGATAATAAGTAAAACTAGCTTGTTAAAGGTTCACATTGATTTTAGGATGCACTTAGATTTTATAGATATTAAGACTGAGGGAAAAAAGGTGTCTTGGGTTGGAGGACAGGAGACAGGTTTGTAAGCAGCTGTCTTCTCATCTGGACTTGTGACCATTCTGAAGGCATAAAACCAGTGTGGGACCTAAAGATGAGTCACTGAGGAAGCTCTTATTTAGCAGAGTCCCCACCCTGGACACCGGGAAGGGGCGTTGCGCTGACTGTCAACTAGGAGACGTGGGTTTGTGTAGATGAATCTGTACGGACTGAAAGAGCCTCTGCAGAGTACGGAGCCCACATACTTCATTACAGTCCCTGCTTGCCATGCCCTGACGGCCTCCCACAACTCTGCCCTTTGGACTATGGAGGAAAAAAATAATCGTTCAGTTCTCTGGGCCACAAGATAAACATCGGCCTAGGTTGTACAAGGAGCTTACACACAGAGGCAAGAAAGCGTGCAAATGGGAGCAGGAATTTTTTGCCCCCTGGGTGAGCCAGTGCTCAAGACATGGAAGGAGGACCTGAGTCACCCTCCCAGAGTCCACATGGGCTTATGTTTCTGGCTTTTATTAACCATGCCCAACTCCAGCTTCCGTCTCCTCCTGAGAGGAAGAAGAATATTCTATGACATCAGTGATTGCCTCTGAGATTATGGTATCACAGAGGTCCAGAGCAGGCCTAAGAGAAGGACCAACAAAAGCCACGGTATCTGAGAATGACGTAATACTGACTCTTCATTGGTAACAGTCCACGAAACGTGCACCCCTCTCTCCTGAGACACAGTGAGGCATGAGGGGACGCGGCGGAGGAGCTGTGGGTAGGACATTGTACCGTGTGACATCATGATCATGCAGCTGGTGCCGATGGGACAGAAGTGAGAACAAGCACGCAGGGCCCCAGGTTCGCCCCGGGGGAAGGTGGGCCGTTTCCAGGTAAGTGCCCAGCGTCTCAAGAGCACTGTCTGTCCAGTTCAGGCAGGGCCATCCCCTGGGGCTCACTGCCTCGGCTGGCACCCTAGCCCTCATCTTCCCTCAGCTCAGTAGGTAGAAACTTATACTGCTGCTGGCGGATCTGGGCGAGTTTTTTCCTTGCTTCTTCCAGCTCTCGCTCTTTCCTTAGCATTTCTTCCTGGGCAGCGATGATCTAGAAAGAAAGCAATATGCTGGATGGACCTAGAGATGGCCCTAATGCTTTCTAGAAAACCCTCCCACCCCACTGCTCATGGGAGTGACCAAGGCTCCTGCAACCGTGGGGCACAGCAGGACATCAGGAACAGCATTCTTAGTTCTGGAGACCAGCCTCTGTCACTGTTTGGGTTTTGAGACTAATGACCCAGCTGAGACATGACAACAAGCCTGTGATTTAACAGCAAACATCTACTGCAGTCCTACTATGTCCCAGGCTCTGGTATGAACCCTCTACATGGACAGTCCTTTCACTGAAGTGGCTGCCCTGTGAAGCATGCCCTGTTGTCAGTCTGGTCTTTCCAGTAAGAAATCTGAAGCTGAGAGATGGAGGTCCACTTCTCTGGAATCTCCCAGCTAGTGGAGGCGGACCTGGTCCACGTATGGGAAAGCTCCAGCCCAGCCCTGACCCACCAGATGGCCCTCAAATGCTTATCTCATGCTTTGAAGGTGTGACCTGAGGAAGACTTGTGTATGGGTATTGTGTGAAAAGGGTAAGCTGTGTTCAAAAACGCCAAGCCAGTTCCTCTTCTGGCTTTTCAGAGCCTTTACAAGGGCGGGGTTATTGAGTGCAGTCCTCTCGAGCCTTATTTGCTCAGAGACCCTTCATTGTGAAACTTCTCATGGCATTAGTGCACGGAGAAATGCATTCTTGTAAAAATACATGCAGTGCACAGCCACACACAGGGTGTGGTTCAGGAAGAGCTAAGGCATATGAGGAATGAGTGACTTCAGCACTCCTGGAATGGAAAAATACAACAGTCCCCTACAATGGATTTACAAGATGGACACATCAGGAAGTTCAAGCCTGACTTCCTGGACCTTTCTCCTTATTCCCATGTATGAGAATGTAATCCTGCCTCAGTCTGAATCCTACCTGCTCGTATAAAAGCTCTGGTAGAATAATATTACTGTCCTCCACTATGGAATCCTTGATTTTTATCTGGCCAATAGTACTCAAAACAGAATACTACATTGCCCAGCCTCCCATGCAGCTGGGTTGGCCACGTGACTAAGTGCTGACCAATGGTATGTGAGACGAAGTCATGCCTGCAGCTTAGGGTCATGTCCTCCCTCCTTTCCCTCTTCCTGCCAGATAGAAAGCTGAAGGGGGCTACTGGGCCCATGTGGACCAAGTGGCCAAGAGGTACATCTCCGGGGTGGTAAAAGAGCAAGGCAGATGGATCTGGCCCTCAGAGAGGAAGGAAACACCATACCACCTCTGCTACACAAGGAAGAAAGAAACTTTCATTGTGAAGTCACTGTGCTTTTCTCGCTGTTAGGACCCAACAATGGTCTCGGGAAGTGAACACTGTTCTTGATTCAGTCACCAACCTGAGCAATGCCACCCACGAACTTGGTTTTCACTACAATGTCGTCATCATCAGCTTTGCCAAAGGCTGCCTTCTGGGCTGCACGGACAAGATTGTCTGAGGCTCTTTTCACAGCATTTCCTGCCGCCTGGAGAGTGAACAAAACACACATTATCTCATTAGCAACAGCCATTTGGGCCTGGCAAGGACAGACATGAAGGTACAGTTTGTGAGACCGCAAGTCAATTTGTTATCCAGTTATAACACCAAGTTCTCTAGCCAGCAAGTACCCATCTGTCTGTCCGTCCATCCATGGATTCTACCAACACTGGCACCTACCTAATCGCTCAGAAAGTGCCTGGCTCCCAGGGAACATGCATTTTTGAGAAGAATTATAATTATGTAAATATTTAGTAAATGATCCCAGCAATGTGATACATGTGTTAACAGAAGCCTGCCTGAGTTCTGCCTACTGGCTCTGGAAAACCACCTCCCCGGCCTCCATCTGATTAAGCACACGCTTGAGGACTTGGCTCAGACATCACTTTCACCTGCCTCAGCTCTACCACCCCCTACCCCTCTGGGTGCCTGGACTGCGCTGTGCCAGCTTATTTGCACAATTGAGGCTGGCTGTCCCCTCCTGGACACTCAGCAATTTCAGAGCAGGGGCAGTGACTGGAATCCCTGCATCCGTGGGAGTGGCACTGTGGCTATCCACGGTTGGTGCTCACGGAGGCTTTTTGAAGGAATGAAGGGCTAACCGTGTGGAAGGGCTGGGGGCTTCACAGTAACTAGGGCTTTTTGCATTTACTTTTAGGGTCTGAGCTGGGCTTTCCACCACAGGCTCTAAAATGGAGCAATCAACCACTAGAGATAGACAGACAGGTATAGAAGAGCCTTTCGGTCTTCCTTTCATCTTCCTTAAGGGCTGTTTCCTGTATTGGCTTATTCTTAATGCTCATGAAGTGTGTCCTCAGGGATGTGGTTCTCTGCCACAATTTTCTTCTCAAGGTGGTTAAGGCTTTCTTAAACCTCTTGTATTTTTGTCCAGCCCCGACTAGGAGTCTAAGGCTTGTGCTTGAGGGTTTGCCAACAAAGTTGCTGGGAGTTCTTTAACTGCCCCATCTGGTCTGTAAGCTCAAGTGACCAGTGCAAACTATGAAGGCTTGCACAGGATGGGGAGGGAACCAATACTTGACAAGTAATCACAGTGTGCTTAGTCGCTAAAGGGTTTATGAGGTCGAAATCTTTAGCCCACTTTTCTGATGTGAAACCGAGGTTAAGAACCCTGTCCAAGATTTTGCTGCCGGCAAGTTTTACAGCTGAAATCTGCACAAAGGTCCATCTAGCCCCAGCGAGCTCCTGAGACATTTATAAGGCGCTCAAATACGACATTGCAACATCCAGTGAAACCGGTAAAGATGGGAACAAGAGTGACACTGCATTCCATCTGTGTAAAGCCTTAGGACCTCAACAAAGCACTTACATATCCATTCTCCTATTCAACCCTTTAAGAGTCAGCATGGATATCTCTATCCCCATTTTACAGATAAAGCCACTAAGACCTGAAAAGTTTTGAGTGATTTATAGTAGATGAGGCACCTAATAAATGGCAGAAGCAGAACTTGAACCCAGGTGTCTCTTAACTCTGAAGTTTTCCTCAGAAGTGTCTCCCAGACCCAGAAATCACATATTCACAAACATACAGCTCCCCAGTTGTTCTCTGGGTTTATCCCAGGCATCGTATAAAGATGAGGGCAGTGGGTCAGAGAGGGACGGGTGAGGGCCAAACACCAGAAACGCACTTCAGGCCTTTCACAATAAAACAGGAGTTCTGAGCTTTGGAAGAACTGTTCCAACATTTCTGCCATTTATGATTTGCTTCATGACTGATGTGAACGTACTTTTAGCAATATAGACAATCTGCATTTTAACACTTATAAAAAAATTTCAAAAACTGGAAACAAAATGTCCAAAGTATAGGGAAATTCTGGCATAATCAGTTGAGGTAATATCATGCAATCATTAAAAATAAGTCTCATGACAAACGAGCCAGCTAGCTTTGCATAGAGAAGTTAATGAAGCCTTACCTTCAAGGAAAAGCTACATATAATAAAATGTTACGTGAAAGAAAGCAGAATGTATCTGGCCATGATTACAAGCGGACAAAATTATTTTGTATGTAGATAAAAACGGAAACAATGCTAACACTTGATATATGAAGATGTTGGGGCCATGCCATTTTTCTCATTTAAGCATTTCTTTTACTGTGTTTAAAATGTTTTTATAATTAAAACAATCAGGACAATGTATCAGCTCTGGGATGGACCTGACTGTCATCTTTGTAACATGTTCTCTGGGTCAGCACCAGTCTCATATAACCGCAGCTTTTCTGCTCTTTTCTGTAGCAGACACTGACTGAAGGCCTCCTCTGAAGCAGGCCCAGATGAAGGCATGGGAACCAAACCTAGGCGACTCACAGCTTGCTCAGAGACCAACCTGCGCTGGTGAGTCCTGAGTGGTCTGGTGAGGGGCTGTCAAAGGACAGAGTGGGGGGTAAACTGCCCAAACTCTGGGAGTCAAGGAGGGCTTCCCAGAACAGGGGACTTTCAATTTGAGTCACAAAGGACAAGTAGGGGTCTGCTAGATTGGGCTGGTGGGGGAGCAGGGCCCCAGGGCATGAGAACGGAAGGCACACGAAGAGAATGGCAGCTCGGTGGGGCAGCAGTAGCGGATGCATGGACGCACGCAGTAGAGGATGAGGCTGGAACATGGATAGAACTGGCTGATGAAAGGCCTGGTGGGTCATGCCAAGGAAGTGAGGTTTGTCTCCTTTGGTGATACTTACCCGCTCCAACAGGAGTATTTTCCCACCAGCATCAGTGACCATTACCTGTAGCCGCCTCATGGCCTCTGAATCCTGGTCGGCCTTCACCTTGCAGGCCACCAGCAGCTGAGCCGTGGAAGCGGCGACCTGCTTGGCAGATGAGATGAGCTTCTCCTCGCTGGCATGTCCCTGAACGGAGGCATTGGCCGCTTCACAGAGACTGCTGGTTGCAGCTGCCACCATCCGGGCCTGGGGACAGTCAACAGAGAAGTGACCCAAAGCCCAAATCTCCCTCAGGGGACCCAAAAAGCAAACTGGAAGGAGAAGGCAACTCACAGCAGAAATCAGCCCCTGTGACCACTGTCCGTCGTCTGCAGCGTTGGCAGGGATGGAGCCCACCTGGAGAGCAGGGAGGTGAAATCGTCCGTGAGGGCAGGCAGCCCCAGTGGCCAGCAGCCCTTCCTCCCACACCTTGCACCTCCCTTGGTGCCTCCCGCCACCAGCACAGGCCTGAGAACGGAGCAACCTTTCTCACGTGGGACTCAGGCCATGCCAAGACTGCACAGGCCATCCTGGCAGGATTCACCACCAAGAGGCAATGGGAAATGCTAAGACTGACCCCATTTAGCTGTGGGGTACTGCGTTTCTAGGAAACGGCTCAGAAATGATGGCCTGTGGCTGTCTTTCTAGACTGACTCCCCCGCTGAGCTTTCTCCCGGAGCTACTACGGGCACCTCCCTCTGCTTCAATTGAGAGCAGACCCTTGTCTTAAGGAAATACAGACCATTTTGTCAGGGGTGGAAGAGAGATAAGAGGCTGGAAGAAACATGGATATCTGTTTCTATTTAGAAATGAGGGCAACAAGTAGGACATTTTCTGTCCAGATCTAGAGGGAGAAGCAACAGGAGGAAATTACCTTTACGCTTTGGGACGTGCCTTGTGAGGTCAGAGAGAGTATCTCAATTTGAATGTGAAATTGGGATGTGTCAGCAATGACAGGCACCATATCAGGGCTTGCCGAATGTCCAGTAAAACTCCAAGGTCCTGCCTATAATCGCATAGTTCACCCAAGTCCGGTTGAACCTCCTTCACCAACTTTTGAAATGCCTGAACATGTGAGCTCCCTGGAGGACAGATAGGGCCTCTGCCACAGCCAAGTTAGACTCTCTAGTAAGCAGTATGTCGGACACATAGCCCTTTGTCAATGTTGAAATGACCAGGGTTTTTTAAGACCGGATGTTCTGTTCAATGACATATCTGTGGTCTTTACATGTTGACCAGCCAGCAAGAACTTGCTGAGTACGGACGAGATGGGCAAGGTCTGCATTCTGCTGCCTCGACAGGGGCTCAACAGGAAGAATGGGGAGAACGGCTTCTGTGCCAGGTGGGGAGATGGACATGGACCCATAACATACAACACAATGGTTTAGAAGGAGACGTCAAGGTATGTGGACTAGACTAAGACGTTGCTAAGCTCACAGGAGACTTCCTGGAACCTACGATCAGGCACAACCTTCCTGTCTACACTGCGAGTTCTTGGGCCAAAACACAGCTCGCACCCACCTAACTGTAGGCTGCAAAGACCTTTTCATATCAAACAGAAGTGACTGATAACCACGGCGACCAAATTTCCCGAACCCACAACCTGTCGGGTTTCTGTGCGGCCTCTCCACTTGGGAGGCCCTGTGAAAGCCAAAGTGGATAGGAAGGCTCCATGTGTCTGGTTATTTCCAGACACATGGAACATTTTAAATCGGAAGACTGTTCCATACCCAGCATTACTAATGTACTAAAAATCCTCCAAATCCCTGAAAAACACTATACTTTCACGCTAAAGTAGACAGAATGGGTGACTAGAGATAAAGGTGAAGAAGTTTCAGATTTAAAATCCGACTGGTCCTTTCACGAGCAGACTTAGGGAAGTGCTAACTGCAAAGCTGGATGGCATTCAGCTCGACAGTCCTCTCGGAGCCCTTGGGAGCTGGCAAGTGGTATCATGAAGCTGCCCCCCAGGAAAATATCACAGTTTACATCTTAACACCGCTTAATGTACAGTGGGAATATAAATGTCTCATTCAGACCCCAATCACTGCCTGGAATGGGAAGCTTTCCTTAACAAGAAGCAGATGAGAGGCCCAGAAGCCAAACCTCTTATTCCGTTGGTCTGAATTCTGTAGTTTTCAGTCGCTGAGCACAGAGAATGGCAACTGAGGGAGGGAAGGTAACGCATGTGTTTTTCTCGGACAGGACACAGGCTTGCAGCTCTTTTCCTGGGCCCTAAGAGGCTCTCCTTATGTGAGTGTTCCACACATGGTCAGCGGCTTTACCCACCTTTCCTTGGGCCACCAGCTCCCTCTGGGCTGCCGAGGCCGATTTGACCAGGGCGCTTGTGGCAGCAGCAATGGATTTCGCAGCTTCCAAGATCTGTTCCTCAAAGTCCAGGGTCTCATCCGCTTGCTATAACCAAAAGAAAACAGCATCACATGCAATTCACATCGACAAAGGGCTCTTTCTTCTAATCTACTTACTGCCGGGTAACCTGGCTCTTCACCTGCCTATTGTTTTTTGTTGACAAACCACACCTGAAATGGGACAGTTCTTAACAAGCAGCAGAAGCGAGGTCCCCTGTCCCAACTTGCGCCACCCTCAGGTCACAATGTTGAAGATGTGGCTGGTACCTTTCAGGCATTAAGAGTTAATGGCCAGGCACAGCAACATATTTCTTTGTGAGACAATACATATCACACACATTTTATCCTTTGACCTAATTTTAAGAGTACTGTTTGGTGGCATTAGTACTAATACACTAACCCTGTTGTAGAACAGCAACACGAGGATACAAAGGCCAGGATGCCTCTCCACCTGCAGCCCCTCCCCGCACACCAGAAGGAAAAAGCCGTTAGCTTGACATCCCACAGCAATATGAAATCAGCAAATTCAAAGACAGACTCATTTTCTGAAACAGAATCTTTAAAGATATACATTCACTGTGAATAAAGTATACTCAAATGGTTTTAGCAACATCAGTGACCAACATTGAAATGATACATCAAAATCAAAAAAGGAGATCACGGCACTCACGCACTCACTCCCTTCGAGAGCCTAAGCCTCAAAAATGAACCAAAATAAAAGGAAAGATGGCTATCAGTTCTGCCAAAGTCTTCTTTTTCCTGGGTTAAAAACAAAGCAAAACAGCACTGGCATTTCCTGAGCAACTGGCTGAGCAACAAGAGAGTTAGAGACCAACCGCAGATTGCCCAGTGGTGAAAAGGAAACCAGGGCAACACAGCATCAAGGCGCAGCTTGTTCTGCCCCCTGGACACCTGAGGCACAGCTCCACCTTGGGAAGAACGCTGGGCACCATTGCGTAGGTGTTATCAGACCATTAGGGCTCTGGTCTAAATTCACCACCATCTCCTTTGCTGCTAAAACAACTCAGGAAGTTGAAGAGAAGCTTTGGGGAAGTGGGACAAGTATCTGTGGTCCCATGCTGCACGGGTTGGAGCATCACCGTTTTGTGGGAGGTGGTCAGATTAGACCTCCAAGGTCCCCTGCACAATAACATTCCATGACTCAGTCAATCTAGTTAAGTTGCCCTCAGGTCACACAGTGTTGACGATGTGGCTGGTACCTTTCAGGCATTGAGACATGATGGCCAGGCCTGGCAATACTTTTGTCTGTTTGGTAAAATATATGTAACACAAAACTTACCCTTTTATTCAATTTCAAGTGTACAATTCAGTGGCATTACAGATATACCAAGTATTGTGTTAGGCACTTCTACATACACTGACTTAATTCTCCTCAAAAAAGAAAAATGATCCTATATTGGAATTATTTTTATCCTTATTATTATTTTTTTGAGATGGACTTTCACTCTTGTTGCCCAGGCTTACAGTGCAATGGTGCGATCTCAGCTCACCACAACCTCCACCTCCCGGGTTCAAGCGATTCTCCTGCCTCAGCCTCCTGAGTAGCTGGGATTACAGGGACGCGCCACCATACCCAGCTAATTTTTTGTATTTTTAGTAGAGACGGGGTTTCACCCTGTTGACCAGGATGGTCTCGATCTCTTGACCTCGTGATCCACCCGCCTTGGCCTCCCAAAGTGAAGATCCTCTTTAGCTGAGATGTTACTGACCTGACCAGGGTGAGTCAGATCTGTCCCTGTGGTTTACAGAGGGTACAATGGAATCCTCACTTCTGGGTTTTCCATTCCTTCAACAATTGAATCATGTCAAGACCCGCTAAAATAATCTTTTAAAGATCATGACTAATCCCGTGCACGTGGCTATTTATACTTCTTGGTAACCACTGGCCTCAAACTAAAGCAAGGAACTTAATACTTTCATTAAACAGGATAAACTGACGGTCTTCAGCCATAAGAAAGAATGAGATCCTGCCATTTGTCAGCACATGGATGGAACTGCAGGTCATTACGGTGAGTGAAATCAGCCAGGCACAGAAAGACAAACGTCGCATATTCCCACTTATTTGTGGGATCTAAAAATCAAAACAATTGAACTCATGGAAATAGAAGAAGGATGGTTCCCAGAGGCTGGGGAGGGCAGTGAGGGGTTGAGGGGAAGGGGAGGTGGGGAGGGTTCATGGGTACAAAAGACTAGAATGAGTAAGACCTACTATTTGACAGCAAAACAGGGTGAGTATGGTCGAAAACTTAATTGTACATTGAAAAATAACTAGAATACCGTAATTGGCTTGTTTGTAACACGAAGGGTAAATGCTTGAGGGGATGGATACTCCCGTCTCCATGATGTGATTACATCACATTGCATGCCTGATACAGTCTGGCTGTGTCCCCACATCAATCTCATCTTGAATTGTAGCTCCCACAATCCCCACCAGTCATGGGAGGGCCCTGGTGGGAAGTAACTGAATCATGGGGGCAGATCTTTCCTGTGCTGTTCTCATGAGAGTGAATAAATCTCATGAGATCTGTTGGGAGTTCCCCTACACAAGCCCTTTCGCCTGCTGCCATGTAAGACATATCTTGCTTCCCCTCACTCTGCGCCATGATTGTGAGGCCTCCCTGCCATGTGGCACCGTGAGTCAATTAAACCTTTCCTTTGTGTATCACCCAGTCCTGCAGCGTGAGAACAAGCTAATACAATGCCTGTATTGAAACATCTCATGTACTCATGTATCCCATAAATATATATACCTACTATGTAACTTCAAAAACTAAACATAAAAAAACTTGTAAAAGAAAAATAAATGGATAGCCCTTGCCGCAGAATCACCTGGGGATCTGGTTAAAGATGCAGATGCTGTTTTGGTAGGTCTGGGGTTAGAGCCAGAAATCTGTATTTCTTACAGACGTGGTTACATGCTACTCTGGACTCAGGAAAACAAACACGTACCTGTTAACTTAATCCTACCAGCCTGTGATGCTCTCCAAGGCAAGACTGTGTCTCTCTAGCACAAACTTGGGCAAGAGGAGCCCACATGATGATCAACATTTGCTGACTGAATATATCCATTCGAAATGAGTTTCCCAAGTTTGGCCACCGCACAAAGTGGGAGAGAGAGAGATGCAGAGTAAGCATCCATATCATCAACATCCACTCCTGACCCACGGTGGACAGGTGCACACACAGCTATGCCCAGGTTCCTGCTCTGTTTAAGGCCGTGGGTTGTCAACTGTACACTCTACTTGTATCCCTCATCTAGCATTCACAGTTTGAGACATTTAGTCATGCATGGACATACAAATGTAAACACGGCGGCATTTTACCAAGAGGCGCTCTTAATAACACAGCAACGGGGGAATGAGTGAGCAGATGTACAAACTAACCATCTACTCTGCCTAATGAAGGTGGCTGCTGCTACCTCTGCGTGCTGAACCTAACTTCTTTGATACAATATTCTTTTCCCCCTTTCCCTCCACTTCAAAAGGCTATTGGCCAGGTGCCCAGCAGCTTTTAGCGATCGTTTTTCTTGGGCTTTCTAGCCTACTCATGTTGATGATAGATTTATCCTCACCTGGGTTTTTTGGTAGCTTCTAGAAAAGTCTGAGCACCCTGTAGTTGACCCCTTCCCTGCATGCTGACATTCCTGCTCACCCTTTAAAAAGTCAGTGGCCTAGTGAGATTTCTCTGGGGAAAGGGATCATATTGGATTGGCTCCCTTCCCGTTTCTCACTTGGGAGAGTATTCGAGACTCCTGTATGTATGCTCTGATGGGTTTAAAGTTTCAGGAGCTATATTTCCCCTGGAAGAGGAAATGGTGGGGTTGGGGGAAGTGGTGTGGAAAGGGGAGAAGGAAAAGGGGCGACCTTTCCTTATTTTCATTTTGGTATTTGGCCTTTCCCGGGTTCTGAGAACATGGTCTTTGCACTAATTCATTCCTTCGAAGCCTATTTCCCCTCCTAACCTGTCTGATGGGGTCTTTACAAGTACATGGTCAGTATATGTAAAGCATGGCTGACTCACAGGAGATACTCAAAAACTATGAACAATTAATTAAAAACTGTGAGCACAGCTGGGTACCAGCTTCTCTTTCAGCACCGACCAGGAGTGAGTGGGACAATCTGGGCTGTAGTTGCTTCTCTGTGATTTGACCATGTGACTGTGGGGTCTTCACTGCCCTTCTCCAGATATCAGTTAGACTAGACGTGGACAGTTCCAAATTAAACTTCCCTTCGAAGGCGGTGACTACAATGAGCAGGAACTACCACTTCTCTTCTGACCTCTCCTGGCCTCAATATCGTTACCAACACCCCACCCGACATCCTTACCCGCTTCCCCTGCCCACTGTCCCTGTTGGGTCCTGGGCAAGTGTTGGGCAAGGGAGAGAATGTCCTCCCATTGTCTCTTTCTTGGCCTTTTCTTTACACCCTGCAATCCCCCAGCTGCTTCCCCCAATGAACTTGAAAGTGAAGGAGCATAAGGCACCCATAGGAGATGGCTAAAGGGCTTGCCTCCATCCCTGAAAACTCCCTTTGAGGGAATGCCTTATTGAGAGCTAAAAACAAAACACAATGGCTACCCTTCCCACAGCTGGCTCCACAAACTCAAGAACCACCCCTGCTATCACCTCTCCAGTGGGGGCTCATGCTTTGCTCGCTGTTACTCAGTCTTGCAGAATGCTTGCTACTAAAAATCAGGTCAGAGCGCATCAGAAACTTTTTTTAAAATCCTCTTGGATATATATATGTTTTAAGTGTGAACATTTTGCATTTAATTTAAATGTCCCCGAGGGAAAGGAGGAGGCCAATGCCTAGAACTCCCGCAACAGGAGTGGGTTCCTGCCAGTTGGAAGTCGGAGTGGAGCAGGCTGCCACATTTCTCTTTTTTCTTGTTGCAAATTTGGCTGCCACTAGTTTGCTTCTGGTATTGAACCGAGAGGTGCCTTGAGGGAGGCCTTAGCCTGAATCCAAAGACCCAAACTCTACAAATGTTAGATCAGTTTCTCTTCGGGAGGACCCATGGATGGGGTGGCTTCAGGACTGCCACCTGTACTAGTTCTAACTAAAGGTAAACCTCCCAGAACAACTGGAACTGCCAAGAGCCAGACACAGACAGCTGGCCTTGTCTCAGGGAAAGCTCTGGAGACACCTTAAACAGGCGACATGAGTGACTGGGAAAGAAACTGCCAAATGGCTGTGCCTGTGACCAGGGAAGGACCGCACCCTCTGCATCCGCAGAATGAATGCCAGTTCACGCAGCGTCCATTGGAAAAGGTCACGCTTGCATGATTAGTATCTTGGGAGTAGTTTTCCCATAGTATCCATTGCTGTATTTTTGTTTTCAAAAGGAAAAGCAAGGCCACTGAAATAATCTTTTAATTACTAGTTCTGTTTGATTAAAAAAATTGAAGATTTTGTCATGCTCTCCGTAAAAAAGGAAAAGGGGCCCTTGAATGTCTATATAGAAAGCACAGACAAAAGATAACAGAGTTCTTCCCAAGATTTATCAGATACACTCCCTACATCTTAAGTTCCCTTTATATGTCTATGATGGGTCTGAAACGGGCCTACTGGTCTATCCTCGAGGGGCATCTCCTGGGTACGTGTACTGGTGAGGTCTCTCATACTTGCTTTTCTTATTTATTTATGTTTTTAAGACAGTCTCACTCTGTCACCCAGGCTGGAGTGGAGTGGTGCGATCTCAGCTTACAGCAACCTTTGCCTCCCAGGTTCAAGTGATCCTCCTGCCTCAGCCTCCCAAGTACCTGGGGCTACAGATGCGTGCCACCACGCCGGATACTTTTTTTTTTTTTTTGAATTTTTAGTAGAGATGGGGTTTCACCAGGTTGGTCAGGCTAGTCTTGAACTCTTGACCTCAAATGATCCGCCTACCTCAGCCTCCCAAAGTGCTGGGATTACAGGCGTGAGCCACCACACCCAGCCCCAAACTTGCTTTTCACACTCTGTATGCTCCTGGTCTGGAACCAACAGGTGTCACTCAAAGCCCACGTGCAGTCACATAAAAGATGCTGTATTTGTCCTCCCTGAACAATTGGTTCCTTTTTGCTTCACCATATTAATCAACACAGAAGACATGCGGTCAGTGACAAAGTCACCCAAAGAAACAAAAAAAAAATCACATCAATTCAAACCAATGGGCTTCGTCTGCAGGTCCTTCTGGAACCATGTTTTTCTTTGTTCATGATAACTTGCTGTCTCTTTCCACGGCCATCTGCCATTTCAGTCAAACAATGTCAACTGTTTGACTGAAATGGCAGATGGCCGTGGAAAAGAGACAGCAAGTTATCATGAACTCAAAACCAAAACCAGTGTTCTCGAGCTGTGTGGAGGAGGGACCGATTGGGGCAGCATCTTGAAACCCGCCTGACAGGACACCTGCCGACACATACAGATCGCTTCTCAATGGAGAAGGATTCCAGAGACAGGTTCCACCCTGTAACTCTGGGGCTGCAACATCACAGGACCCTCTCCGGTGTCATCGCCTCTCTCGGCTGTTGCTGTTGGCAACCCTGTCACTATGCATTCCCCTGTAAGCAATGTGGCAATGACTTCTAGAGTCAGAGGAAGCTGTCATGACTGACTAAAGCATTTGCTCACACCTTTCTCCTCTAAAACGCTAGGCTATGAGCACAGGACTCTTTCCAGAAAGCAGTGCTCACAATCGTTTGTTGAGAGAACTCAGAATGAACTCACACATACTTCACAGGCTCTTCTATTATGAAGAGGTCAAAACCAACCGAAGGCTGTTATGTACCAGAAAAAAATGTTTTCTATATCATAATCCCAAACTTCCTGCCATAGTCAATTAGGCGAGTTATTTTCTGATTGTTGGCTTATTCTAAATATTACCAACCTCCACTGACAAGTTAACCTAAACAGGAAATTTCAAGAGTTCAGTCAACATCGTATTATCTTCATGAGATATATTTAGTCCCATCCAAGGTTTGTATAAAGCCCACTGACTCAGTATCCATGCAGTTGATAAGGCGGATTTGGTTTATACATTGTTACTGTGAGTAGAAAGGAAAGTCACAGAAAATTGATTCGTGCTCCTTGAATTTTTGCTGAAACCCTGATATGAACTTCTATAAATTGAAGATCAGGATAAAAATGAACCAAAATGAAATATAAATCTAGCCCATTATTCTATGTCACAGACATGAGTTGGAACCGTTTTTCCACCGAGCATATTGAATTCCTTAAGGATTCATCACAAGCCGCACAAAATATCCCAGGCTCTTAGGAAACATCAATCATTATTCGTTTCTGTAATAAGCCAATAATCTAGTAATACTGGTACAGGTCTCAAACGCTACAAGAAGAAATGGAATGTAACATGAATTGTAATGAGAGCTCCGTCTTCTAAATCTATTTGTGATTTTAACGTGTTCTTTCCTGTTGCCTTATAAACTTTATTAGGAACCCCCGGAGACAGGGCAAGACACTGTAGGAATATGTTTGATATATAGTTGGATTAAATAACAACCTAATATATCAAACATATCACACAGAGGCCTGCAGCAAAGGCATCCAGGTTTGACTGAGCTCGAGACTAGGCACTGTATTGAAGGTTACGGCTGCAGGGGGTGATCACTTTTGCAGCAACTCCGATACCTGTCTTTGGAGCACAGGTCTGCCCGCAGGTGTGGAAACGGCGCCATTAACAATACTGTCAGCACATGCACCAGAGCTCACTGACATTCTCATTTCCCCACGTGAGCCGCTGATTCAACCGTGCATGTCTGGGAGACTCCAGGCAAAAAGTGATGCTTAAGTTTTAGGAGCCTGAGGTGGAAATACACCAGAATCATCATGATAGATCATGAGCCATTCTCTTTTAAAAACAGGCAACCTGAGAATGTGGTGAGCAGAGCATTTTAAACAAAATTACTGTCCCTCCCCAAACTCTTCTTGAAAGCCGTACGAATACTCCCCAGAAGGGAGACATATTCATTTTACACCGATGGCTTGTGCGTACAAGGGTAGGATTATAGGGATGTCACAGCAATTGTTTACTTATAGTACCCTGAGGATTTTTTTAAGGTTTCGGGAGAGAAGGGATTAACCTCTAAAGACTGGCTGATTTTGGTGTCAGATTGTTCTTACTGTTTTTTAATTGGGGAAATAAATTCCTTTATCAAGGCAAACAGGATATTTTATTTCATGCAAAAGTTACTGCAAAGTGTATTGCCCTATCAGGCAGGCGCAAAAACTATGTTTTGGGTTGAGGGTTTTTCAAAACAGTTTCATAGATAATATCCATGTCGCAGGAGCTTCTGGTCATCAGGCAGAGAGAGACTTCAGACCATGGTAAAGCATTCTAGAAGTACCAAGCACCCTTCCTAATATGACGGGAGTGACTTAAGGCAGAAACCCTCAAACGAAGGATTCACATCATCAGTTACATTAACCTTGACCTTGGCCAAAGGATTCCTTGGCTTTCCGGTAAAAACCCTCAATGTAAACACAACGGCTGTATGACCCTAGAGTACTGTAGGGAGTCCTTACTGGCCCACTTCAGCAGTCACCATTAATTTTTAAGGTGCAGTTATTTTTAAACCATTGTTTTATAGAAGGTTAAAACGCAGACCCTTCCATCATCCAGTTCCAACATCACTCTTTTACGGTCCCTACTCATTTTCTCCATCTGCAGGTACTTTTTTTTACAGCGGTAATCATGAGGACATAATTCTGCATCTTTTCTGTCATACCAGGAGCATTTTCTTCATGTTACACAGTCCTAGCAACCATTATTTTTCATAGCTGAATAATACTCCTTTGAGGAGACACTTGGTCACATCCAACTGCTCATTACTATGAACAACACTGCCAGGGACAGCCCTCTCACAGGATACAACTTTCTTCGCCTCTTGGATTTCCTCCTCAGGACAGATTCCTGGAGGTGGGATTAATAGCTCAAAGGGCACACATAAAACACAAATGGCCCTCGTGGGACTAGACAAGCCTCCTCTGACAATGGGGGGTGGGCACGTGGAAACAGGGACTGATATGGACTAAAACTGTCACGCAGAGCCATACACAGGCCTCCCAGCTGAGTGACGGTAGTCCGACCCTGACAAGGTCATTCGCCTCTTGGTGCTTCTGACTCTAATGGACTTTTTAAAAGGATCAGATGAGTCAGTCAACATCAAGTACCTAGAAAAGACTGCCTGGCACATGCTTGGCCCTTAAACAATGTGAGCTTTCCATTTTTCTTTTCTCGGGGTCCTGTGGAATAATTTTGATTTCAGGCATTTCCTAGGGAAAAAGTCCCAGACACATATTTTCAACGATGATAATGATAATAATGGTGATACAGTTACTATCTACCGAGTCTCACTGTATGTCAGGCAGTGTTCTTACACCATCTTATTTAATTATTATAATAATAATCCTATGGGGTAAGAACTTTAATAATTTTGTTTTCCCATCTGGAATCAAGAAGTGAATGACCAGACAGGGGGAAACCAGGATACAGAGACAGACAAGAGCTCAGAAGGACCCTGAAGTAGGACAGAGGGAAAGACACTGAAACAGGAGCTCTTAGAATACAGCGAGTGTTAATGTTAACTTAGCACTGAGCTCATTCTCCAGGAGAACCAATGTGTCAACTGACATGGCTTTGGAATTAGCAGATAGGGCCCTCCCCAAGAGAGGCCACTCGTGATAAATCAGACAAGGAAATGGAAAGACATTATGTACCAAACAGCTAAATCTTAGTTAACGGTTGACTCTTAAGTTTAAAGTGTACTTTTCATTCAAAATTAACTTCACTGACAAAGCAGAAACGAAGGCATAACCAGAAAAGAGTTGTCCCAACATCCACACTTAGCTCTTAAGTTTGTAAGAAAAACTCTGATGATACCAGGCAACCCAAAACTCTCAGGTGGAGGCCAGCAGAGAGAACCACGGTAAACCACAACATCAGAGGCCAAAATCCTTAAGTTACATCTTGATGAGAAAATGTTTAAGTGCCTTTCCCGACTCCAAAGCGACAATTAGGAGGTTGAGTCTAAGAATTCGAAGGTTCTAAGAGTGTTCCCAGGCTTAACAGACCCAGTCTGTGTTTATTTCATACACTACACTGGCCCAGGCACTGTTTTTGAGTGGACTCCTCTATTTCAGGGCCCAGATTCCATACCTTGGTCTTACAAAATTAGATACATTTTTAGGTATATTAAATTGGTGGAATCCAACCCTTTTTTGAGGGGAAAAGCCAGATTTTATTTCCAAACATATCTGGGTCCTTAGAAATTGTTGAGTTAGATGTACCACCAGGGCTTACTTGAATAGGAAGAAAAAGAGGATGCCTCTGGTTCTGCCACCTTCCTGCTGAAGACGGTCATGGAAGGTGGGGAAGGAGGTATTAGCTTAACAGGGTTGGGGGCTTTGCCCCTGGAGATAGCACTAGCTTATCATCCTTTTATTTAGAAAGTGTCCTTCTTCCTGCCCAATCTAAAAGTATCTCCTTCCTTTAAATGGCTATTTCTCTTCACATATAATCTTAAGTTTTAAGCGTTTATCTAGATGACAAATACAGATGGGAAAAACATATCAGCTACCCATCCTCTCCAGCATATTCTGAAAAAGCCGGGAAAGGGTGTACTTTTGAAGTTCTCATTGCCCTCTGTGCTATTTCTTTGTAAAAAGCAAAAGAGAAACCAGAAAACTGGAGGCTAACAATCTCCTATCTGGTAACAGGAACTTCCGACAGGAAGCATCCAACACCTGCTTTAGATAATGGAACTAAATCAAGACTGGAAATGCTCCAGTTCTTCCTTTGGATGCCCAGAGGTATTTTTCTGGGTGGTTAACTTGAAAGACTCATCCACCATTTTTAACCCCCACACTCAAACAGTGCCGGGCAGGTAATCTGACCATGGGGAAGGAGCTCATCTCCCTGCAGTACTCCCAGCTCCATTTCTCAGCCACCCACTGGAAGACCCATTGAAACCAGTCAGGCAACCACAAATGAACACTTACTTTTGGTTTTGCTCTTGGCTTCAGTTGCTCTAACTTCTTAGCAGCAGCTTCAATGGATGCTGCAGCCCCCAGTAACTCTGTTTCTGCGATGACCGTTGGGTCTTCTGGATCCACCCACTCCGTTCCTAGAATCAGTCGAAAAGAAGGTGATGCTTGGTAGCTGCAGACCTCAGGGCACAGGCTTAATTACAAACGATGTCTGGATTTGCATGCACAAAGGCCCCAGGAGCCTGACCTGCATTATCCTAAGGAACCTTCCTTCTGGGCTCTCTTAAAGGCCATCTGGATGGGGGTGGGGCGGGGGGGTTGCTAATCCTGGTTTTCTTTTTCTTTCTTTTTTTTTTTTTTTTTTTTTTTTTTGAGACGGAGTTTCGCTCTTGTTACCCAGGCTGGAGTGCAATGCCGCGATCTCGGCTCACCGCAGCCTCCACCTCCTGGGTTCAGGCAGTTCTCCTGCCTCAGCCTCCTGAGTAGCTGGGATTACAGGCACGCGCCACCATGCCCAGCTAATTTTTTGTATTTTTAATAGAGACGGGGTTTCACCATGTTGACCAAGATGGTCTCGATCTCTTGACCTCGTGATCCACCCGCCTCGGCCTCCCAAAGTGCTGGGATTACAGGCTTGAGCCACCGCGCCTGGCCCTTTTTTTTTTTTTTTTTTTTAAAGACAGGGTTTCACCATGTTGGTCAGGCTGGTCTTGAACTCCGGACCTCAGGTGATCCACCTGCCTTGGCCTCCAAAGTGCTTGGATTACAGGCGTGAGCCACCACGCCCGGCCTAATCCTGGTTTTCTAAGTCAGTTGTGTGTATGGTTCCACCACAGGGTAGTTACCAAGCAGCTTCAAAAATGAACTCATGGCCCAAGGCTTGAGCCTTGCTCTGATTTTGAACTTAAAGCTCATGAATATAAGTAAGTATCCTCAGGAGAAGCTAGACTATGCTGTAGGTCACACAGAAATTTGCCATTCTCTTCTCCAGGGAACCCAGGAGGAATGACCTGTCAACCTTCATTCAAAGTAAAGGAAATTGGTGAAAAGACTTTTCCCCGGTGAGCTGACTGTTTCTATGTAAGCATTTTTAAAGGGTGTCCCCACGATGTTTTCAGAGCATCATTTTCAAAACATGAAGGATTACTTGAATGAGAATAAATATCCTGATGAATGAAAATGGAGCCAAAAAGGAATGGGGAGTGAGTGGTTCTAGATGGAGGATACCATTTAAGTCGAAGTACTACGTACAAGACTAGAGAAGGAGACTTGCTTCAGGGAAGGTGTTACTGCTTCAAGCTCACTCTAAACTCATTTGCTTGAAGGAAGTCCTCACTGTGTTGCTGGCTGCATCTGCCAGCTGAAGGCCTATGCCGGCTATGCTTTTCTTCTGCCCAGTCTGCTGTGTTAGCACTGCCTGGGAGGGCTGCCCTCCACCAAGACACACGAATCCAGCTTACCTTTCATGGCTTCGGCCGCCTGGATGAGCTCCGTCACAGCACCGGCGACTCGCTTGGAGAAAGCGGCCAGCTGCTGCTTGAGTTCTGGGGTTGGTTTCTGAAGAATCTACAGGTGAAGGGCAAGTCAGAGGCATGAGGAAGATAGTAACCACGGGATGGGAAAGAGGCACACTTCTCCTGGTGGATGTGGAGTCAGACAGCCTGGTTTAAGTTGCATCTCTGTCCCAAGTGACTTCAGTTTCTTGTGGAAAAACCCTTAAGACTCACTGGGTTTCAGTCTCCCCGGGTGAGAAATGAAAAGCTGGGAACCAGCGGTGTCTCTAAGGTCCCTTCTGACACAGCTCTTAAGATCATAAAGGAGCCAAAGTCCTGACTTGTCTTTCATTTGGACCTTCATTGGTCCTTTATTTGTACATAAAACACACACATGCAACTGAAAATTACTCAAAGTTTAAGAACATTCTGGCTGGGTATAGAGGCTCACACCTGTAATCTTAGAACTTTGGGAGGCCAAGGCAGGAGTATTGCTGGAGCCCGGGAGTTGGAGACCAGCCTGGTCAACACAGCAAGAACACCTATCTTTAAAAACATTAAAAATTGGCAGGGCATGGTGGCACACACCAGTAGTCCCAACTATTCAGAAGGCTGAGGTGGGAGGATCTCTTAAGCCCAGGAGGGCAAGGCTGCAGTGCCTGGGTGACAGAGAGATTCTGTCTCTTTATAATAATAATAAAGAACGTGATGAGTGAAGGCAAAAGCCCCAGGCTATGGGCCAATCAGTACTTGTAACAAAACAAAGGACCACAGGAAATGTGCCACTCAAGTCCTAGAGACAAAATCCCTAAAGGAGCAACAACTGATTGATCAGGAGGATCATTCCTGAGAAAACAATCCATTTCCAGAGTTTTGACTGCAAGCTCTCCTGGGAGAAGTCCTCAGGATGTGCCCTCCTCGGAATTAGGTCCAAGGTTTTTAAAAATTATCTTTTGCTTTTTTTAATGAATTTTTAAAAAGGTACTGAGAATCCTAAACGCCTTTAAGACATTCGCAGCTGATTTCTTCTCAAACTCATCTCTGAATGGAACTGTGACACAGGATGAGAGCTCTTCTCCATCTTCCACCATGGATCTAAACACTGGTGCACACCATCCTCTCCCTTCCTCACGCTGAAATACCTCTTCCAATGCTCTTTTCTGCTATCTCTTTCTCCTGTTTTCCAATGGTGATCTTCAGATTTAGAAATGTTCAGACAGTCGGGGGAGAAGTATAACTGCTGTCTGCTCTGCACAATTTTGCAGCTTCTGAATAGGGGACAAAGCAACAGGCTTGGAAATGGACAAACCTGTATTCAAACCTGGCTTCATCCATTACTGGTTTAAATCTGTTTTCTCATCTGTAAAGCTGGGATAATGCCTATATCTCAGGGTTGGCACAAAGATAAAATGGAGGCCAGACCCGGTGGCTCACGCCTGTAGTCCCAGCACTTTGGGAGGCGGAAGCTGGTGGATCATCTGAGATGAGGAGTCTGAGACCAGCGAGACCCACAAGTTAGTCTCTACTAAAAATATAAAAATTAGCTGGGCATGGTGGCAGGTGCCTGTAGTCCCAGCTACTCGGGAGGCTGAGGCAGAAGAATTGCTCGAACCCGGGAGACGGGGGTTGCAATGAGCTGAGATGGAGCTATTGCTCTCCAGCCTAAGTGTCAGAGCGAGACTCCGTCTCAAAAAATAATAAACAAACAAAATGGAGTTAACACATGGGGAGTATTTCTCATGACACTGAGAACACAATAGGCATTCATTAAATGCTGTTTCCCTTCTTGGTGCCCCACACTCTTTCCCCTGGCCGGGGAGCACAGTCTTTCTTAGGAATTTGGAAAGATGGCTTTCAGACCCAGGACTAACCCCTTTGTACCATGACTATAAAGAACGCTTAGAAAAAAAAAGATTAGAGGGTTACACTAATGGGTTACACTATGACCAGCCCTAGACACAGTAGTGTATAGATGACATTATGTCATACACACAAACGGGTTTCTCAGTAATCTTTGAGCATTACTTCATATGCATCTATCCACTTCTTCCCTCTTCTTATAATCTTTTACACTCCTTTCATCTTTGCTACTGTTCTATGATGATTCCAGCTGCTCTGTGATTCTCATTCTTTCACACTAGGGCCTCTATATACCACTCTGCAAATATTAAGAACTCAGTAAAGACCTTTGAATGAATGAACAAATGAATTAACAAGTGAAAACCAGACCAATACGTGACTGGGACAAATCCTACCCTGATGGCTTTAGACCAGTTACAAAAGAGCACTAGAACCATGGAGAAGTAGAGGAAGGGGGATAAATGCCTTTTACCTTCCACGACAGCCAATAGGCAGACAGTTTCGTTAAGCACAGGTTCAGTAGTCAATATCAATGTACCTGTGTAATAGGTACTTATTCTCTCTCTAGGCCTCAGTTTATTAAGTGAGCACCGTAGTCTTCCCTTATAGAGTTGTGGTGAGATCATATAAAGAGCTACTGATAGAAATGTTCTGGTGTGTGGCCTGAGCATGACAATCTTTTTAAGTTCCCTGGGTGACTCTCATATGTGGTCATAGTTGTGAACCACTGCTTTAGACTTAGATGGTGGCATTTGTCACCACTTAATTGCAGACGGCTTGGACCATATTTGTCTGAAACAACATATGCTGTAAGGCTACCAGGTTATTCATAGTTATGGCTCAGGATCTCACTAGCTAAGCAGTCCACAGCATTGGTTTCTCTAAAGTGACTAACACAGCATGAATAAGCAAATGGTTAAAGGTATGGTGGGGACATTCATAAGTAATGATACAAGACTGGATGATTTCTCCCTAAGCTCAAAACAAGGAAAGGATGTTTGTTCCTATACTGCTACCAACATTCCCACAAAGCAGAACGATTAAAGACTTCTGTCTCTAACAGGAGAGCTGTTCATGCAGAAGTGTACGCTATGACGGCTCTCTCTGACAGAGAACAGCGCTGATAAAGAACCTGTGCTTTAGATTATGGAGGAAGAGAGGAGTTCTATTTTTAGTCTGCCATTAAGTCAACACGGTTTCTGATAGCAGACAATAGACAGATCCAAATTAAAGCTCTGCCAGTGGAAGCTGGGTAATTTTAGCCCTGCCAAAGATCTCATACTGTGGTTCTGCAGAAATACTGAACTGTGATAGCTGCAGAGGCAGAGTAGCTCCTCCTTGTCCTGCGATACAAACCCTCTATGATGACCCAGCAAACAGCAAATGCAGGAGGCCACTGCCACTCAAACAGGCATCTCTGAAGTGCCACAAAGCAGTTCTCAGGGCAACAGGGAGATGGCTCTGTCCAAATTACATCCTATGTTTGTTCAGAGTTAATTGAATTCTCTAAAGGACTCCCCAGGCAGGGGTCCTCCATTTGGAGTCTCTAAATACCAAAAGGTTCTAACTGGGCTTTGTAGGTCTGTGTGTGGGTCTGGGTGGTGGGGTGTGTGTGTGTGTGTGTGTGTGTGTGTGTGTTTCCGTGAGAGAGAGAATAAAAATCTCTAGTTTTTAATTGCTTTTTAAATCTGTCACCCGCAAACAACTCATCAAATTTTAGTACATATTCTTTTCTTCTAAAGAGAATTTCAAAAAAATGTTGATGTCTTCTCTAGACTAGCAATTTGGCTTTCATTTTCCTCATTTCTTGTTGGGTCTTCATACAGCACTGGCCTGTGGCTTACAGGAGTCTCAGTATGAAATAATATTCCTCTTTCCTATCCTTATTCCAACCCAGATTTCTAGGAGTTATGGCTAATGGTGTGAATAGGAACTTATTTTTGGCAGCAGACCTAAGGCAATGACCAATGTCACAAATTTAGGTGACAGAATACTGTTGAGGGGGTTCTATAATTTTTCACCAGGAACTTGTATTTTCTATATGTTTATGATAATTCCCTAGAAACAGAGGCTCGTTTTCCTCCTATATTTTTTTTAGAAAATACTCTGCTTTTTAAGGAACAAAAATAAATACATGAACATGAACAAATAAATAAATTCGGCCGGGTGCGGTGGCTCATGCTGTAATCCCAGCACTTTGGGAGGCTGAGGCGGGTGGATCACGAGGTCAAGAGATCGAGACCATCCTGGTCAACATGGTGAAACCCCGTCTCTACTAAAAATACAAAAAAAAAATTAGCTGGGCATGGTTGTGCGTGCCTTTAATCCCAGCTACTCGGGAGGCTGAGGCAGGAGAATTGCCTGAACCCAGGAGGCGGAGGTTGCAGTGAGCCGAGATCGCCCCATTGCACTCCAGCCTGGGTAACAAGCGCGAAACTCTGTCTCAAAAATAAATAAATAAATACATACATACATTACATACATAATGCTACTTCATCCACATGCTTGGATGTCAGTCATCAGCACTGGTCAACTTCGAAGAGGAAAACTTTTTTTTTGATAGTTTTCTCTTTTATTGTTTCACTCTTTAACATTCTATAAACAACAACAAAGACCGCTGAGGGAGGCTGACTAGATTATAAATGGATTAGGGGCCACCGTGTGCTTAGCTTATATTACTTTTGTGTGGTCTACAAAAGGAAGTCAACAGAATAAATGATGATTTAATAAATCAACCATAAAGCCAAAATTGATAAGCCTGTTTCCTGCATTCCCTTTCTTTCAGGACTATTTCTGAAGTCCCCTTTTTCCATGATTTCTCCAACATTTTTCCTTCTACTGATTCACTTTTTTTCCAAGATCTAGTCTTGACTCTATTCTCTTATGTCTGTATTGTATGCTCTTATTAAAAGTCCATATTGGCCAGGCATGGTGGCTCATGCCTGTAATCCCAGCACTTTGGGAGGCTGAGGTGGGCAGATAACCTGAGGTCAGGAGTTCAAGACCAGCCTGGCCAAAATGGTGAAACCCCATCTCTACTAAAAAGACAAAATTAGCTAGGCCTGGTGGCTAGTGCCTGTAATCCCAGGTATTCGGGAGGCTGAGACAGGAGAATCACTTGAACCCAGGAGGTGGAGGTTGCAGTGAGCCTAGATCATGCCATTGCACTCTAGCTTGAGCAACAAGAGCAAAACTCCACCTCAAAAAAAAATAAAAGGCCCATCTGCATGAATAAAAGCCTTCAACTGTCAGCACTAGACCTGTATCTCCTCCATCTTTACATCCAGAGAATGTTTCAAATGTAAAGTGTGCCTAATTAAACTTAGGGACCCTGTAAATTGTATAGCTTTTATCTATAAAATCTCCCTTTCTTCTGTCTCGCTCTGTCAGTAGCATTACCATGATCCTAATCATGAAGCTCGAGAACTTTGGGGGTAACTTTTAATCTTCCTTTCACTGCGTCTCATGCTTAGTTGCTAAGTTTTGACAATTTCATTTAAAAAATGTATTTGGATCTTTTCAGTCTCAAGGGGGAAAATGCTTACTGCAAAGGATGAGATGGATTCTGTTTCTTTTATAGAAATAGTTTTACTATCATTGAGCGTTTCTTCCTGTTAGCGATTTCATTTTAGTACCAGCTACCATAAACCTCTGAAAGGCCTTAGAGAACCAGGACATTGATATTTCCACCATAGTTACGACCACATTGACAGCAATTGTATAGAACGAGGAAAAGAAACTCAGCTGGCAGGCTTTTAACAGATATTTCAACCACACAAGTTTGTCACATGGAAGATTTCAGAGTCCTGATTCTACAGAAAATACAAGGAAGCATCCATAACAGAAAATCAATCAACTAAAACGTCAACGGTCACCAGAGAAGTACATCTGGCCGCAAAATGCAACCCGTTCTTGCCTAGGCCGTGGTCACTCTCCCTCCTTCCAACCTCCGACCTCCATGAGATGAAACCTCCTGAATGACCTGCGACACTGGGTCTCCCTGCAGCAAGTGCCCTTCTTCCTGTTACACAACAGCTGCTGATTACCATCAGGGCTGACGCTGACACAGTGACTGAGTGGTCACTGAGCAACAGTCTCTGACTGTGTGGCCTGGGAGTGTTCCTAGACCTGCTGTAATGTTCCCAGGGATCCTGGACCTCTCGGCCTCCCCTCAGGCGGAGGCCAGCCATCTGCCTGCCCCTTGGATGGATGCACACCATACACACAAGAAAGCCTTGTCTTATTTTGCTCACCCAAACAAGGTGGGCATGGAAAGGGGAAGTGAGGGGGGGAAAGGAAGCACCTGAGCAGATTCAATGCCTCACTCCCAAATACTGGGATAGAGTTCAGAGTAGGATGCAGTCAGGGAGGTGACCCTAGAAACTTCTCCTTAAGACAAAAGCTGGCACCTGCCCTTCTTTATGAAGAGAGAACTCCTGTCCCCAAAATAAACTGTATTTTTGCTGGAGAGTAAAAGACCTCTGCTCCATTTCCATCCAGGACTGTGTGTGTGGCAGACACAGACCTGGAGGGAGACCCTACCTACACAGTGACATTCTTGTTCAATGACTCACCAAGGGCAAAGGTACAGAACGCGAACCTGAGGCCTGTATGTGCGGGGCCTGGACCCACAGATGTCATGTACATTATCCATGCTGCACAGGTGCTGGAGAAAATTGGTTTAACTAAGAAATGGAAACGGGGAGAAGTGGTGAAATGGAAATATGAGGATCTCTGTATCTCTTCCCTTCCCCCAAAATGAACAAGACCAAAGCAAAAGCATGAGAGAGAAAAAACAGGGAGAAATGGAGTGTGGCGGGAGAGCTCCCATGTAGGAGGCAGAGGACACTGCTGCTTCAGGCCCAGCCCACCATTAGCAAATACCACCCACTAGCCAGAAACAGCACCTTCCCAGTGGCAGATGGAGTCTTGCTTTGTCACCCAGGCTGGAGTGCAGTGGCGCAATCTTGGCTCACTGCAACTTCCACCTCCTGGGTTCAAGCGATTCTCTTGCCTTAGCCTCACAAGTAGCTGGGATTACAGGCGCCTGCCACCATGTTGGCCTAAGTTTTGTATTTTTAGTAGATATTTTTGTATTTTTAGTCAACATGGTTTCCCCATGTTGACCAGGCTAGCCTTGAACTCCTGACCTCAAGTGGTCCACCAGCCTCAGTTGCCTAAAGTGCTGGGATTATAGGCGTGAGCCACGGCATCCGGCCAGATTTTAAGAAAGCATTCAGCAAATGTTAGGTTGCCCACAAGGCCCTGGGTTTCCAGACATGCTCGTTTCCTCCTTAATAAACTGCCTGTTTAACATGTGAGGAAACGGAACCCCCGATATGATGGTGGCCATGTAGCTACTTATGTGGCAAAAGCAGGATTTGCACTTGAGGCTTCTAAACCTACCAACGCCACTCTACTGTCGTTGGTTATAACAATGTTCTCTGTGACTCACAATGCATTGTTCCATAATGAGAAAGATGCCTTTTGAAAGCTTTGCTGGTGTGATTCTCTCTAACCTAAATTTCCTGCTAGGCACACTTACAGAATGAACACTTTGTATCCCAACCTGTCTAGCTAGAGGCTCTTGCCTGTGAGTGCTGACTGGCTAAGATGTCTTTCCTTGGTGAACATATGATATGCTGATCTCTATTCACAAGGGTTCAGACTTTGAGAGCCCAATGTTAGTACCCTAGACTGGCTACTTCCCCCAAAAATGCACTTCAGAATTGGCCAGTTACCTGGATAAATAGTAAAAATAGTGATCCCTTAAATGACCTAAAATGTTTAGCATCAGAAGTAATTTATTTCTAAGAAGGAGGCAGTGAAATGCACAGAGATGGGAATAGTAGGAATTGGGATTTGGATCCAGCTCTGTTGCTGAAGAGCTGAGTGACTTCAACAAAGGGACAAGCTTTCTGGGTCTCAGATGACTCCTTTGGCCTATAAGCCTCATGGCTGCACAGGGAGAGAATAAGAAAACTTGAGAATGACCAGCAAATGAAGGGCTTGACATTCCTCCTCTAGATATGTGCATTATGTATCTAAAGGTGGTCTGATGGATCTGTTTTGTTAAGTTTGGTAAGAGCAAGGGTAGTGATGAAGGGGAGACATCATCAACTCTTTTTCTGGAGGTGTCCCTGACTATTGAGGCCTGCCCTAGACCTTACACAGTTCTTAATATGGCTCCTGGAACTCAACAGAGACAGACACACAGTGTACATATTTCCTGGTGCTCTGTGGTTTGGTCCTTAGGATCTGGAGTGAGTCAAGCCTCCTTAAGAACTGCACGAACTGAGGCTCCCACACGGGCAGCCCACCAGCCATGACCATCGAGGCCCCTGCCTGGTGTCTGCCGCTTATGCCTTCCTAACCCAGCTCCGTACAGGGCACAGCAGGCTGGGGGAGTCATTCGTTCGAGGATGGGAGGAAGTCCCGAAGGGCTGGTAGATCACTTGGAACACTGGCAGCCTCCCTAACTTGCCACTGAGGCTGGCGTGGCTCTGTCAGAAGCCTTCCGTGTTCTTGCAGAATGTACTGGGGGCTTCCTAACAAGACCTGCTGACACTTTTTCAGGTTGGCACTGGCTGCCCACCAACTTTGTCCTTCATTCTGCTCCCTCCTCCCTTTACATGCTAAGCCTGCCTTTCAGGTACACAGGAGGACTGGGCTTTCCTGAATTCTAACTGCAACTTCATCCAGACTGCACTTTTAGCTCTGTGTGCTGGATCAGTGCATCATGGGAGATTCCAGTTCAATCCAGTCCCAGCCTCACAGTGGCACTGGACAGGGCTCTGAGAGAGGTCTTCCCAAGAAAAGCATGGTTCAAATCAGCCAGGGCAGCTAGAGTGACACAGCGACACCCCAGCCCTGACTCATGCGCCTTCTTACCACCAAGACGTGCTCCAGGAGGTCCAGGTAGCCGAGGGTGCACTCCGTCCCAAAACGCAACGCTCTGGTTCTCACCTCGTCACTGACATCGGGGTGGAAGGATGCTTGCTGGAGAGAGAAAGGAATGTTGAAATCTTAAAATGGGAAAAGCCAGCAGCGTTGGGCAGACCCAGACTCAGAGGCAGGAGACCTCAACTCTGGTGACCTCGAGAAACTGCCCTGATTCCCTGGACAGAAGAGGTTCTCTCTCCTCTACGTCCTTCTGCCACCACCCACCTGTCCACCGCAGGCTCTCCGAGTCAGTCTGTGTGTAGACTTTGTTAGAGCCCCGGGGCCAAACGATAGAAACAGCTGAATCTGGTGCTTTGTTCCTTTTTCCACCCCACATTTTTTTGAAATGCAAAAAATTCCACATGTACAAAAACATCCAGGCAAGATTCATGATCAGTGCTTACAGCTGGAGATGTACTGACTGACCTAGGGTCAGCCTCGCCTCTCTTTAACAGCGTAAGGGGTCCTGAAACCCTCTCTGCTCACAGGCTAATTAAGCCCAGCTCCCATCCCTGGGCCTTACCATGCTGCAGTCAGTGAGGTCTCTGTGACCAGGGCCCTCTAGCTCCTGGGAAACTTCAGATGGCGAGCTCCCCAGTGCCCTAGAGGCACCATAACTCATCTCATATTATACAAAAGTCGAGATACACAAACCAGTGCACATGCTTAACACGGCATCTTGAGCTTCTTCCTTGTACTTATGACCTGCTAACTTGACTCATTCGTGACACCATTCTCAAGGCACAACCATTCACAGGGTCACGAGATAAAATGCACCCAGTTAAATGTGAATTTCAGAAAATCAGTGAGTTTTTAGCAAGTATCAGACATCCTATTTTTTGTTAAAACTGGCAACCCTACCCCTCCTTCCTTCTACAGCTTCCTTCTGGAAAGAAACCGAGGGGCTTGCAGAAACATATACAACTATAAAGATACTGCTAATCAGAACAAATACAAATCACGCAGTAGGATAAAAGGTCAAGGCTGAGGGCAAAGACCAGCCTCCATGCTCTATCCGCTCAAGCCCCTCTTCCTGAGAATGGGAGTGCTGATGGGAATACCTTGGGCTCTCCCTTGACCTACCCCTAAGCCCTGGACAGAGTGTGGCTAATTCTCATGGCCAGCATGTCATGTATGAGCCAGGTTTTCCCCATCTGAGGACTAATGGGCTCAGAGGCAGGAGCCAAGAGCCATGCTCCCAGCCACCCACCATCACTTGTTACTCATCCTTATACCCCTGTGCCTCCAATGGTGAGGCACAGGGCTCCCATCTGTTTGATGAGACACCACTGTGGGAAGACACAGGCCTGGATGCTACTCAGAGTCACTGCCAGCAGGTTATGTGCAAGCCTGTGTGTAGGGTTGTGGGAGAGGTGGAGCTGAGGTGCTTGCGTGCACTGCTGGGGGCTCTGTAACTGCGAAGAACTCTTTGAGAGAACAATCTGGCACAAATTAATGTCTTATACTATCGGACCCACTAATTCTATCTCCGGGAGTTTTGCCTAAGGAAATAATCCAAAACACAGAAGAAAACCAGATATGCCCAAAGATGTTCACTGCAGTAAAGTTCAGGATTTTAAAACAATGCAGACGGCCTAAATATCTGACAACCGTGGGAAGATAACATTCATTAAGAGTATTTTGTAGTCATTAAAAAGTCACCAGTATAGCAACACAGAAATAGCTTTATAACATTAATTATAACAGTAGACATAAATTATGTCTAATATACACATGTGCGCAGGAAAGTAAGACCAGAAAGAAACACGCATGAGAATTAACTTAGGGCTTAGGTAAGTCTTTCTCTTTGCCCATATGTCATTTTCTGCCCCTCCGTGTACGGGCTGAGCAGGGTAGCCAGGGCAAAGGCAGAGCTGGACTAAGGCGACTTGGCCCTTCTGCTTGGCATGTAGGCTTCCATCTTGACCCACAACTCACCACACCAGGTTTCCTGTCTATGCCTTATTGCAGGCACTCCTTTTCTATTTCCTTTTGCAAAGGGGTGAAGGATACAGGGGACCAAGGGAAACAGAAAAGCTAGTGAGTTTGCTGAGTCAGTCCTATCCTAACAGGAGCATCAGGGCTCAGCAGTGCCTCCTGTCAATTCTGATTTTGGTGTGTGAAGCTAATATACAGGCTTCAGAGCTGTGGCTGCTATCTTGTCCTGTAAAGCCCAGTTAATGTGACCCAGTGCCACGATGACAGAGAGGAGTTAAGGATGGGCAAACGGCACCCACACTGTACTACCTGAGCTCCTCCCCTGGAAACAGGAGAACACACGTCAGGAGACACTCAAGCATCTGAGCTGCATTCCCTTCAAAAAGACCATTTAATCATGGTTTCTTCTCTGTTCAGTTCCCCCTGTTCGAGTCTGTAGCTTAGAGACAAAAGTGTTTGTCATGCATCAACCAGAGTGACCTTGAGCATTACATCTGGGAGGCCCTGAGCAGCAGAAACGGAGTGGCTGAGCAATCAGGAGAGCCGGTTTCAGTTCGGTTCTGACGGTAAATAGCTGTGTGACCTTGATCATGCCACTTCTCTCTCTGAGACCATTTTATCATGTGACAAACAGAATAATGGATTAGTCTTGCCTTTCTCATCTGGAATCAAATGGCAGAATATATATGACAGCCCTTCTACAATGTAAGGTGCCATGTGTGGACACCGTGATGCACGCAGGCCTTGTCTTGCTAGGGACACATGACTCTGATTGACGCTGTAACCCCTCTGGCGGTTGTCACTTTTGGTAGGTGGGCTCCACTGAACTTATCATTGTGGCCAATACTTGGAGCCTTAGGAGAGAGTCCAAACTCCCTGACCTAGCAGCCCTGGGTTCTCTGTGAAAGTGGCCCTACCTACTCCCCCAGCCCTGTCTTTTCCAACCCACCCTCTTCTCTCCACCTTCCATCACACTCACCACCAAGAATGGCTCTGCCCCCTCAGACCCCATGCTGTAAGAGCTGGTCTGCAACTCCGGGTCAATCCCCGCCCTCACTCACCACGGCAGGGGATCATTGATTGATCGCTGAGCAGAAGCCACAGTCCCTGGGGCAAGGCTGTCCCTAGAAGGGTGAAGGCCTGGGCTGGGGTGCTCGGTGGGATGCAGGACGATGTGGGGCTCTGATAGTTCACTTTCCTAACCGACCACAAATAAAGCTTCTAGGCCTGGGTCTCCACGGCTCCCTCACCAAGCACAGGCTCATGGCAGTTGCTCCAACTGTCTACCCAAAGGAGCAGAGGCACTTTTCCAAGATGTCTAGCACAGACTGGGAAAAGTAGCTCCCCACGTTCTGCTGTGTTCCCCCAACTCACTTCCTCACCAGGGATGGCAAACCTCTGCTAATGCACAAGGGCTGACCTATGGGGGCAGGAAAAGGTCCAGCGGAAGAGCCAACAGTTTCCATTTGGAGGAGCTGGAACAAAATGCTGCGATCCCTGTCCTCTACCCTCGGAGAGGCCTCCACCACACTCTGCAGGAACGTTTCCCGCCTATTTAGGAAGAACTAGAAAGAAGGGGGAAGATTAGGGCCAGCAGGGCTGACTCCATTCCCTCTCAAACACAAAACCGCCTTAGAGAGTCATTTCCCACAGGCTGGTATGCCATACTCATATGCCATATTCAGCGTGCTTTTTTTTTTTTTTTTTTGAGACGGAGTTTCGCTCTTGTTACCCAGGCTGGAGTGCAATGGCGCGATCTCGGCTCACCGAAACCTCCGCCTCCTGGGTTCAGGCAATTCTCCTGCCTCAGCCTCCTGAGTAGCTGGGATTACAGGCACGCGCCACCGTGCCCAGCTAATTTTTTGTATTTTTAGTAGAGACAAGGTTTCACCATATTGATCAGGATGGTCTCGATCTTTTGACCTCGTGATCCACCCGCCTCGAAGGGACAGCCTTTTGCTCTGTCACCTAGGATGGAATGCAGCAGCATAATCCTAGCTCATTGCAGCCTTGAACTCCCGGGCTCAAGTGAACCTCCTGCCACAGTCTTTTGAGTAGCTAGGGCTACAGGTGCACACCACCAAGCACAGGCTCATGGCAGTTGCCATGAGCAACTTGGTTTTTAAAAAAAAATTTTTTTTAAGAGATGGGATCTCAGTATGTTGCCCAAGCTGGTCTCAAATTCCAGGTCTCAAGCGATCCTCTTGCCTCAGCAACCAAAGTGTTGGGATTACAGGCATAAGCCACCACACCTGGCCCTGTGTGCATTTTTTATTACAAAGTTTAAGGTTCTGTGTCCCTCCCCTTTTTCAGACTATACTAAGCAACCCAGTCATGACAGAGAATCATCTATCCATCCAAAACAACGCCACAGTCTTTACCTTGCAAGCTGTCAACATATCTGACACAGCCTTCCGGCTCAGGTTGGCAGTAGCAATCACATCCTCCTGTCTACAAGAGTTCCCAGCTGCCACAGCTTTGGCTGTTGCCATGGTGATGCCTTTCGTCATCCTTATGGATTCTTCAGGTGATGATGTCTTTTCAGGTACGTCTTTTGACTGGAACACCTGGAAGCCAGAAACAGAGAGGTGAAAAAAATCAAAAAGGAAAAGAGAAAAATAATGTATTCTTCTCCGACCAGGTTGTAGCCTGTGTCTGAAAACTCAGCCAGTGACTGGAAGACACTGTCACGTGGCAGGAAATTAGAAATCTGAGTACAGTAACATGGTTTTTTGTTTTCAAGATTTTCATGGACAAACCTCTTCCACCTACACTGGGCACTCACGGGAACAATACGGTGAGGGAGACATATCTAGAGCGTTATACCTGCTGGTCTGTAGAAGCTGACACCAATATTTACACACTACCCATCCTGTGAAAGGTTGTTGTATGGCTTCATAGTTTTCTTCCCTCGTCCCTGCTGGTGCTTTGGCAGTTTCCAGAAACTCTCAGTCCTAGTGCTGGTTTCAGGGCAGGACTGACCTGGCTCTATCACGCAGGACGCACCTCTCTCTCTCTCACGGGCTGTGAGGTTGGGAGAAATGAAGCATCACTTCCTTCTATTCTTAGCCTGTCTTATAAATATAACTGCATAATTGTGCAGAGGTGTTCATGTCGAGTGCGCCATGGTGACACTGTGAATTATTTAGCAATCCACCCACCCCCTTTAAAGAAGCTGAAAATAAATTAACCATCATTAGTCAATATCCCATTTCTGCTTCATGCTCATCTGTTCTGGCTCTCTAACATGAGCAACTGGTACCCTGGGTGTGTGCCGAATGTGCATCTGTCCCTACATGAGGACCCCTAGCCTAGGTGGGGCTGCTCTGTCTTCAGCCCTAGACAACCATGTTTCAGCAGGGAAGGCTTCCCTGAGGAAGAAGGGCGGGTCCAGTCAGCATCCCATGGAATGCCAACCAGGGTCAAACATCACTGCTCCCTAAAAAATGGGCAGCTACAATTAAGCAGTCTGGGACTCCAAATCCCCCCTTCACCCTTGAATGCTAGAATGGAATGAAGGCCACATGAAGGCCGTTCACAATGTGGCCCTCATGGCGTGTGCTGCATGGAAGCCCACAATCTGGGTGAATTGTATTCAGCCAGAATAAAATTCAGTGAACTCAGCTCACAGCAGCCTCGACCTCCTGGGCTGAAGTGACTCTTCCACCTCAGCCTCCTGCATCGCTGGGACTACAGGTTCATGCTACATACTCAGGTAACTTTTAAATTTTTTGTAGAGATGTGCTTACCCTATGTTGCCCAGGCTGGGCTCAAACTCCTGGGCTCAAGCAATCCTCCTGTCTCAGCTTCCCAAAGTGCTGGGATTATAGGCATGAGCTGCCACGCTTCTGGGTGAATTTTAAACCACATGGGTACACTTAGAATAACCATATGTCTGCAGTTTCCCAGGATGGCTCCAAATTTCAGGTCTCTTTGATGACTACAATTAGGCCCACTTATGCATGTCAGAAGCTGTGTTCACAGGGGGGCTTGTGTCACCCCACCCCAGCTTCAGGAGGCTCAGCACAGAGCAAAGGACTCCATTTGTTTGGGAGAAATTAAGAGAAGAAAACAAGAGTTTCTTCCTGGTAATCCAGAGAATTCTTTTGAATCGTATCCAAGACCATCAACACAGTACCTCTATGAGTCTAAAAATCTACAGTGTTACTGGGCTTGGGGTGCTCCCAATGCAGATATAGCTTAGATCATAACACCCACGGCCTTTCGAGTACCTGGAAAGCCTTCCCAAGAAAGATGGGTACAAACAGCCCCAGACTGCGAAGACTATAATCAATACCTAACTCTTTAATGTCTAGACACAAATGAACACCTCTAAGCATCCAGGAAAACATAACCTCACCAACTAACTAAATAAGGGGCCAGGGACTGATTCTGGGGATATGTGGCCTTTCAGATAAAGAATTCAAAAGAGCTGTGTTGAGGAGACTCAAATTCGAGACAACACAAAGAGGGAGTCAGAATCCTACCAGATAAATTTAACAGAGACTGCAATAGTTAAAAAGAAACAAGCAGATATTCTGGAGCTGAAAATGCAATTGACATACTGGAGAATGCATAAGAGTCTTTCAGTGGCAGAACTGATCACATAGAAGAAATAATCAGTGAGCTTGAAGACAGGCTGTTTGAAAACATAGTCAGAGGAGACAAAAAGAGTAAGAACAATGAAGCTTGCCTACAGGATCTAGAAAATAGCTCCAAAAGGACAAATTTAAGAGTTATTGGCCTTAAAAAGGAGGTGGAAAAAGAGATAGGGGTAGAGTGTTTATTCAAAGAGAGCTTCCCAAACCTAGAGAAAGACCCCAAAATCCAAGCACAAGAAGGTTATAGAAGACCAAGCAGATCTAACCCAAAGAAGACCACCTCAAGGAGTTTAATAATCAAACTTCCAAAAGTCAAAGACAAAGAAAGGATCCCAAGAGCAGCCAGAGAAAAGAAACACAACACGTTCAATGGAGCTCCAATGTACTTAGCAGCAGACTTCTCAGGGGAAGCCTTGCAGGCCAGGAGAGTGGCATGACATATTTAAAGTGCGGAAGGAAAATAAAAACATTTCCTCTAGAACAGTACAGCTGATGAAAGCAGACAAATAGGAGCATATCAACTTAAAAAGCTTCTGCACAGCAGAGGAAACAATGCACAGAATGGGGGAAAATATCTGTAAACTCTCTATCTGACAAGGGGTTAATAACTAGCCTCTGTAAGGAGCTCAAACAGTTCTACAGGAAAAAACTAATAATTTTATCAAAAGGCAGGCAAAAGCTCTCAATAGACATTCCTCAAAAGAAGACATACAAACGGCAAACAGGTACATGAAAAGGTGCTTGACATCACTGATCATTAGAGAAATGCAAATCAAAACTACAGGGTGATACCATCTCACCCCAGTCAAAAGAGCTTGTATCCAAGAGACAGGCAATGACAAACGCTGGCGAGCATGTGGAGAAAGGGAACCCTGTGCACTGTGGGTGGGAATGTAAGTTGGTACAACCACTGTGGAGAACAGTTTGGAGATTCCCCAAAAAACTAACAACAGAGCTACTTTATGATACAGCAATCCTACTCATAGGTATATGCCCAAAAGAAAGGAAATCAGTATATCAGAGATATCTGTACTCGGATGTTTACTGCAGTATCATTCACAATAGCCAAAATTATATATATGTGTATACACACACACACATGCATATATTACATATATAATACAGAAGAAATAAACTGTAATAAATGTGGGAGTGCAGATATCTCTTCAGTATTATGTGTGTGTGTTTACCATTGCATACGTGTATCCATTCATCTGCTGATGGACACTTTGGTTACTTCCAACTCTTGGCTACTGTGGTACATGAACACAATGGAGTACTATTCAGTCATTAAAAAAAATGAGATCCTATCATTTGCAACAACATGGATGGAACTGGAAGTCATTAAGTGAAGTAAGCCAAGCACTTCGCATGTTCTCACTTACTTGTGACGCAAAATTAAAATAATTGAACTCATGGAGACAGAGGGTAAAAGGATGGTTGCCAGAAGCTGCGAAGGGTCATAGGGAGGTGGGAGTTGGGGGTGGGGAAGTGGGGAGGGATAATGGGTAGAAAAAATAGAAAGAATGAATGAGACCTAGTATTTGATAGCATACAGGGTGACTACAGTAAAACAAGAAATTTAACTGTACATTAAAATAACTAAAAGAGTGTAACTGGATTGTAACACAAAGGGTAACACTGGAGATGAAGGATACCCCAATTATTCTGGTGTGATTACTATGCCTTGCATGCCTGTATTAAAATATCTCAGGTAACCCATACCTATAGACACCTACTATGTACCCACAAAAATGAAAAATAAACAAAACCTAAAAAGTAGCTGTGTCCAGATTTTGGTGGGAAACGCCCAGCCTGTGCAGCCAGGCAGGTGCCAGGCAGTGGTACCTAAAACATCACCAGCTTTTAAGTTACTCTTGCACTTTTCAGTTCTCCTTTAAAGCATCAACTGAGCACGACGTCAATCAAAGCTAGATTCATTAAAGATATGACAAGAAAACCCAAGTTTCTGTCACCCAAACCCTGTGAAATTGCTCTACTATTGCTTCTAGTGCTCTCAGATTGCCTTTGCAGGTGACCCTTTAAAGGGGCAGAACAACTGGGAGGAAAGGTAGGTGTTTCTCTTCCCCCAAAAAGTTGAGTCTGTGATCAAACCTCCTATCAAAAAGAAAAGTGTTTGAAACTACTCATTTTCAGCATATTTCTATTTGTGGGGGTTAGAATGAGCCAATCCACAACTTCTGTGGGATCACAAGGATGGCAGATATCATCCACATCGTAATAACTCCAGAATGTCCTCAACTCTGCAGTGCTGGAACAAGTGAGAAAAAAACAGGGTCAACTCTCTCAGGTCAGAGGACTCCAACAGAAGGAAGCTGGACTTTCAAGGGAAGCGTCTCAGGTAATGGCATTCAGGCTTTTCCAACAGCAAACCTCAGACTTCCAATTCCGCGTGTGTGCGGGTACCCACAGCAACGTGCATCAAGAGAGGCTATGCACTGTAGACGGGGTTTATGCTCAAGGTAAGTGCAGCCACACTGACTTTCCCTTTTGCCAGGAAGTTACCAATGCTTTTTTATTTTGAGGCAGAGTCTCACCTTCTCTGTTCCCTAGGCTGGAATGCAGTGGTTTGATCTCTGCTCACTGCAACCTCTACCTCCTGGGTTCAAGTGATTCTCCTGCCTCAGCCTCCTGGGTAGCTGGGATTACAGGCAGGCGCCATCATGCCTGGCTAATTTTGGTATTTTCAGTAGAGATGAGATTTCACCATGTTGGCCACGATGGTCTCGATCTCCTAACTTCATGATCCACCCACCTGGTCTTCCCAAAGTGCTGGGATCACAGGCGTGCGCCACTGCGCCGGCCAATGCTTTGATCTTGTGTTATAATTTTAGTGGAACTAAACCTGAATAGTCCTAAGTGATTCACTTCAATTAACTTGATTACAATTACAAATTAATCCCAGCCAAACTTAGCGACACATGGGGTCTCAATTATATAAAGTTACCAGCAGGCATCCTCAGTTCAGGTGTTTTAGGTAAAACCTCATTATATAAAAAACCTCACATGAGCCCTCAGTGGGGTCAGCTGTGGGACTCTGGTACCCAAGGGAGGTAACTGATGGCTCCTTACCGTGAGCTCCTGCTTTATGCATTCAATTGTGGCCTCAAGTGCCCTGGTGCCCCGGGTGGCCTCATCCTCCACTGCCTTTACAGTCTTGAGGAGGGAGGTGACATTGGTCACCATCACCTGCATAGGAAGAGAGAATGATACAGATAGTGCAGTGTCTCAGGTCCAGCCCCTACTCCTTTTACTTCTGGATCGCATGCTATGAGCGAGAACACCTCTCCTTCCTTTAAGTGAGAAGAGAGCTCAGGTGCTTGTCCCTAGCTGGAGCCCCACTCTACCTTGGCGGCCCCCTTTAGCTGGTACATGGAAGGGTCGTCGGCTGGCTTGCTGGCAGCTCCCTTGGTAGCACTGATGAGATCGGAGAGGGCCTTGGCCACGTCTTTGATGGCATTGATCAACACGACCTGAAAGAGAGCATAGAGCCCAGGTGAGCAGGCGCCAAGATGTCCAGCTGCGAGCTTCGCCAAGGCATGCAGCCTGAGGGCAGGCTGGGGCAGAGGGCGTGAGAAAAAGACAGTCTGAAGTCTGCGGCATGGCAGACCTCCTGGGAAGCCACCCTTGGCGATTCTGATGCAGGACTCAGGACTTTGAAAAGCTGCCCAGGGGAGGCTGAAGCTGAGGCCAAAGGGAGAAGTCAGGTGTAAATGTGAGGCTTACGTAAAGCCTCCTAGCCAGCAACTTGGCGGATGAACTGCTTCTGCCAGCACGAAGGCAGCTAAGCCAACACCAGAGGGGCAACACCACTTACCCCTAACTAGCACCCCAAACACTGAATAAAAATCCCCACCTGACCTGAGCCCTTAAGGCCCCACAGCAGCCCTGCCCACCTCTCTGGCTGTGAGGGTGCTCTGCTCTAGGCACCTGCGTACACCTGTCTAATCTGTGGGAAATCTCAACTCATTCCTTTTTGGGGCCTTTGCTCACTGTTCAATTGGAACTCAGCTTCTTCCATCACTTGTGCCTCAGCTCAAACGTCACGTCCTCAGAGGCCTTTCCTGACCTCTCAGCTACAGAACCACTCCTGCAATTGCTGAAACTGTCAAGCTATTTTATTTACGGCACTTATCAGTAGGTGGGATTATTTTATCATGTATTCACTTATATGTCATGTCTTCTCCATCAACTTGAATGCAAGCTCCAGGAGGCCTGGCGTGGACATCTGCATTGTTTCACACATGGAACAGGGAGCAGCGCCCAGCAGGTACTCAGTAAATACTAGTGGAATGAATGAAGATGCAGGTGTGTTCCCACATACACCTGGATGTGATGCACTATCTGTGTTTGCTTTTCTAGTGTCACAGAGACCACAGACTATCTTTTCTCAAACTGCCAGATTCAGAGTCAAAAGTACCAGCCTAGATGGGAATTATGCAATATTGGGTAGTGCACTGAAGTGTTCCCGGTCCAGCAGCTCCTGTTTCTATACTAATAAAAACAATTTCCCTTTACTGAGGGCAGCGTTCAGGTGCTGAGCCAGGCACTCCACGCACATTATCTCATTTCCTCCCCACCACTGCCTTTTCGAGTGGGAACCACAATCCTTATGTCCACACTACCAGAGCCAGGAGCCGCAGAGTTAGGATTCAGTCTGGTGAGCATGAGAGCCATGGTCTTAACTCCACACTGCGCCATGGTGCGGGCGTGGCTCCGACTCCTCATCCCCAGTGGAATTAGCGTGCCAGCCCCATCTACCTCATTAAATCGCTTTGAAGATAAAGTGGGGTCTCAGACATGAACACAGATTAAGACTCTGGAGGCCCAGACAGCCACCAGCACAGCACTGCTGCAATTGTCCAGCCTCCTGCCCCCTTCAGTCCTCCCCATTCCCATCTGTGCCTTCTCACCCACCGGAGACAGGAAAGCCCAGCCAACCTTCTGAACCCACAGGGCAGGATGGGGCTGTGATGGAGTTCATGACGAACATGTGACACATATGAACCTCACACAGATTCTGAAAATTCAGTGGGGAAGGAGAAGCAGCACGAGGACACAGAGGCACAGCAAGCAAGCGTCTACTGCCAATATCCACAGCCTCCAGGATACACTGTCCCCTGTCAGTCACTTGACAACTCACTGACCAGTGGGGACATTCTTCTTAAGGGATTTTTTTGAGATGCAGTCTCACTCTGTCACCTAGGCTGGAGTGCAGTGGTGCAGTATCTGCTCACTGCAACCTCCACCTCCTGGGTTCAAGTGATTCTCCTGCCTCAACCTCCCAAGTAGCTGAGATTACAGGTGCCTGCCACCACACCCAGCTGATTGATTGTATTTTTAGTAGAGAAGGGGTTTCACTATGTTGGCCAGGCTGGTCTTGAACTCCTGACCTCGTGATCTGTTTACCTTGGCCTCCCAAAATGCTGGGATTACAGGCGTAAGTCACTGCACGTGGCCAGGGATTTTTTTTTTTTTTTAATTAGGGAGACCTCATTAGAAGTTAGTGCTTCAGGATATTTAGACAATTAGAGAGTTAATATCCTAATAACAATAGCCAAAATAAATAACCCAATTAAAAAATGGGCAAAGGACCGGAACAGACATTTCTCCGGAAAAAAAGACACGCAAATAGCCAACAGGTGTCTGAAAAGAAGCTCAAGGTCACTAGTCATCAGGGAAATGCAAATCAAAAGCACAGTGAGAGGACTCTAAAGGGGGGTGGGGAAGGACAAGTGTTGGCAAGGATGTAGAGAAACTGGAACTCTTACACATTATTGGTGGGAATACAAAATAGTGCAGCCATTATGGAAAACAGCACGGAGGTTCCTAAAAAACAAAGTAGAATGACCTACCACAAGACCCAACAATCCCTTCTTCTGGGTATTCAGTGAAAGAACTGAAATTAGGATCTCAGTGAGAGATCAGCACTGTCATGCTCACAGCAGCTCTACTGTCAACAGCCAAAATGTGGAAACAAACCGGACGTCCATCAGCAGACAAATGGATAGAGAAAATGCAGTCAATACATACCATGGACTATTAGTTATGGGGCTGTCATTATTTAATGGAGTCTTTATTTTCTCCAAAAAGAAGAAGGTGATCCTACCATTTGCAATTACATGGATAAACCTTGAGGACATTATGCTGAGTGAAATAGGTCAGTCACAGAAGGACAAATATTGTTTGATTCCACTTATAGGAGGTAGTGGAAATAAACTCAGAAGCAGAGCAGAAAGGGGCATGGTGGGAGAAATGGGGGGTCCTCATGAATATCAAGTTTCAGGTATGTAAAATGAGTAAGTCTTAGAAATCTGCCGTCCAGCATTGTGTCTGTAGTTTATAATACTATACTGCACACCAAAAATATGGTAAGAAGGTAGATATATTAAATGTTCTTACCGTAATAAAATAATACAAATAAAAGTGGGGTAAGCCAGGCACAGTGGCTCACACCTATAATCTCAGCACTCTGGGAGGCCGAGGCGGGTTGATCACCTTAGATCGGAGTTCAAGACCAGCCTGGCCAACATGGTGAAACCCTGCCTCTAATAAAAGTAAAAAAATATTAGCCAGGTGTGGTGGCATGTGCCTGCAATCCCAGATACTTGAGAGGCTGAGGCATGAGAATTGCTTGAACCCAGGAGGTGGAGGTTGCAGTGAGCTGAGACTGCATCACTGCACTCCAGCCTGGGCAACAGAGCAAGACTCTATCAAAAAAAAAAAAAAGAAAAGAAAAGAAAAAGAAAAGAAAAGAAAAGTGAAGGAAGGAAGGAAGGAAGGAGAAAAGTGGGGGGAACAGGGAACTGGAAAGGTGAATGCTGACAATCATTGACGCTGAGTGGTGGTATGTAGGAATTCATTTTATAATTCTACTTTTGTGTATGATGAAATTATAATAAAATTTCTTTTAAAGAAAAAAAATAAAAGATTCTATAGCAACTGAACACATTTCTCTGTGTTAAATGACTTCAGTCCTCTCTGGCCTCCCTTCTGCTAAAGTTGAGTCAGGCTAGGCAAGTCTGCCTCTGCTGCATGGCTCCAGCTTCTGGGATATGCCGTCAAACTCTCCTTTCCTCCATGGGGGTAAAAACAATACCACAGGCAGAGATTTCTGCAAACCCTTAGAATTCCAAAAGGCAGCCAATGTGAACTCTGGTGTTATCAGAAATTCAACAGAAGGGATGAAATGGCAGCATAAGCGTTGTTTCCTCTGGGAGCTCTGCTACACATGGATGTCAGGAGTTAGGGTCATGCCAGGAGGAAACAAGTGGATGACCTCAAGTGAAGCGGCACAGTCACTGCAGCCCCTGGGGACACTGAATGGCAGGGGGTTTCTAACCCGTTTCGTCCAAGCAGACTAGTTTACTGAGCACGGTTTAAGCAGTGAAAACTGAAGTGCCTGGCATTTGACAGTTCTGGGAACAGAGAGAACAGAGGTTTCTTTTTTTTTTTTAGGTTTTGCACTCTGGGAACAGACATCCATTTATTAATGACTTTTGTTGGCTATTAGTTAAATGATAGGTGAACACATACTTATTCAGTAGCCAGTAGCCATATGTGCCAGGAGCTCTGCTGGGTGTGCGGGTTTCAAAGATGGACAGACTGTGGTGACTGTCCCTGAGAGCAATGGTCTGGGAAGGGAGACCAAGGGACAGACAGGTAATCTCAATGGAATTGCAAATATCAGAAGCAGCGGTCACAGAAGCACAGTCCTTCCCTAGCCTTCCAGTCCTCACTCTTCCTTGAAAACCCAAGTTCGCACCTGGGCCATCTACAGGTGCTGAGTTCATTTTCTCACCCCCATCGGTCTGCTGCCCCACCACTCCACATGCAGCTGGGGACACCAATGTCCTCGATGGCACTCGATGGTTATTGAAACCGGCCAATAACCAGTTCCCAGACTTCCCTCTTTCTTGACTCTGTCTCTGACGGGTGGAAGCACTGCATCCTGGCAACATGACACCCACGCTCTTCTCCCTGCAGCTGCTGCTGCGTCTCAGTCTCCTCCACCACTTGCACGGTAACGTGGTTCTAAATGCTGGATTCCTCCGGGCTCTGCCCTGACGCCCTGGCTTTTCCTCTTGTGTGGCTGCAGTCGCTATCTTCATGGCTACAGCCCTGTGCCTGGGCAGGCTCACGTGCACTCACTAGTTCTACCAGCATGTGGCTCTGGCACGTCCATCACCTCCCATCTCCCTGCCCACACCAGCTCTCCCTTCAGGGAGCTCCCCTGTCCTGCTCCGGCTGCACAAGGAGCCCCCTTTGACTCCTCCCGCTCCCTCAGGCTCCCTTGCTCCAGCCTTTACCAGGCCAGGCCAAGCCTTCCCTCTGGACTCCTCTCAAATCCCTCAGCTGGTCTCCATCCCCGTGGCTGCCACCAGAGTCTGTGCCCCCATATTGCTTGGATGACTGCCTCCTACTGACTGGGCACACTCACACACACATTCTCTACTTCAAAAGTTCCTGTTCTGCCTCAGGCCTCTTCTGAGGCCTGGTGTGCGGTGTTCATGGGAACGCAAGGAGGACACACTCCCCAGGCCCTGCTGGTACCTGGGTCTCGGGGTCGTTGGAGCCCAGGCTGGCGGCCCCCAGCTTGACCACCTCTGCGAGCTGGGTGATGGTGGCTGCCGAGGACTGGGCCGCCTGGGCCAGCTTGTCAGGAGTGGACGCAGCTCCTGACACAAGCAGTTTCGTGTCTTCCACCAAGGCCTTGGCTGTCTTCAGAATGTTCTCCCTGGGAGAGCCAGGAGGGCAGGGGAGAGGGGGAGAGACAGAGGGCAAAGCTTGATTACTTCAGGAAGAAAAGAAATCCCTCACAGGGGGCTTTGGTTAAAGGGCTTTGAGGAAGAGAAGTCCTGTGTTATACGTCCCCTTACCAAGGGACTCTCATCTTGCACAAATGCAAAACCGGGGGCTGGGGGGAGAAGAAAGTCACCCGGTATTCACTCATAGCCCACCGATGTGATAACTTTAGTGACAGAATCAGGTCCACCAATCTGGCTCCCTTCCCAAGCCCTATCATCCAATGAAAGGTCAGCTTCTTTTCTGTGGCTCCCATAGCCCCTCAGAATACTTCATAGCTCCAGCGACTGTGAGGACACATGGGCTAAAGCACCTTGTCCAGGATCAAAGGCTGGGTTTGGGAAGGGACAGCAGAGCTCTGGGACCCTCCTCCCTAGACCTGCCGTTCGTTAGCTTGCAGGGGGGACGAAGGGTGTAAAACATGTGGTGAGGTTTCAGAGTCCCTGAAGATAGACAGAGCAGCAGATAGCGAGGGTCGGTGCAAGCTCAGCAGAGACAGAGGGTTTGAGCCCCATTTCCCAAAACAGGCCTTAAGTGAAATATGCCTGCCCCAGCCACTCCCAATCCTGCTACAGTTGGCCAGCAGTTCAAGGAACAGCTCTCTGGCTCAGAAGGTGGCAGGTCTTAGAGACATCCTTTGCTGGAGAAGGTGGATTTAAGGCTGTCAGAGGCAAAGCTCGAACATGACGCTGTGTTTACGGTTGGCAAAAGGGGCTTATTCTGATTACATGGTTCACTTGCCCTGCTTGTGCATCTTGTTGAAATCAAAACAGATAACCACATTTCTGGCTCCCAGGTGGCGTCTCCAAGTCGACCATGAGTTTCAGGGGCAGGCCCGCCTGAATCTCTCCACGTCCAGGACCCCCACGTACCTGTGGTCTGCAAATGTCTCACTGTTCTCTGCATTCAGTGTCCCCGCTGTTGCAAACATAATGGTGGTGTCCAGGTCAGCGATGATCCCTGACACAGCAGTGGCGGCTGTGATGCATGCTTGGGTTCCCTTGTTCCCAGCCTGGAGAGCCCAGAGCACCAAGGAGACCTGTAGGCAGAAAGGGAATGTGGGGGGCGCTGGGAAATGGAGAGGACAGGACCTAAAAGCAGATTCTGAAAATACTGAACTCTCTCCTAGGAGCTGATGGGGTTAACAAGACACGTCCGAAGTCAACAGCCTCAGTCCGAAAACCAGCTTTGCCATTTACAGGCCACATGACCTTCTTTACCTCTCCAAACCTCAGTTTCCTCATCTGTAAAACGGGGCCATTATTTCTGGCCTAACGAGGTAGTTGAGAAGATTAAGTAGGAAAAAAAAATCTGTAAAGTGTCTGGCAAGGCATTTGGCATGCAGTAAGCGCTCAGCAGAGGGCAGATGCTGCTATTTATTCAATTGCTACTATGTTTCTGAAACCACGCAATGGATGAAGGATTAGGCTCCTGTGAAAGGTGTGGCGATTACACCCCCTTGAGTAGGTTTTCAGTAGGAACAGACCACTGCTAACACTCATCCCTCCCTCGCTGGGACAGAAATTCTCCAGCATGGCGCTCAGAAGGGCTGGAGTCTAGAGGGGATCTGTGCATGTGACCTCTCCGCTTCTAACCCTTCGAGCTGTCGCCCACCCCCAATCCATCACTGCAGTGCCCCAAGGGTCCAGCAAGTTCACTCCGGTATCTTCCATGTCAGAAACCCTGTGCTGTCACCCCTCACCTGCCACGTACACCTTCACTGCCTCAAGGTATTTTCCTGTGACATGAACCCGACCACACTAACACCCTGCTTCCCAGTCTCCCCTGGCTGAGCTCCCTTTCTGGTCACATGTCTGCTTCACCTGGCTCTCACCACACCCACCAGCTTCTGACTTTGACAACACTCCCACCTCTGCACCCTGGGTCTGCGCTCTGCCTGCAACGCCTCTCTCTCTCACCCCCAGCCACTGAAATACCTGCCCTGCAAGATGCCAAAGTGAAGGAAGAAGGAAAAGCCACCAAGTACAGATGCATCATCCTGTGCCTCACGGAGCTCAAAACAGCTGAGCCCTGGACACCCCCCACCTGCTGTCCTCTTGCAGAGAGAGCTCTGCCTCCCGGGATTCCACAGCACACTGTTCTTGCCCTGAGGAGGGCCACTGCATGTGTAAATAGCATGTGTCAGTGGCTGGAGGCTCTCTGAGGTCAGGAGACCTTGTATTAATGTCTGTGCACACACACCCACCACCCTTAACTATGACTGACCCAGAGAAGAATCTGACAACACTGTGTACATGTTTCTCAAAACATGTTGACCAGGGCAGGGGAGTCATTGTGTCAGCAAGAGGCACAGAGTATGAGATACTCTTTACCCTGTGCTGCTTAGATCTCAGCAGAGGCTGTGGACACAGTCTGGCAGGAAAGGCACAGGGACCATTTCCTGGGCACCTACCACATTCCATGACCAGCTCACATGGAAGTGTTTCTCTTCTTCATCTGCCTGACTTTCTTTTAAGTGCTACCAGGCCTTACCAGGAAAAGACAAGTCACACTGGCATAGATCTGGCCTGGAAATTAGGTATCCAGGTTCCAGAAAGCCCCTCAGAGGATGGGTGACAAAGGCCGAGACAAGTATTGCTGGAAGCCTTCAGGGGTGTGTATGTGTGTGAGAGACATTCTTAGCCCCGGTGAAGAAAGAGAGTCCAGAGATAGCATCTCACCCTCTGAAAAAGGTGTGCAAGCCAGCAGGTGTTTACTGAGTATCTGCTACTCTGCAGGGGCTGAGGACACAAAGGCAGGTAAGTCATGACTGTATGTGGGGGCACTATACACACCATTGAGGCGTATAACAAGACACAAACCATAGAGGCCAGGATGCGCAGCAAGGAACATTCCAAAGGCCAGCTGCTAAGAACCAGCCACCTCCTCCCCTTTGGTGATCCCTCCAGCTGTCCTAAATCCAGGACCCACAGCTGGGAGAGGTAGCAGGGCCAAGGCCAGCTCAGGAAGACCATGCTGCTTGGCCACGGTCTTCCGGCAAACACTATGCAGCTTGGACCCCTCTCCTCCTTCCCTGGTGCTCCTGCTACAGGGCCATTTACGGGGGAACTTGGCAAGAACAACTTCAATAACAAGAAAGGGCTTTGAAAGGAAGGCAAATGCCTTCCTCCAGCTGAGAGATTTATTTCGTCTGTGGAGTCCCAGGAGGCTGGACATCCTGGTGGCTTACCGGAGAAGGCCAGACTGTGGCTTGGCCTCGGGGAGGGCCACGGACAGAGAAGCCTCTGTGGCAGCAGCTTCCACTTGAGGGTTCCCCCTGCCCGCCCCTCAAGTCTGTTGCTAGGTTTCTAAACAGGACAGAGCTCTATGTCCTATGAACCGGAGTGGAGGGAAGGGGAAAAGCCACCAGGCCTGATGCTTTATCCTGTACCTCAGGCAGCCTCAAAACAGTGACCTGAAAAATGATTCCCAGATGAAAAGCAAAGCCAAAGACTTGATACTGGGGGAGAACAAAAGAGCTACTTGGGAATGTGGAACCATTCAGAGTAGGGCGTGGTTAACTGGGAGAAAGTGCCTGGGGGAAGAGGGGTTCGGAGGAAAGTTTCCAGAAGACAGTAGCCAGATTAAATGCTTGGCTGTGGCTGGCACTGTACGAGGCGCTTTTACACCTATCGCCATATTAAATCTCTGCAGTTCTATGAGTCGGATATTATATATTTTATCTTCATTTTACAGATGAGGAAATCAGCGTGGAAAGGTGAAGCACTTTGCTGAGATCTTACAGCCCTGTTCACTGCCGCATGGGAATTTATCTACAAACAACTGTCTTTAGAGTCAGAAAACCTAGTGCAAGTCTCTGCTTCCTCTCAAAGGTACACCATTGCCCCATGTGGCCTAATACTGCCCGACTTCACTGACTCATCTGTAAATTAAAGAGGTCACACCAAAGGGCTTTTCATTCCTCCTGACTCAGCCCTCAGCATTTAGGAGCCCCCTTGAGAAGGAAGACGGTGTCAAAAGGGGTTGCAGGAAAGGGCTCCGGCTCCAGGCCTCCCCGGACCAGGCGCTCCTGGCTGCTGATGGGGACTTTAATACAATCTGCCCTCGGGACAGCCCTACAAGAAGGGGGAATGCCAGGGCCCAACCTTCAAGGGACAGTCCCTTTAAGTCATCAAATTCTCTGGGCCTAGGAGCACCCCAACTCCCTGATGTGCCGCACTCTTGAAAGAACTTGGGCAGTGGGGAAGATCGGGGTGAGACAGCTGAGTCAGCTGGGTTAGTTTCCTGCTTCTGTCCCTGATTACAGCAGATCACTGAAAGCCAGCGCAACTTCCTGTGGCTCTGACCCCAGTGCTGCTCCTTACCTTCTCCGTGACGGCGCGGGCGCACTCGATGAGCTCCTTCTTGGTGTAGCTGTCCGTGGGGCAGACCTGGAAGGCCCCTGCCTTCTGCACCAGGAAGATACAGCCATGGCCCAGGTCCTGCACACGAGTGCGAATCTGGAATCCGATCTGCAGAGGCAAGCCCAGGATGGGGAAGGAGAAGCATGATGGACCCTGCCATCAAGGCCTTCCCTATGTGGAAAATTTCTCCTATGTCCTATGGGAGCCTGGCTAGGAAAATTCCACTCCTATTAGGAGTCTGTGTTTGTTGAAGTATGGAATTTAGTCGATTTTGCTTCCCTTTTTAGAGACCATAAAATGCCCAGTCTCTACCTAGCTAGCCTGTATCTTGTGGTCCTAGCGTAATACCTGCCTGATATGTATCTTCCTGGGTTTATAGCTTCCTTATCTGCTCCTCCAGCCACCTAGTAAGAATATTAAATAGATGAACTCTGTGGGACAATTATATTATTTATTCAACAAGCATTTACCAAGCCCCTATTATGTGTCAAGGCCTCTTCTAAGCAGGTAGTGGGTTTAATTTCATTTATTCTTCACAGCAGCTCTAGAGGGTAATGAGAGGTTCAAAATGTGGTTTCCATATTAAGCTTATTTTGAAGTGTTCAGATTCGTGCAAAATTGGTATGTTTACCAACCCGAACACCCCTTCCCCAGCTGTACCCCATGGGGACAGCAACTGTATCAAGGCCAGGCTTCCTTCTATCAGGCCAGGTTTGAGATCTCCTTTAAAAGGAAGCCAGACAGGTACAGTGGTTCATGCCTATAATCCCAGCACTTTGGGAGGCCGAGGTGGGTGGATCACGAGGTCAGGAAATCGAGACCATCCTAGCTAACACGGTGAAACACCATCTCTACTAAAAATACAAAAAATTAGCTGGGTGTGGTACCCTGTGTCTGTAGTCCCAGCTAATTGGGAGGCTGAGGCAGGAGAATCGCTTGAACCTGGGAGGAGGAGACTGCAGTGAGCCGAAATCACACCACTGCACTCCAACCTGCGTGACAGAGCAAGACATCGACTCAAAAAAAAAAAAAAAAAAGCCACATTTTTAGAGCTAAAAGCTCAGTGGGCACACATTCTTTTAGTAACTCCTGGGTTGTGTGATTATAAAAAAGCTAGTTTGCCTAAGAGAGGCCAAATGGGCTCCACTGAGGATTAGGGGCCAGCCGTCTCCTTTAAGGTGTAATAAATTCCACCTCCACCTCCCACGAAGTTTGCATTCCTCCGGCCGTTTCACATCAAATTTCATTTTGGTCTGATCAATACCGCTGCCATAAATAATCTGCCTTTTAGCCCAGGTAGGCAACTAAATCCAAACCAAAACAAAACTTTAAGCATGAGCCAGTGTTATTTTCAAGAATCTATAATAACTAGAAGCTGCGGCTCTTGTCCTTCCAGCATATACCTGGAATAGTTACGAAAAGATCTCAGGTATTACGAATAAAACCTGGGAGATTACACTTTGGGAGGCCGTGGCGGGTGGATCACGAGGTCAAGAGATCGAGACCATCCTGGTCAACATGGTGAAACCCCGTCTCTACTAAAAATACAAAAAATTAGCTGGGTATGGTGGCGTGTGCCTGTAGTCCCAGCTACTCGGGAGGCTGAGGCAGGAGAATTGCCTGAACCCAGGAGGCGGAGCTTGCGGTGAGCCGAGATCACGCCATTGCACTCCAGCCTGGGTAACAAGAGCGAAACTCCGTCTCAAAAAAAAAAAAAAAAAACCTGGGAGATTTTTGGCCACCTGTATGCTTGATTCTGATACCATCTCATTAGTCACAGTTTAAGGAAGGGTGACTTTGGAGAATGAGAAGTGCTGCAATTATTATATTTCTCATGTTATTGAAACACTGCTTTTAGGGAAAAAACCTTCTTCCTCTAATCCCGTAAGGCCCAAAGAACTTTTAAATCCATTTAGTAGAATATTCTCCTGATTGAGAAAGTTGAGCGTCTGCTCTTTTGGGTGTCTTTATAGACTGTCTTTTATTTATTTATTTTTTAGATAAACAGTCCTGCTCTGTCACTCAGGCTGGAGTGCAGTGGTGCGTTCTTGAGTCATGCAACCTCCGCCTCCTGGGTTCAGGCAATACTCCTGTCTCAGCCTCCCAAGTAGCTGAGATTACAGGAGGTCACCACGACGTCTGGCTAATTTTTTTTTTTTTAAAGTAGAGACAGGTTTTCACCATGTTGACCAGGCTAGTCTTAGACTCAAGTGATCCGCCTGCCTCAGCCTCCCAAAGTGCTGGGATTATAGGCATGAACCACCGTGCTTGGCCAAGCTTCTTTTGGGTGCCTTCTATACACCTTCATACACCGGGAGCTAGAGACTGCGGATGCTTCATAATTAAGCAGGGCTACCTTGTAGATGACCCCCATGCGGAATACAGCTTAAGCAGCACCTCTGGACTGCACAACATGGTAGCTCTGCACACAGGTCTGGATGGCGCAGCAGTAAAGCTGCCGCTGAGGAGGGAAAACACTGCCATTCAGCCCACACAAATGTAACGTCATTTAAATGTGTGTGTGTTTGCTGGACATGTTTGTTGGTTTCAAAATAATGTTCAGCTGAAGCAGGGGTATACCCCACTAAAATTTTAAACAATCCAGATCTTGAAGTGTTCCAGATCCACAGTGTTGAAACCCAAGTATTTCAGGGTAATATACTCTAGAGGCGAGGGCTCTGAGGTTGGTGATGACCACAGATCTTTACAGGATAAAGTGCTGCTGAAAAGGTCATGTAAGAAGAAAATGGAGTTAGAAACATTTATAGAATTTCAAGGTAAAAAAAGATCTTACTAGTTTAACTTCTCCATTTTATAGACAGAGATTGAGCCTCAGAGAAGTTATTGGATTTGCTTAAGACCACACCGCTGGTCCTCGGCAAAACTAGGTGAGAATCCAGGCCTTTCATCCTGAGCACAGTGCTCTACCCGGGAGATCAGTGTTTTCCTAACGTCTTGGATTTTTCTACTTAGCAGCAGAGCCCTTCCTGTCCCTCTCCAAATTAAATCTCCTGTGGATCTCAGTATGTCAAATAAATAACAGTAATGGGTTATTGGTATGCTCTTCCTTTATGCGTCAAAGTGTGTGTCTCTGACCCAACGAAAAGCCAAAAATGAGACTGAGCGAACCCAAGTTTTACAGATTAGATTATGGAGGCTAGGTAGTCTCAGCCACCAAATTATTTCTGTAGTTTGCTTTGGTGACACAGTGTTAGGAAAATCCTGTTACATGCATAGATGAAGCAAAGGAGAGCAGTTTCCTCCCAGCTCTGGACCACTGCAGGCAAGGCGGAAGCAGCACCAGCCTGAGGTCAGCACGAAACTACTCAGCAGCCCGAAGCAAAGCACTGGTGGCCCCCAAAGGGTTCCCATTAGGCCCAGATCACACTCAAAAGGTCCTTTCTGCCATCCACATGAGTGACAGGTTGAGTGCAAGGGCAGTTTCTCCTAACAGTTTCAACAATAGTTAAATTAAGTTTAAAAAGTGACACTAGGAGCAAACACGCAGAACTTCCTCCATAGGCCAGAGTTTTAAAGAACACGGCGTGAAGCCACGCTGCTAGAAGAGACTCACTGATCTCTTATCTGCGGCTGCACAATCCTCTTTGGACAGTACACGAGAGGGATGCAGTGTTATCAATGAGAAGTTGAGATGGGCTTCACCCACTGACGTTCATGGGCCAGGAGGGCTGAATCTAAGAGGAAGGATGGGATCTCAGGATTCCCAGTCAGCGCTCTTTTCAACCTTTCACCCCATGAGGGCAGCAGAAAGGACTAGGGACCTTGCTTCCAGCTCTGCCTTCTCCTTCGGAACCTGACACTCTGTGGGAGCCCACTCGCCTTGAGGGGACTTTGTTCCTTCCCCTGTGAATAGGGACAGAAGCTATGTCCCATTCCCAGGGCTGATGGGATGGCCAAGTAAACGGTGCTGGGATTACAGGTGCGAGCCACTGAGGAAATTCATTTTTTGAGTCTGTATTGAAAAAGATGAGATTTAGACTAGGCTCAGAGTCTCATGCCTGTAATCCCAGCACTTTGGAAGGCTGAGGTGGGTCGATCACTTGAAGCCAGGAGTTTGAGACCAGCCTGGACAACATGGTGAAACCCCATCTCTACTACAAATATAAAAATTAGCTGGGCATGGTGGCATGCTCCTGTAATCCCAGCTACTAGGGAGGCTGAGGCAGGAGAACTGCTTGATCCCAGGAGGTGGAGGTTGCAGTGAGCTGAGATTGTGCCACTGCACTCCAGTCTGGGTGACAGAGTGAGATGCCGTCTCAAAACAAAAAACAGGAATTTAAAAATGCTAAGCTTCTCCATGAATACTATTCAATAAATGTGAGCATTCCACAGGGTGATCCAATGCACTACCAGTGTTTATTAGAAAGGAATGTTGCTCAAACACATAAAATGTGGGGTTTTTAATTGGTAACTTTAGAAAAGTGTTACTTGAGCCTCAAGAAAAACCCTCAATCCCTTTCTTGTGGAAATAAAAGTAAAACAGAGAAAATCATGTCCTGCTTTTGTGCCTTGAGGGAAATGAAAAGCCTGGTCTTGGTGAAGTTTTGGATGTGACTCCAGCTGGAGGGCCTCTAAGGAATCCTGATCACCTTTCCTCACTGACTCAAACAAAACACAACACACTGGTTTTTCCTAGGCCTTAAAAACAACTACATCTGAAACCAGGTCAAATATAATTTGCCTTTGAAAGTTGAAAAGGTAAGAATGGAACTCATCTGACAAAGAAAACGTGGAAGAAAAAAATGGCTGGGCACAGTGGCTCACACCTGTAATCCCAGCACTTGGGAGGCTGAGGCAGGTGGATGGCTTGAGTCCAGGAGTTTAAGACCAGCCTGGGCAACATAGTGAGATCTTGTCAATACAAAAATTAGCCAGGCATGGTGGCACACATGTGTAGACTCAGCTACTTGGGAGGCTGAGGTGAGAGGATTGCTTAAGCCCAGGAGGGAGGTCAAGGCTGTAGTGAGCTGCGATCGCACTACTGCACTCCAGCCTGGGGAACAGAGTGAGTCCCTGGCTCAAAGTATTATTACTATCAGTTTGGTGTAAAAGGAATTGTGGTTTATGCTACTAAAATTAATGGCAAAAACTGCACTTACTTTTGCACCAACCTAATAGAACAGTGGGTCCAATGGCAGCGGGGCATCATTTTCCCACCTCCAGCATGTGTGTCTTGGGGTGGAAAATTTTAGAGAATTCTAAAGCAGACATCCATTTCATCTGGGGGAAAGGGCTGTGGTTCTCACCACAGGCGCTTAACAAACAATTGCGTCAGCTTTTAAGGCATCCGGTATTTCAAGTGGTTACTGCACATTTTCCTCTAGACAAAGCTGTCGTTGCTACATCTTTTCCCCAGGATATACATTTGGAAGTTGTGGCTCACAGGATTTCAATTTCTTTCTTCTTCTTCTTAAGGGGAAACTAATCTTAAATTGCAAAGCTGCCAGAGGCTTTTAACTTTCCCAAAGAACGAAGTTTTCACAGTGATGTTAACAAAGGTTTGAATGTTCCATGGAAAAAAAAAGCAGATAAAGCTCCTGCTTGATGTTCCAGGGCAGACCTCCGACTTTTCCTGTAATTGTCACATGCTGGAAAAGACCAAAATGCTGACCTTGCACAGCCGACTGCGGGACTGCAGCGAAGGGGGCAGCTTCGTACTTCTCCTGGATATAAATATTTTCACATGCTGTGAGGGGGGGCCCTCTTGGGTACACAAGTAATTCCAGGGTCTTGGAATAAAGAACTACATTGCTTCAAGGATCTCCTAAGCTTCTCAGTTTTCCCCCAAATATCTCTCTGGCAAATGTACACAAAGAATTTTCCTTGGCAAGCCACTGGAAATTTTATATTCTCTCTGCCCCTTTGATTCCAGGTCACAGTGCTCTCGTGTCTGGAATGTAAAATACATCTCAAGATGTAACAGTGAAAAGGAAAACCTTAATGAAAACGTTAGCTGCTACCAATGCAGGGTCGTTAACCAAAGCAACCTGCTGCTGTGCTTTTAGCAACACAGTCTCTTCCCTCACCACTTCAGCATTATTTTATATTTTGCTTCAAAGGTCTGTTTGCAATTAAAAAAAAAATCTGCTTGTTTCACACGTCGGGTGGGTAGTTTGTAAGAACTCAGATGTGGAAAGGGCCCCACAGACAGTTCAGGGAGGCCAGCAGTTTAACCAAGACAGATGGGGGTAGGTTCCATTTTTAAAGGTTTCTGTGGACAGAGATCCAAGCCTCCCCTGCCAGACACTTCTTCTTTTTTTTTTTGAGATGGAGTCTCACTCTGTTGCCCAGGCTAAAGGGCAGTCTCGGCTCACTGCAACCTCCACCTCCCGGGTTCAAGTGATTTTCCTGCCTCCGCCTTCCAAGTAGCTGGGATTACAGGCATGCACCACCACACCCAGCTCATTTTTTGTAGAGACAGTGGTTTCACCATCCAGGCTGGGTCTTGAACTCCTAACCTCAAGTGATCCACCCTCCTTGGCCTCCCAAAATGCTGGGATTGCAGGTGTGAGCTGTCATGCCCAGCCCACTTTTTCCCTTTGTCCAAGCAAACGTTCCTCACTGTAACATAAATTCCATTACACTTGATTATGGATTTCAAAATTATAGGTTAGTCAAATGAATTATAAATCTAGATGATCTTACTAAATCAGGGAGTCTATTGTTTAAAAAGTGATAGGCCTGTGTAAAGACTCAGTGTAGGCATCTGATAACTCTCTTTTCTTGGTAGTGACTTCATGCTCACTGCAAATAGAGTTATTCATGCTACAGCCTAGTCAATTATTCTACTATCTCAAACTGCAGGCACCGTTAGAGACCTAAGTAATCTCATGCTAAATATATATGTATGCAAGTACATATATATGTGGTCTCCTATTTACATGCATTGTTAACACACATTAGAGAGCGATTTGTTTCGGGTCTTCATTTTTGTAGTATCTCTGGGAGTCTCTGAAAAGACAGACTTGACTCTCAGGAGCAATAGCAACAATGAGTAACTTGGGGACAGTGACTGTCACTATAAGGAGAAGAGAAGACCAGTTACAATTTTCTGCCTTGACAGCTCAGTTCATTTAGGAACGTCTTGAACAGGGTTTACGCTCAATAAACAGCTTGCTGAATTTCACAGAATATAATTACCTTTATCTTTCAAGTGTCCCTGTAATCCACTCCATTAATCTTCATTTTAAATTGAGCTTCCTTTCTGTAGGAAGCCATGTGGTTCCCCTAGCCCTGGACTCCTCCTGTGTGTTCACACTGATACAGATGTGATGAGGCTCCCTGGAGCCACACCTGACCTGCGTCCTTCCCAGTGGACCACACCATTAGAGGGATCAGAGATGGCAGCTCTTAGAAAGTGGGCTTTGGGGCCCCACTTTTGCTACTGTTAGACTCCTATGGGTGCAGGCATTCTAAAGCCAAGTCTACACTGGCCACTAAAGAAACCTGGTCTAGCAAAGGCAGGGAAGTAATCACAGGAGTCCACAGGAGGTCTGGGGGCAGGGATCTGGGCCAGCTCTTCGCCACCCAGAAAATTCAGGCAAGACTTTATTTCATGAAAGTAGCTCTTTCTAGGGAGCAGAATAGCTAATTCTCATACTTGAATCTTTCAACCCTTCTGTGAATCTTGGGAAAACAAGAATAATTGCATGGGATGTGCTAAGTGGAGTGGGAAGGGATGACATGGCAGCCCCAAACTTGGGCATGCTAATAGAGACAGCAGGTGATGGGTCTAGGGACAGGGGACCTGGCAGAACATTGTATACAAAGTCCTTATGTTTGAAAGCCCATGTCCCAGTTCTTGGCCAGTCTGCCCCATAAGGAGCAGTGAGCCTTGAGCATAGCCTGGGGCTAACTGGTCTAGACCTGTACTGTCCAGTGGTGGGGATAAACCAGGCTCTAGTTACTGGGCTGGGGTCTTCTAGAGCAGAGCTAAGCTATGAAAAAATACCCAGGAGTAGACACCAGTGTGTGTGCATCTTAAAATAGGGGTCTTAAGGTGGCAGACCTCCTCTGGTTCCGCCGTGGCTGCTGCCATCTGGCCCTGGAGAGCCAGGTGCCCATAGTCACTGGTCATTTGTGAAGCCAGTCCTCCCAACTCCTCCGGGTTAGTAACCGACTTAGTCATCTGGAAAAAGAAAACAAGCAAGACACACACACACACACACACACACACACACACACACACACACAGACATACACACAGAGAAAAGCATGAGAACCATGTGTTAATATCACTAGAAGCCAAAGTGTTTCATTCACTTTTAAGCTCCTGAGGGATGAAGGCCAGGCCTTGCATTTGGGGCTAGATGCTGGAGAGGGCAGTTCAAGCCAAGCCCATGCTGCATTGCACACAAAAGGCCAGAGCCCTCACAGGGCCCTGCTTAGGCCACAGGTTCTGGCTGGGCCCGATGGGCACATGCTTAGGGTTTGGGCAGTGCAGTGTGGAGCCAGCCCTCAGGGTCTGCCCTCTGGCAGGTGAGCTGACCAGCCCCTGGCCAGCCCTGCCCTGGGGGGGGGGGGGGCACCAGAGGTATTCCCCCTAGAAACCCCCAGGAGGCACAAGCCCTGTGCGCTTCTCACCCCTGGGCCCAGGCTTCTGTGGGGGGCTAATCTGGTCTCTGGGTGGCCAGAAGCAGGTCCCACCCAGGCGAGAGAGGGCATGAGGACAGGGCTGTTAAGAAAACCATGAATGGGAAGTGATGCATAAGCCAATGTTTTGGAAGAAGAAACTCACAGAGGACACAGCTTTGCCATAAATTTGTGCCAAAGAATGACAAGGTTTTAGCCACAAATTTAGTTAAGAGCAGTGTGTAGCCAACATGGTCACGTTCTACCTTTATTATGAAGACACGGATTATTTTTCTGTTTTACAGACTGATGCACCTCAACTCTCTAAGGTAGCTGGCATGCCAGTTTCTACTGTTTCGTCTTCCTCTGGACAAAAACACCTCTTAATTCTCACAAAAGCAGTTTTAATCTGCCACCCAGAAGGGCGTCACTGTCCCTCATCAAGGGGCTCCCCCTGCTCCACCTCCTCTTGCTCTGGATAACAATATTGTCTCCTTCTTTGTGGCCTTTAAGACCTTGATTTTAAACAGCCTTTTAAAATGCCTTTTGAATGACTCTCCATCCATCAGGGCAGGACAGGAATGTGTACAAAGACACGACCCAGGCTTCAGGCTGAGATGTGGCCTCCAAGGAACTCACACTTAGCTGCACAAAAGTGAGTACTGCCACATGCTGCTCTGCTGCGACCTGCCAACAGGTGCACTGGGAGTCTGGGCATCCTCACGGGGTGAGAAGGGCCTTTTTCACACAAGGAGCCAGGCCCATTATCTCAGGAGCAGCCATGCAGCCTGAGGCTGGGCTCCTTAAGATCATGGATACCCAGGGTCAAGCCAGGCCGGCGCAGAACCTGGCTGGGGAGACATTCCAGAAACGCCATGAGGCCGCTCAAACATGTTTCACCGCTGCTGCGCTGTGCTTCTGCTCGTCAGGAATCTGCGCTGAAGGGCTGCTGGCTCAGACCTATGATCCGTACCCTACACTCCCCTGAGAAGGACAAGACTGGGCTCAGCTCCAGCTTTTCACCAAACACTGAGATGCGTGTACCATTCCCAAGCCCGAATTCTTTTAAACAGCCTGGCAGGGTCACAGAGTTTCCATGAATGAATGGCAGCAGCAGCCAGGGATGACTCTGTGGTCCAAGCTCAACCTCTAGTGGACACATGATTACATGACAAACTCACTCAGAGAGGGCCTGGCACGGCAACCACATGGTGGCTCATTCTGGTCACTCCAGCTAGGAAGGCCCATTGATTTCTCAATGCAGGCTTATGTGGCAAGTATCAAAGATGCCTCTTTTGAACTTTTATCTTACGGCACTGGAGACTTCAAAAGTCAAGAGAAACTTTTTCTATGGACTCTTACTATTTGGGGACAACATCTGTCATCTTTCATATAACTGCTTAACGTATCAGATAGCATTTGCTGTCTCTCAGTGCCCTTTATATCTAAAGATCTGTATAATGCAGTTCTGGCTGCATTACATTTTAGCAAAAAACCCCCAACAAAACAAAACAAAACATTACCTCCAAAAGTGGTATGCCTTCTACTGTCAGGAAATTTGTTTCCTTTTTACATAACTATTCTGTTTCATTTTGCTTGAAAGACTGGCAATACCTTATTGTCCACGTATTACAACTTGATTTCATCAGATAATTTCAACTCTGTTCTATTTTATCCCCAAATATCTTGTCTTGTGCTGTTATTTCAATCTATTAAAAACATCTCAAGTTCTTTGTGAGGTGAATAGGATTTGTCTCCTTTCTCCTTAACTACAAATTCCTTGCTTTCCCCGTCTTCTCCTTTCCTCTCCTTCCTTTGCTCCTCTGTCCTCATGCCCAAGTCTCTGTCATCTTTGATTTCCTCTTGTGGCTTTTTCATGACGGGAGAACTGCGGCAGCCTGGGACTACTGCACACAGGCAGCCAAAAAGACCACAGAGAAAGGACAGAAGCTGGAGCCCCGGAGGGACTAGAGAGGGGTCTGGGCTCTCTCCCCCACACAGATCTGGGATTTGCAAGCTCAGTGGTGGCTGTGGATACAAAGGCAACCGCCAGTGGGGAGGGCAGCTCTCTCCCCTCTTACCATTTCCTGAGCTGTCACCGCAATGGCTTTGGAGTATTTAACCACAGTCGTCTGATAGTCGACAAATGTTCCCTTTGGTTCTGGAGGAGTGCCTTCATCCAGCTACAGAGGAGAGGAAAATAATCCAAAGGTCATAAGAAGCCTGCTGAAGCGTAGACTGTGTTTATCAGAATTAGGAACTTTGAAGAACAGAGGGCCTCAGAGATTCAACTGAATTCAACTGAATGACCCAACTTGTGCGATTAGGACTTTAACAAAGGGGCCCATAAGGCATTGAGGGTAGATGGCAAGGAGAGGCCCCCAGCCTTCCTGAGAGGAGTGGGAGGCCTTCCAGAGGAGTGACATTTCTGGCAAGTCTTATCAGGCAAGGAGGAGTCTACCACATATAAAAGGTGGGAAAGGCATCCCAAGAAAAGGGAACAGAATTTAGGCACATGGAGGCGGGAGCCGGCCTGACGCTTCTAGGGAAGTACAAAGAGGCAGGAGATGAGGTGCGAGACGAGGCGGACTCTCCATCAGGAAGCGCTTCCTGAGGAATGGTGGAGCCCGTGGCTATCCCCGGAACCCTCCTTTATGAGAGCTATCAGGGAATAAAAGGAATTAGAAGCACTAGGAATAAGTTGTTCACCTGACTATAAATGCAATAGGAACTGAGACAAGGGCAAGATCACTGTGGGGCGGAAGACTTGGGGACACACTGGTGTAGGAGCTTGGTATTTGAGATCTGCTTCCAAGGCCTGTGAATGAAACTTGGGCTCGTTACTTCAACTCTGATTTCAAGTCCCTCAGTGGTAACTTCCAGGCATCACATGGTCACAGTAAAAATCAACATTACACCTGGTCAAGAACTACATCAGGGAGAGGAGAGGATGACCATAAGGAAGGTGCTGATGATCACAATGCTCACATCAATGATGAAGAAACAAGCAACCATCTTCACCACCACCACTTCCACCACCACCACCTCCGCCACCCACCACTTCCACCACCACCACCTCCGCCACTCACCACCTCCACCACCCACCACCACCACCTCCACCACCCACCACCACCACTTCCACCACCCACCACTTCCACCACCCACCACTTCCACCACCCACCACCACCACTTCCGCCACCCACCACTTCCACCACCTACCACTTCCACCACCCACCACCACCACTTCCACCACCCACCACCACCACTTCCGCCACCCACCACTTCCACCACCCACCACCCACCACTTCCACCACCCACCACCACCACTTCCGCCACCCACCACTTCCACCACTACCACTTCCGCCACCCACCACTTCCGCCACCCACCACTTCCACCACCACCACTTCCACCACCCACCACTTCCACCATCCCACTACCTTTCACCATCCCACTACCTTTCACCATCCCCACTGACTCCGGACCGTATTCCAGGTGAGGAGACACCACTCTCACCATCCCCACTGACTCCGAACCGTGTGCCAGGTGAGGAGACACCACTCTCACCATCCCCACTGACTGCCGGACCGTATTCCAGGTGAGGAGACACCACTCTCACCATCCCCACTGACTCCGGACCGTGTTCCAGGTGAGGAGACACCACTCTCACCATCCCCACTGACTCCGGACCGTGTTCCAGGTGAGGAGACACCACTCTCACCATCCCCACTGACTCCGGACCGTGTTCCAGGTGAGGAGACACCACTCTCACCATCCCCACTGACTCCGGACCGTGTTCCAGGTGAGGAGACACCACTCTCACCATCCCCACTGACTCCGGACCGTGTTCCAGGTGAGGAGACACCACTCTCACCATCCCCACTGACTCCGGACCGTGTTCCAGGTGAGGAGACACCACTCTCACCATCCCCACTGACTCCGGACCGTGTTCCAGGTGAGGAGACACCACTCTCACCATCCCCACTGACTCCGGACCGTGTTCCAGGTGAGGAGACACCACTCTCACCATCCCCACTGACTCCGGACCGTGTTCCAGGTGAGGAGACACCACTCTCACCATCCCCACTGACTCCGGACCGTGTTCCAGGTGAGGAGACACCACTCTCACCATCCCCACTGACTCCGGACCGTGTTCCAGGTGAGGAGACACCACTCTCACCATCCCCACTGACTCCGGACCGTGTTCCAGGTGAGGAGACACCACTCTCACCATCCCCACTGACTCCGGACCGTATTCCAGGTGAGGAGACAAAGTGAACAGAAGTGAATACGGGAAGAGTGAGTCTAGTGAGGTCAGCCCCACATTAACAGGAGGAGGCTGCTGACAGCAGGAAGAATGAGGCTGCATCTGTTTTATGGAGAAGCTTGAAATCATGAAGACCACAGAGGGATCTGGGGTAGGCAATGACGTATTTGCGAATTCCTTGGCAGCTCTCTGCCATAAAGTTCAGAGTCAGAGAAGAGATTGGGGCCAAGCCGTCAATTAGGAAAATGTTAGCTGGGGATTTCAGTGAGAGCTACATGTCATGAGCAGGTGTGAACTGCACTGTGAGTGAAGGGAACGTATCACTGAGGCCTGTGCATGATATGGCTGCAGAGCTGGCGTATAATTTTTACCCAACTATTAACATAAACTCCACACTAGACTTTTAGCTTTCCCTATCAGGCAGGGAGAGCTGTACCCCCATTAAGCATGGGGACCCTGCTGGTCAAACAAGACTGAGCTGCATACACGTTCACTTGGTGTAGACTGAACATGCTCTAAGCCGCAGGCCACGTGCTAGGAGCTTGCATGTGAGATGTGACGTCACTGCCAACATGCCAGGATGCTGGAGCTGAAGGGAAGCTCAGAGCTCTTGGCCAGTGGCCACCAGCCAAAGAACCTTTAAGTAGTCTGAGGACAATGGGAAAAGAAAGAACAAAGTAGTGACTAGGATTTCAATTGCATTTCTTAGAAAGAACTTTCCTTTATGCGGAGGTTATAGCCTTCTCCCTTTCTGGGCGCCAACATGACCTTTTGTTTGTAAAACAGCAGTGATACAGATAGCACAGTTTTTGTTTAATTTTCTTACTTGGCCAAAATGAAAACAAAACAAAACAAAAACAAAAGATATCACATCACGAAATCCCACAGGATCATATGAACCTCACTGAATGAGGAAATCAAGGTTCTGAGAGCCTCAGTTCCTGTCCAGTGTCACCCAGAAAACTGATTACTTCACAGTCATTTTTGAGTCTCCAAACTGCCTAGTGCTTAGATCACGAGAGAGAATCTCAAAGAGAAGCTCCACAGTGGAAGCCCCCAAGTGTCAAGAGTCACATCCAAGTCCTAAATAACTTGAGGTACACTCATGTTTTTCTGTAATTCACTGCCTTTGAGAATTTCAGACGATGATTACAATAGTATCTGAGTGTTTTATCCAAATTAATGATACTCTGAGAGACTACGCCAGCTAACCCCTTGCTGCATAGGGACCCAAAGGACCTGAAACATCACTTAATACGAACTCCCCAGCAACAGGCTGAGCAAAGGGAGAATGGGAATGGGGAAGAGGTGCTGTGTGATGCCCTGGATGTCAGGCCAGGGTACCTAAGAGTTTAGGGGCAACAGTGAAACCCCAATTGCATACTTTGCAGAACTGAGGGGGAAGGAATAGCTCTTGGCCTCTATGGCTTATGTTGGCCAGCAGTTCCTCATTACTGCTACCAGGTAACAGCAGACTTACTGCCAGTCCATCCAGAAGAATCAAATGTGTCTCGGCTGAGAAAGCCTATGCTATACCACTGATGGCAGGTGGCACACGGCGGTTCTCTCTGTCCACAGCGCATCACAGTGCATAAGGCACAGGGCTATCAAAGACAGACTTTGGATCTGACGTCCATCTTCCTGGGATTATGGAATCTTTCCCTATCATTTGAGTAATTCTGAAAAATATCTTCTCCCAAGAAGAAAAAAATTATCATTTGAATTTCTAATTTGCACCAAGAAACCTTGGGTTCCATTATTTAATGTCCTTAGGAAGATAACATCGTTTATCTTCAAAGCTTTGGTATTCTGAGGTCCTGAAAACTGAACAAATCCTGGCAACCAAACAAGGCCCTTATCCAAGGCCTTGAGAAGAGGAACATTTCACTCATTTTCTGCCAAAATGTCCACATTTGCAGCATGAGAAGCCTGTAGCAGAAAGTGATGGCCAATTTGACAAAGCAGAGCCTGGGGTCTCTAAACAGAGACACGGCATTCCATTCTGGGCTTGTTACGTTCCTTCTCAGGCTGATAATGACCACATAATGCTTAAGGATAATTATTCTAATTACAGTTTCAGTGTATCATTTCTTCATGGAGATATGAACAACCAATCTTCTCTAAATTAGCAATTAAAGACTACTTATTATCCTGAAAAACCTTATTAATGTATTCACAATCTGACAATGGGCATTTCAAAACAGAGACGATGTCTAAAAGTCTTGGTATGCTGTAGCAGGACGGCAATTAGATGTTGATGAGCAAGCATTCATTCTAATGAATGTCAAAACTTACGTGCCAAGTAAAGGATTCTTTGAGGGAAAGAACAGGAGATACGGAATTAAGGCTGTCTCCCGTCATGTCACCCTAATGATCAGGCTCAACTGACGGGTCACTAAGTGAGAAAATGATACTCATGTTCTCTCACGTCTGTCGCCGACAAGAGTTTACTATCGGCTTTTGCTATGTACTATTTCAGTGGTTTCTGTGGCTGCCTTATATCAGAACCACAGGGAGCATTTCAAAATCGAGTATGTTAAATACAATACATTAAAATGTAACCCAACTGAGTAGATTGGGGGTGGAGCCCAGGGATCTATATTCTTAAAACTCTACGTGATTCCAAAAACTGGCCCTTGGGAATCACGTTTATTTCATTTTGACAACTGTTTCCCCACAACAAACCCTACGAAGTAAATAATTATTTCCATCTTATAAATGAGAAAACCTATGGCATCTTTTCCATCTCCATCTTTCTCTTTCTTGTAAAATCAGAAGGAAGGGCACAACTGGCTTACAGAAGTAAGGCGTTAATAATAAAGAATATGTTGGATGTATGACCTGACATCTGTACATGAACCAGAACCTTCAAGGAAAGACATGTGGCTTCATGGGCCTTGACAGCAGCTAGAGAAAAGGAGGCGAGGCCCATGTGTGAGGGAGATGAAGGGGTAGAGAGCCCTGGCGCCCGCGCCCACCTTGCTCATGGCCTCTGCGATGGCGTCCACCATGCCCCCAACCAGCCCCACTTCACTGGCGGCTTCGTTCAGTGTCACCATGATGTCGTCCACAGCTTCCTTCATCAGCTGGGCGGCCTCTGTGATGGCGTCATGGGTGTGTTGTGCCTGAGAAGGGAATCATGAAACATTTCCTTAAGCAGAAGCGAGTGGTGCTCAGTCTTAAAAAGAAGAATATCAAACCATACTCCCACAAGGGAGCACAGCAGCATATTCTGTTTCTTCCCTATCTTTATGTTTGGCCATTTGTTTGCGAAGTAAATAAAAATCAGAAAGACACACAGAAAAAGATCTCTTTTTACAATCGAGGAAAATGAAACTGCAGTATCAAACAAAACCTTGCGGCATGACCAATTTCATATGTTACTATGTTACTACAGTAGAAAGGGAACACCACAGGCCCCGAATATACAAGTTGATATATTTAAAAAATAGTAATAGGCCAGGCACGTGGCTCATGCCTGTAATCCCAGGACTTTGGGAGGCTGAGGAGGGTGGATCATGAGGTCAAGAGATCAAGACCATCCTGGCCAACATATGAAACCCCATCTCTACTAAAATATAAAAATCAGCTGGACGTGGTGGTGTGTGCCTGTAGTCCCAGCTACTTGGGAGGCTGAGGCAGGAGACTTGCTTGAAGCTGGGAGGTGGAGGTTGCAGTGAGCCGAGATTGTGCCACCGCATTCCAGCCTGGCAGCTGGTGACAGAGCAAGACTCTAACTCGAAAATAAAATTTAAAAAAAGCTAATAATGAAAAAATGTGCTCAAAATAAATGTACTTCTCTTCAAAGTTGCCCAACACACTCTAATTCCCTGTCTAAAGATAAGACTGGATTACAGAAATGTAGGTACATCTAAGAGAAATAAATCTGTAGAGGGCCTAATAGCCTTTGAAACTGTCACAAATTATATTGCCATGAGGCTGGAGAAATGCACGGGGCGCTGCAGGCAAGGTCCCGAGTACCCACCCATGCATTCCTTAGACCATACCAGGAAGCAGGTGTCTCACACCTGTGGCAAGCACGGAGAAGGGGCTAGGTAAATGAATGAATGAAAACAATGAAACAACGGCAGTGCTAGGCTCCCTGAAAGACAACTCAAGTGGTAGCAAGATGCAGGGGGAAGAGCCGAGGTGACAAACCCAGGTTCTAGTTCTGGCTCCACCGCTGGCTAAGCAGTTAAGTGACCCTGGGCTTGGAGTCCTCCTAGGTAAAATGGGGAAAACTACAGCAGCACTATGCGGTAATGGGATGATACGGCTGCAGGCGTCTTGTCATTTCTAAGGGCAGTCTACGAGGAGATCATGGCCTTGCTCTGCAAGATTGGACCTAATGTCAGATATTTAGGGTCAGAATTGCATTACATCCAGGCACCGGGTCTACCTACGCTGTGGCTGTGGTTGCCCTGAGCCACCTTGAGGGACAGTCGACTCTTCCAAAAGGCCAAGATGTTGTATCCTTACTTTGGTAAATGAGAAGGTAAAGAAGCCAGTGGCAAACGGTAAACGAGAATTCACTGAGTGACTTTCTAAATCACAAGAGAATTCCAAGAGGTTGTGTGAGCCACAGGAATTGGCTCTGTCTGAATTGAAAACCCATAGGAAGCAAGGCAAGTAATTCAAAATGACATCTGATGAGATGGAAAATATGTTGATCATGGGTGGTTATCCTTAATGCTGTGTCAGGATACACAGAACTCTCTTTGAGTGAGGTAAATGGGGAGTTTGTGTTGATAGCTGATTTCATGGCAGAGAGATGGTAAAACACAAAATATGCAGCTTGCTTTATTCTGATGACAGAAGTGTGAAAGATGATACCTCTTGTACCTACTCTTCAGAAAGAGCATCTCATACAAATACATTTGTATGCAGATAGAAGGTGAAAGGGAGGGTGCATATATCTCTAAGTCTCGTTTACAATGAAATGACTGTTGGAGACACAAAAAGTGCCAGCAATTCTATACATTCACATTAAAATAAAGGGTACAATCTGGGGAGAGGGGAGTGCTGCTTGCCAAGCATCTGTGCTCTCATGCAGGCTCAGGAAGGTTCAGAAGCAAATATGGGAGGCAGCAGTAAGTCACAAAACTTTTTGAACTCCTTGGACAATTAAAGGACACTTGTCCTATACCAGGTCACCTAAATCTATAAAAGCATATCCTTGCTCTTGGCTAACCCAGAAATGAATTACCTCCCCATCCACTCATGCTGATGAATTATCTAGAAGGCCTGCTCGCCTTCATTTCTCATGGTTAAGTTTTTTACAGATTCTTAGAGGGTCAGCTCCGCATCTACCTCTTCTATGAAGTCTCCAATTACTCCAGGCCTCACCCAGGGCCTTTTCTTCTCAACTCCAAAGGCAAACCTCATCTTTATCAGACAGCCTAATAATCTCAAATCACACACACCTGCTAGATGAGCTCAATCGTTTCAGATACCCAAAGACACAGTTGGATCTCAATTAAGGCCTGTTTAAACAGCCCACAGCAATCTCATAAGTGGCCTCAGTGGGCCCAACAATGAGGTCATTATTTTAGATTCCTGAGGGGTTCCTTGTTACTGTTCCTCATGGCACCACACAAGATAAAAATCAGATTCCATTCTTTTTTAGACACACGTCTGAAGTCCGCTTCCAAAGGAGCCTTGTTTCTTTATTACAGCGCTTCAAATACAAAGCCCAGGATAGCAGGCACAGACATCACAGAAGTACGGAAAAAATGGGAGAAGGCCACAGGGGAGCAGATTTCAACTTTGGTAGAGGGAGAAAAACAAGGAATAATGAGAATAGTAGAAAGGGCTGTTTCTGCTGGAGTGTTGCAGGCCCATCAAGGATGCTGCCGAAGGGAATTGGGTGGGGTGGGGGTGAGAGAAGGGAGCTCTGCGGGGTAGAGAATATTGCAGAGAAGAGCTCGATGGAGCCAGCGAGAGGCTATGCTGCAGCTTGGTAAGCATGTAATTCATTAACATCAGGCTCCGGGCCTACGCTTGTTGTTGTTGTTGTTGTTGTTTGTTTTTTAAACGTATCTACTATGCCAGGCACATTATCTCATTTAGTCTCTACCACTACCCTAGGGAGGTATTCATAATTACCCTTATTGTTTAGGTGCGGAAACAAAGAAACGAAGTCATCTACTCATGAGAGGCAGAGGTGAGATTTGAATCCAATTATGTCTGACCCCAAAGTTTGTGCTGTTTTTCACCAAATCAAAGCTACCCATAACTATTTACCAAATCTCTATCTCTTCTGCAAACAGGGATATGTAACACCTAGCACACAGCAAATAAAACCTAGAAAATATCTGTCCAAAGACTAACACCCAAGGTGATTATGTCTCTGCATCAGGTCTCTTAGGAAAAGGTTCAAAAAAGCAGACTTGTATGTCCCAGGTGCACTTTGGGCTAAGCCCGCCAGGGTTTGCAGAAAGAGAGTGTGGTTGACTGAGACCGGTGAGGGACAGAAGCGACCGCCTGCCTTGCCTTCACTCATCGTGTCTTACTTCATCATCTAATGTTTTACCGAAAAATACTCCACACTGGTGGAAAATTATTCTAGACACCACTTCCAATCACAGGCTGTTACCAGAAAGCTTACAGTGCTATGTGTGCTCCCATGGCTGGGAGCATAGGAAACTAAGGCCAAGCTGGGTGTTGTGGCTTGTGCCTGTAATCCCAGGTACGTGGAGGCTGAAGCAGGAGGACTGCTTGAGGCCAGAAGTTTGTGATGAGCCTGGATAACACAGCAAGACCCCATCTCTGATGGCTGGGAGCACACATAGCACGGTAAGCTTTCTAGTAACAGCCCCCACTTGGCCAGAAAGCAGAAGCTGAGGTTATAAGGTTGAGATGAAATAAAATTCCATGAGGAGCTCTGAACTTACAGTCCAAGCAGATGTGCTACTGTCTTAAAAATCCAGAAAGGCCAGGTGTGGTGGCTCATGCCTGTAATCCCAGCACTTTGGAAGGTGGGTGGATCACCTGAGTCAGGAGTTCGAGAACAGCCTTGACAACATGGTGAAACCCCGTCTCTACTAAAAATGCAAAAAAATTAGCAGGGTGTGGTGGTGGGTGCCTGTAATCTCGGCTACTCAAGACGCTGAGACAGGAAAATTTCTTGAACCTGGGAGGCCGAGTTTGCAGTGAGCTGAGATCATGTCATTGTGCTCCAGCCTGGGCAACCAGAGTGAAACTCCTCTTTTGAAGCATTTTCTTAGGACTGAAACCCTCAGGTAGGAGTGGGGACATGTGATAGTAAACAGCCTGGAGAAAAGATAACCCAGAAGTGAGTCAGAGGATGAGTTCTGCCTCCTCCAGTGTCGGGAGGGTGCAAAGGGGGCTGGCGTGACTGCAAGGCACCCTATTGTCACTCCAGCACAGTCAAACAGCATTGTTTTCTTGCTCTATTCCACCACTTCAGCAACCAACGTATTTTTCTAAAAGACTCTGAACAATTTGAGGACAGTGGCTGGCACTTAAAATTTCAGCATCCCCAGAATGAGGCTCTTAATAACAGCCAAGTATGTGAATGAAAAAAATTGAACACAGAAAATGTAAATCCAAGCTGGGTGCTGTGGCTTGTGCCTATAATTCCAGGTACTTGGGAGGGTAAAGGGGGAGGACTGCTTGAGGCTGCGAGTTTGAAATGAGCCTGCAGCATAGCAAGATCCCATCTCTAATTAATTTATTAAGCAAATAAGTAAATAAATGAACAAGCAGGCTAGCCAGGTATGGTGGTATGTGCCTATGGCCCCAGCTACTTGAGAGGTTGAGGCAGGAACAACACATGTGTCTATGAGTTCATGACCAGCCTGGGCAATACAGTGAGACATTATTTAAATAAATAAATAAAGAAAAGAAAATGAAAGTCCGTGACATTATTCACACTGCTACCAGGTTCATGTTTCTAAAATATGGACTGCTTGTGCCATTGCCCAGCTTAAAGAGCACCAGTGGCTTCTCACTGTTTACAATAAAGACTGAAGTCCATAACGTGGAAGAGACCCGTCATCCCACAGCTCAGTGGGTGGTCCCTCCACTCTGCGTGTTCCAGATAGATGAGACCACTCACCATTCCTGAAGAAACCACAACCCTTTTAATAAAGCTACCTATGCCTTTGCATATGCTGTTCTTCTTCAGTTCCTAGGTTCAGAGTAAAATGCGGTGCAAGGTCACCTATGACAGGCTGTCATCATACTTGGCCACTTAAAGCAGCTGGGTGACACGACAGGCTGAAGAAATGTTCCTCTTGCAAACTGGTATGAAAGATTTTCATGTTAAACGGCAGTCTCTGAAGCACTAGGAATGGAAATGACATTCACTGGAGCACAACAGAGCGTTCCTTTGCGCAAACTGGGTGTCAGCGCTGAGCTAACAAACCCAGTAAGCATTATGGTTTCCATTCCTGTAATCACGACACCATGTATTCTTCTTCCCCAAGGACATTCTGTCAAGAAAAGAGTACCTTGGCCGGGTGCGGTGGCTCACGCCTATAATCCCAGCACTTTGGGAGGCCAAGGTGGGAGGATCACGAGGTCAAGAGATCGAGACCATCCTGGTCAACAAGGTGAAACCCCGTCTCTACTAAAAATACAAAAATTAGCTGGGCATGGTGGTGCGTGCCTGTAATCCCAGCTACTCAGGAGGCTGAGGCAGGAGAATTGCCTGAACCCAGGAGGCGGAGGTTGTGGTGAGCCAAGATCACACCATTGCACTCCAGTCTGGGTAACAAGAGCGAAACTCCGTCTCAAAAAAAAAAAAAAAAAAAGAAAAGAATACCTTATAAAAAAGCCTTAATTATGTATATTTCTTTGTTTCTTCCCTAAGAACCCTGGGAATGCCAACAGATTATTTCTGATCTCAGAGTGGGAGCTCAAATGCCAACGACAAGAACTGGAGGTGTTTTTTCCTGGAGGAACACATTACAGCAGGAATGCATGATGGCTTCTGAGTGGTCCTAAGTCAGTCCCCAATATCCTGGACCATACCTTGGGGTTTCCGCCACCTTCTTTGGCTGCATACAACATCTGCAGGGCAGACTCTGCGAGCGTCTTGGTCTGGTCCAGCACCGTCATCTGCTGCTGATGGTCAAGAATCTTGGAGGCCACACCGACTGCAGCTAAGATCAAGGGCTCAAAGTAGCTCGCCAGTTGTGTCACCTTTCAAGAGAAAAATAAAGCCACAGATGTATCGTGTAAATACACGTCTCCTTCAGAGGCTCCATGGTTAAGGAGCGGGAGGGGAGCAGGGCTGGGTGGACTCACATGGAGAGGCAGACCTGCTGCAATGCGCTGCTGAAAGTGCTTCCTAATTAATATACTCTGGCTTGGTTTTTACTTTCTCTGGGGAGTTCTTCATCTCTCTAAATATGATGGAAGTGTTAAGAAACCCATTCCGAGATCCAGAGTTAGATGTGAGAATTGAATTCAGTTTCACAAACTATCAATTTCTATAAATTAAAAACTTTCAGAAGGACTAAAGACATCTTGCAAACTGAGGAGGAAAGGGGAGTGGAGGAAGGATAAGGTAGCAGGGAAGCAGAAAAGAGAAGAATGAGATGAAAGAAAGCTTCAAAAGCTTTGTAGGAAGCCAATCCCAACTGCCTTTTGCACGAAGCATTTTGACCAAGCCTTGATTTGGAATAAAAGCACAAATGATTTCACATCAGCCTAGATGCTCTGTTTGTGATTAGCCCAACTTGGGAGAACAAACAAAGCCTAACCCAACATGAACCACTGCCCCTGCACAGGCCTCTTTCCAGGAGGGCAATGCATATCCATCCACGCTCACCAAAGCTCGCCTACCGGCTGGGAGCTGTGAACCACATGTCACAAATATCTAGTGGGCGCATCCCCTATGCCAGGCTCTCTGCTAAAAGTTTAGCATCCATTTCCTCACTGAGCCTCCACAACTGTAAGACGCAGATAAACATGAAGATACCGAGGCTTCGAGGGGTTGAGATGCATGCTCCATCTCATGTAGCTGAGAAGTGGAGACAGTAGCGTCCCACCCCATATTCCCGGCTCTCAGCGGCCATGATCTATGATCTCTGTCACTTTCACTGTGATTCCAGTTCTGCTGCTGTTGTCACACTGCACTTTGAAGAGTTTATCATTTGGTGTTTGGATGCCCCTCTACCTGACATCAGAATATGAGATCTTCACATTTTGCTACATTCACTTCAGATACCAGGATGTATCCCCTCTCAGAATCTATTCTCACTCAGATAAAATACAATGGCACTAATCATACTTTTCTGTTCAATGCCTCATTCTGTGCGGTAATGACTAACGGCTAAATCATGCCCTTCAAGAGCACTTACATTCAAACCTTTAGCCAGCACCTCCCTTAACTGCTTCTTCCCATCCCATGTTGGAAGAATGAGTGTTGTGGGGATGTGGACAGGAAGACCACTCACATGAGCAGTCACTGGGCCAGCAGCTGGGGCAAGGTGGGGGAATGTGTCCAAAATAATCAAACTTAATTAGCGCTAATAATGAGACATGATTACTGGCCAACAATGAACATATTTGTACTCTGTTATCTCCTCTGTGGTTATCTTACAAATAGGTTTCAAATCTGGTGAACAGAGCTGTTGCTGGCCCTTCAGGTGCCTTCGGGTGAACTGTAAAGGGGTGCTTTCGGCAGACATGACTGATGCTAGGGCAGAGCATGGGCTGAATTTTGATCCCTACTTCCCACTTCGGCCAAATGCCTCTGTGGAAGGGATGGCTTGGACAACCACAGGCAGTGGCTCCACACGCTGCATCTGATTTCATCTTCATCCCCAGGAAAGGCACTGGTGTCACTGCCAAAGGGAATGGGGCACATGGGCTCATCAGGTGTGAGGGCTGAGGGTGGTCCTTTAAGTCCTAAAGGAGCAGTTAAAATGCTTAATGCATTGGAATCTTAAATGTCTTCTAGGTGAATTTTATTATTTTAAAAGCATAGTTCATCAGTGCAACTGTCAAATGTCAGCTGTTGCTGTGTGCTGAGAATAATTAAATGCAAGAACTAAACCGGAGCCCGACTTCCCCATGGAGGTAGCAGAGCTGGGCCATGAAGGACATCAGCTCTGGCCTCAGAATCACTGGATTTGAACCTTCCCTCTCAATTCCTTACTGAGAAATATTTGGCACACCGTTTCAACTGCTCCACTTCAGTTTCCTCATCTGTAACATGGGGATTAACAACAGCACTGAGAGTTCATCAGGACTGGTGGGAGAACTAATGTACACAAAAGCCCTTCACCACGCTAACTGCCATATAGGAAGCGCTCAGTCAAGACCCAGTGCCCAGATATTACAGGCAAAGCTTTTTGAAGGCATGTGCTTTTCTCTGAGTTTAGGGAGCTTAGCGAGGACTTTCATACCTTTTGTTCTTGAGACATGACAGAACAGGAAACATCCTCGCTTGGGTTAGCACGTGCATTAAAATAACACAGAATTTTGAGTGTTTGGTAATTGATGTTCATTCCTAGGTTGAGGTACACAGGGGGACTGAATGGTGACCCTGTAAAAGGTATGTCCATATCCAAATCCCTGCAACCTTGAAATTTAGGTTTAAGGATCTTGAAACAAGATCATCCTGGATTACCTGGGTGGGCTCCAAATCCAATAACAAGGTCCAACCACGAGACAGAAGAAACACAGAACAGCAGATGACAACGTGACTATGGAAGCAGGGATCAGTGCCATGGTCAAGGAACACCAGAAGCCACAGGAAAGGAACCACAGTCAAGGAACACCAGAAGCCACAGGAAAGGAACCACAGTCAAGGAACACCAGAAGCCACAGGAAAGGAACCACAGTCAAGGAACACCAGAAGCCACAGGAAAGGAACCACAGTCAAGGAACACCAGAAGTCACAGGAAAACATAAGCAGCAAAGAACAAGGCCAGGCATGGTGGCTCATGCCTGTTACCCCAGCACTTTGGGAGGCCAAGGTAGGCAGATCACAAGGTCAGGAGTTTGAGACCAGCCTGACCAACATGGTGAAACCCCATCTCTTCTAAAAATACAAAACAAAAAATTAGCTGGGTGTGGTAGCACATGCCTGTTATCATAGCTACTCAGGAGGCTGAGGCAGGAAAACTGCTTGAACCCGGGAAGCAGAGGTTGCAGTGAGCCGAGATTACACCACTGCACTCCAGCCTGGGTGACAGAGTGAGACTCTGTCCCCTCTCCCACCACCCCCACCCCTGCAAAATAGGAAAAAACAAAGTACACTCCGAGGAAGCCACTCTACAGTCTCCAGAGGGAGCACGGCCCTGCCAACACGTGATTTTAGACTTTCGGCCTCTGAAGTCTACGAGAGAATAAATTTCTGTTCTTTGAAGCCACAGAACTTTATAAACACGGCTGGGGTCTGAGAATTTGTATTTCTTATCACTATCAGGTGCTGTGGAAGCTGCTGATCTGGGGCCCCAGTGGAGCACTGTAATGACGCCTTGGGGAAAATGTGGGTGTAACTCCTAGTCCAGGGCTCTTCTAGATAGAGGGACCACAGTCTGACTCTGTCCAAAACTCTCTTTTACAAGGGAAGAGACAGATTAGCCCAAGGTCCAAGAGAAAATTTATAAGTCAAGTGGCATAAATACATGATGTTTCTTTTGATGCTAAACTCTAACCCAGGAATAAATCTTGTATACTAATGAAGTATCTGCAGAGACATGGGTATTGTCCTCCAAAGATATCCAGAAATATTTTATTACAAAAGTTCTGGAATCAAACTAACTGCTGAAAAAATGTCCAGTGCAGCTTCTCTTCTGAACTCAGTTTCTCTGATGGTCACACAAGTAGTGGCCCCAGTGGCCAGACCATTCCTTCTACCCCTGCAAACCTCTTCACACAGGTGGACAAGCCCTTTTCTAATTACTGTATAAAGAAACTCAGCTAAGAAATGAAATGTGCCACACTTAAAAAGGCAGAGACACACTGGGCTTTGAGATTTCAAATCTTAAAAATCCCCACTTGGAACCAGTGGGAAGGTGAGTAGGCCCTTAAGCTATTCTGTGATTTGAAAAGGCAAGAATATTGATTTTCTAAGATCGATACCTGCCAAGAAGATTCTGGCGACTGTCCAGTATAGATGTACATCTCTGCTGATGGCTGCACTGATAAAATGCTAGAAAACCCAAGGTGGTTAAAAATCCAACTTCTGGCCTCTCCCTACTGAGGCACAGGCTGCATGACAAGCCCATTGTCCTTGAAGAATTTGCAAAATGAACCCCAACCAGGCAAAACATCTTTTGGCACTGAACACAACGTGGGTAAGAACCGCCCCCCACCCCGCCCCGGCCCCATTGAGTGGAAACCTAGGGAAGGTTTGGCCATCCAAGTCTGCTTTGCCTCATTGTATCTAAGAGTAGACACTATGTTGCAAACCACGGAAGAATAATGTACCCTTAAACACACCAGAATGGGGCCGGCTGGCCAGCCAGCCAGGGACAAAAGGTGGCAGACTCCAGGCTGGGAGTGTCTGCTTCAGTGTCTGGCTTCTCTCAGCAAAGGCTGATTGCAATGGATGACTGTAAATGCCAAGCTGGCTAATGTCTCTGGCCACAACCAGAAAAGCTGCACTGAAGTTTTCTTCTGAACTCTATGTAAAAACAGATCCTGAACTGATCATTTTTGGAGAGGATGCCAGAGAGAGGTTCAGTGTTATTTTCTGTAGCTTAAACCGGCATTGGACTCAGGCGCAATACTTGCATCACAGGCTTTTGGGAACCCTAACAGCAAAGTCAACAAAACTCTCTCCTGTGATCACACGCACACCCTCGCAGGTTCCCTCGCTGTGCATTACCTTATGTCCCAGCTGAGCTGCTTCTCCCCGAGCCGCTGTGGCGATGGGATCGATAAGGTGCCCGATTTCCTGGACCACCGAAGTCAGCTGCTCCTGCAGGGCCTGATAAGCAGAAAAGTGTCAAGTTCATCCCATAACAGTTCCCCACAGAGCTGCACTCATTCAAAAATGCCCTTCTGAAAAACGAGAAAGGCCACACAACACAGACGTCAAATGCCTGTGTGTTGCCATCAGCCACTGTAACCTGCCCTGACCTTCTCAGTGATGCCTCCGCCCGAGAAAGAGAAGAAGCAGGCCTGAGAGATGCTTTTGGATCTGGCTTCTTGCTCCTGTCAACCCTAACAACTGATGCTACTGTTATCTTTACTTTAGGTACCTTGGTGTAAGTAGTGGATATGCGAAACAGCCATGGCTTTCCAAGAATGAATGACAACTTTGTCCAAATGCAGGCAGATAATGGAGGGGTCTGAGGGAACATCCAGGTCGCTGTATTCTCAGAACTAATAACCCCTTAAGGACAGAGAGTGACGTCAAAATGCTCTTTGAAAGCAGGACTGCTTCCCAAGCAGTGCACTGTGAAAACACTAAGATGCCCACCGAGCGCAGCTCAGACCTCAATCCACTGTTTGTGGCGTGCATGCAAATATGAAAAACAGTGCCCTCAAGGCATTGCTTCTCAGGTTTGAGAGATGGTTTAATCTCTCTAGCCCCAAAGAATTAAATCATGCTGTAAAGAGACAGACCAAGATACCCAGATGACTTTGAGAAAGTGGGGGATGGGGAATTCAAAGGTGGAGATTATTAGCCAGTGGCAGGAAAGATCAGATCCCTTTGTACGACTATTCATAGGAACTTCACTGATAGATGCAGGATTAACACATCAGAACCCTGGGCGTTTTAGGTCTCCACACACCAGCATGGAATTGAGTGAACTTCGCCAAAGTGGCTACGTCCCGCCCATCAGAAATGAGACTCTAGCCTTCCCTACTTTCCCACAGAATAATGATGCCTATGGGCCATGGGGGATGGGGGCAGGGTGTCCTCAACAAGAGGAGCAGACTAATATGCAAACTTGAAAACAAAACTCTGGAAAAAGAAAAAGAAAAGAGAAAAGAGAAATAGAGACAGATGGGAGCGGGCAGGGAGAAACTTCCAAGACGTCCAAGGGTTTTATTTACTAATTACTTATTATCTTCACATTCATACTGTGATTATAGACATGAATGCAAGAATATTCCAACCACGCTATTTTATTAGAGATGGTTTGTTAAATTAAATACGATATATGTTTAGGGAGCACAAGCAGTTAAAGGGGAAGAGTTCTCTTCCTAGTGAGGGAATTAAAGCAGAGGATATACTGGGTCAGGGAGGATATGGTGACAGGATGGGGGAATCGGGGGCTTCTGGGGTGCTGGTCACCTTTGCTACTTTTTTTTTGAGATGGAGTCTTGCTCTGTTGCCCAGGCTTAAGGGCGGTGGTATGATCTTGGCTCACTCACTGCAACCTCCATCTCCCAGGTTCAAGCGATTCTCCTGCCTCAACCTCCCAAGTAGCTGGGATTACAGGTGACCACCACCATGCCTGGTTAATTTTTGTATTTTTAGTAAAGACTGGGTTTCACCATGTTGGCCAGGCTGGTCTGGAACTCCTGACCTCAAGTGATCTGCCTGCCTCAGCCTCCCAAAGTGCTGCAATTACAGGTGTGTGATACAGTGCCCAGCCTCATCTTTGCCTCTTGATCCGGGTGCTGGTTGAAAGGCCTGTTCAGTTGGTGATAATTTATCAAGCGGTCCATTTACCTGCACTTGTCTGCATGCACACACATACGGACTTTAACAACAGGTTCAAAAGAATAATTCTAGCATCCCACGCAGTCTGAGAAAATTTATTCCTTCTTTCTTTGTTTGGAAATAGGATGGTGAAGGTGTAGCTAAATAGACAGCTCTATTAATAAAAATGAGCAATGCTAACTCTGGGCCGAAAGCTGACTGTTAATGAATTCAGTGGCAGGAAGATAAACACCGATAAACACACCACCCATTTTTATTAAGCACCTTCTGCGTGTCAAGCACTGTGCTTTCCGCAGTGAATGAAGTTAAACCCAGGAACCTTTGGACAGGTAATAGAAAACACCCAAAGGGAAAAAGCAGGAAAATTCCATTCCCAACTTTGGAAAAACAAGCAAGAGAGGGCAAAGTGGCTTTAAATTAATAATAGGATGCCAAAGTCCTCAAATGCTAGATATTGAATAACTTAGGGCAGAATCCTTGATCTCTGAACAGACCAAATCCATCAGAGTTTAATGCTGAATTTGCCAACTGACTAGAAAGCATGCTGGTGAAATATGACAACAGAGAATTATTCAAAATTTATGTGCCTAGAGCCACTCTACTGACGTGTTAAACACGGTATCCACCTTCCCCCAAATTACCTTGATATTGATATTCCCCCCAAATTTCAGCCGCCTTTGAACTTTCCACCCCAGTACATGTATTCCTTCCCCCAAGCCACCCTCCTCTACTTGGCATCTCCAAAAAGTTCCCAGGTTGGCTCCACAGAGAATGTGGTATAACTCCAGCTGTATAATGGTGAAACTCCAGCAACAGAAACATCTTGGCCCCACAACCTCTGTCCCTCCAAGTCTGATGCTGAGATTCTTCAACATATCTAGAGGCTGCTAAGCAGGCCCCAATATCCCCAGCTTACCTCCACAGAGATGTCATCCCTTGTGGCCAGGCTCTGGCTAACGGCAGCCAGTGAGGCCTGCTCAATGTCCCGGATGCACCTGTTGATGCCATCGATGGAGTAGTCACATTCTCTCTGTCCAGGGGCCTTGTCCCTGGAAGGAACAGTGCAAGCTGGACACAGGCTCCAGGGGGCTCAGGTCCTACAGTCTCCTCCAGCACCGGTGGGCCAGGATCCCTGTCCACGTCCTCCCTGACTCGATCCCCTCTTTTTTTTTTGAGATGGAGTTTTGCTCTTTTTACCCAGGCTGGAGTGCAATGGCGTGATCTCGGCTCACCGCAATCTCCGCCTCCTGGGTTCAAGCAATTCTCCTGCCTCAGCCTCCCGAGTAGCTGGGACTACAGGTACACGCCACCATGCCCAGCTAATTGTTTTGTATTTTTAGTAGAGACGGGGTTTCGCCATGTTGACCAGGATGGTCTCGATCTCTTGACCTCATGATCCACCTGCCTCGGCCTCCCAAAGTGCTGGGATTACAGGTGTGAGCCACCGCGCCCGGCCAGAATAGTATTTGATACATGGTAAGTACTTCGGTTATCAATTACTATTGTGACCAGTGCTTCTGGTCCCAAAGAGATAGAAAAAGATGATGATAATGATCAACAATATCACTATTAAGTAAAACGCCTGATGGGCTGATCCTGCTCCTGCCCTGCTGAGATGCAGGTTGGCAGCAACCTCCGGAAGAGACACTGACCTGATAGAAGTGATGAGGCTCTTGATGGAGTCAGACACCGTATGGGAATGTCCAGCCAGTACAGACCAGGTGGGCGGGTCTTTGGGGTTGATGGCCAGAGAGCGTGCAGTGCGAATGAGGTACGATGAACTCTCCAGCATGGTCTTGGCTGAGACCAGGATTGGTTCCTGTGCCTGGGAGCCCTGAGACCAAATAGCAGAGAAATCAAAGTCAGGGTTGAAGATACGATTGAATGAGGTGGGCCCTGCAAGGTCCTGTTCTTTGCCAAATCACCGCCTCTGCCCTTTGAAGGAGATAAACGGGGCAGGGAACCATGAAGACTGGATTCTTTGGGGTCTGCATGCTGGGGACTTAAGCCCATGTTTACCCCTTAAACAGGATTTTTTGTGTGTGACACATCCCAAGAATGGCCCCAAACCTAGGCAGTAAGATTGTTCTCTATATATACAGAGATGTGCAGTCATGGAGTCTCACTAAGTGTGCACATGCTGTAACTGACGAGAGTAACAGTATCCTACGTGTTGATAGAGACAGCTTTCGGAGTTTTAACTATTAGCTCATTCGGTGCCACACAAAGCCATGATCTTAGTGTTATCCTTCTGCAGAAACTCCCCACCTCAGAGCTGATCTGGGCAGGAATGCTGACAAACTCAGGGTTGGATGCAAATGCCGTCAGGTTCTCCACAGCTTCAATCAGGGGGGCAGTGGCAATGCGACATTTATTGCGGTTGTCTTCAGAGAAATCCCCATCCAGAGCCTGACGGGAGAAAACAGGGAGATTCTGTCCGATTGAGAAGCACTGATTCCTGAACTATGAGAATCACCTCTTGGTGAAAGAAGGTGCTTCAATGGGACCACTGAAAATGTTTGGTGACCTCATAAACAGTAAACAAGAACTGACTAAAGAGACCGCTGCCATCAAGCAGAGGGGCCCTGTCAGCAACTGCAGAGAATTCAAAATAAATGTCTAGCTCACAGGACAACTGACTCTGCAGTCAGCTTTCCACTCACAGGAAGCAGGGACAGAGGCTGCAACAGCAACCTGCTCTGCAGCGCCCCGTGACCCCCTGCGCCAGGCCGTGCAGCAGAACTACTTCCTCCTCACTTTTCAGGCTGTCATCCTGGGGATTAAGTCTATTCTCTCCCAAACAATAAACATACTTTATTGTATTTTAAAGCAGTACTTTTAACTTTTTCTAAGTTTTACCTGGGTGTTGCCCAACGACTGATGGAGGTAAGGCAGGCATAACCAACATCATTTTGAAATGAACACAATCCAATCTAACGGGAAGGAATAGACTGGAACTACCCCAACCATTCAAACAAATCTTACAAACAGAATATTCAACAAAACAGGCCACCCACAAATGGGTACGTCTTGTACAATTCCATTAGCACTAAGTGCAAACACAGGCGGACCTAATCCAGACGGTGAGAAGAGCAGGTAACACCGGCGGGAGTATAAGGAAAGCCAGTAACACTCTGTTTCTTAATCTGGCTAGAGTTACCAAGGTGTGTTCCGCTTGAGAAGATTCAATGAACTCTACATATAGTGTGTGTTTTCTCTACATGCATCTTACGCTTCATAAAAAAAAAAAAAAAAAAAAAAAAAAAAACCTAACAGCAGGTAACACAATGGCATAGAGTGCAGGCCTTTTGCTGAATGCGAATCCAGGAATGTGGCCTATGAACCATGCCAGGCTGCCTCACAGAGTTAACACTTCGATGAGGTTCCCAGCCCTAGATGTCCCTTCTTCAGAATCAAGACTTTTGGAACCTACAGCCAATGACCCGAATACAGAAACCCTCCCGCCCAGAGAAAGGCTACACTGGAGAAGGCAGTTAGGTTTGCATAAAAATGCCAATCTCCTTGTTAAATGACCAACAAACTTTTAATTTAACCTTTATGAGCAACATATAAAGCCAATTTAGACAATTAGGAAAAAGGAGGGCGGGCACCGGCATTACCAAGCAAAGCAGATCTGAGATAGGGGCTTTTCTGTTTTTCAGTAAGGCAAGAGGAGGCAGGCACTGTTGGTTTGAAGGCTATTTTTGAATAGCAACGACATTCCGATCAAGCCTTGGCAACTTGGGGCAATAATTACATACCCACAATGTAATATTTTCAGAGAAATTCCCAAAAGCCTGGCTATTTTTAGTGTTTATGCTAATATAGTGCCAATGGCTCACCTTGGCTCATGCCCTTTCCCCACCAGACAGGCCCTGACCCTACCCTCACCTCTCCAGTTCTGCCATTCTTCCAGGCCCGATGGAAAACCTTGCACACCCGCTACTTCTTGCTCACATATAAAGCCTCATTTCTCACTGCCACTTACATACTTGGTAAATGTTGATGCACTGGCCACGCAGAAGTGAACCACCTTGGCACTCTGATCTTGTTACACTGTTAATATTGCTCTGAAGTTTGGTAGATCCCTGGAGGTCTGGATTTATCACACTTCAGAGCAACTAGACAGCACCAGTGCTACGCAGGGTGGGTGCCACTAAGCAGGAGCCTGACAGGTGGGCCCAAACACAGGCAAAGGTGTGAAACAAGCTGATTGCAAGAGTGGACTCTGGAGTGGAAGAAACTCAAAAGGAACTGTGGAGTGGCTACATGGCTTCCTCCGTAACACCCCTTCCACTGGGATCGCACGACTTTCAGCTCAACAGGAGATGCTCGGCCTTCCCTCGATGCTGCTCCCCCTTCCTGCTTCTTACCTCTCCACATGTTTCCCTTCCCCTTTCTGCTTCCACAAACCTCTCAGTCTATTGGGAAGAAGGGCAGCCAATCAAGCCACCAACCCTAAGCTGAACTTCTTCAAACTAAGGTGACCATTCAAGGGCAATCTCAAGAAATGGGTTTCTAATTGTGTAGGTTTCATAGACAGCAGTGCTAGCATAAAAGGCTGGTTTCCTTGGGCTTTTGTTTTGAACATGGACCCTAGAATCATATTAACATACAGCCCATTGCTATTTGCAGCACAGGGCCTTGAACAACATGGACTAGACTAGCAAGCTACAGCAATCATTTTCCGTTCTCAAAAAGGACAAGTTATTGCCTCCAAAAAAAAAAAGGATGGTTTGCAGAGATATTATTTCACTTCCATAACTCTGCTTCCACTGGGCACAGCAGAGCCACTCACGTAAACTGAATACCCAGAACTGCCCAATGGTGAAATGTCAAGCAAGCATATCACAGAATGTCTGGCATACCAGCCATGATGATGAAAGGGTGAATTCAGCCATATATCCAGGCCCCACCAGGACAAGTATACTCCCAAAGCTGGAGCCTGCCCCCAGTGTTCCCCCCTCGGCAAAATCCCATGGAGACCTGGGAGAAATAATTTCTGGGTATGCATAAAATCAAAGATGTATGGACTTTGGGGGTTACAGGGGACCCTGAAAACATTTTAATACTAAACCCCCAACTCTCCAGACAATAAAACCAGCACCTGGAAACTGACACGATTTGCCAAGGTCACCTTGCTACTACTCACTGGCATGCCTCAAACAAGGACCCGAGCCTCCTGGCTCCCTTCTCTCCTGCTGACCTTAGACAAAGGCAACAGAACAAGGAGTAAAACACCCAAGAGCCTTCTTCCTTTTCCTTCTAAAGAAACCACTTTCTCAATCCAAACATAAGGATGACCAAGAAAGCATACTCACAGCCAGGTCAAATTCCATTCAAGAGCGCTGGATCGGCTGTCTGTGGTACACACTGGAAGTGCTTAACTGCAAAAACCCCGAGCTTTAACTGTGCTGTGAGGGGCAAGGCCAAACTTCAACTTCTCAGAAAAACAAATGCTGCTGTTGCATAATTTCTACTTGGCACCCAAATGTGAGTGACTGCACATTTAAAATAACATTCCATTCCACACATCTGATTCAAGACTAGGTAATGAGCTGAATGGAGAGAGAAAACAAGCAGCAGTGTACTCGGTGACTCGGAGACTTGGAGACAGACAGCAGCTGTGGTTAGAGGTGTGGGTCCTTCTACCATGCCCAACATTTAGAGCCATCCCTGGCAGGCGACAGAAACACAGAAATGGATTCTTGTGGAGCCCTGCTCTGGGATTTTAAAGAGTGCCATCAGTAGTGACTGATGCTGATGTGCCACTGTGAGGTAATCCGCTCCTGCTCCCTCTGGCTTCTCCTAGAGGCTCCCCTCCATTCTCCATGACCATAAGGGTGTGGCAGCTGGGATCTAGGCTGGGGCACATTCTCACAGTTCAGAGAAAAAACCACCAAGCAGCACAAAACTTGAGAGTAATATGCAGCTGTCTTAAGCGCTAAGGGAATTAAATATTCCTTTGTTTTTCTGTTTGACAGAACACATACCAACCATTCCTTCAAACAGAAAATCTACTCGGTATACAGTACAACGTGCTATAGTGAAATGATCTTTACCACTATCCTGTTATAGTAAATTAAAAGCAAAGCTCATGGCTCCCAGCAAATTCTGCCAGGCAATGGGAATTGGAAAACCAGGCCTATTTCCACTGCTGAGGGGCAACATGTTCATATCTGTTCCTCTTGCATTGCTCCTCGTTTCCAGGGTGCTCCAGGAGACAGACGCCTTTATCTTTTCCATGTTACAAACCCCCCACCCCCAACCCCCTGGACATTCCTCCTCTGATGTTTTGCACAGGCCTATCTTTTAGGCCATCAGAAGAGCTCATTTGCTGCAGGGAACTGGAAAGAGGGTTCGACACTGTGAGGGGAATCCGAAAAGGACATGAGATCTTAACAGAGATACTTTATATAGAGACAGGTCAGGCTTTAAAACCGAGGAGGAGGCAGGCAAGAAAGGGCTACCGTAATTTCTGTAGAATAAAGAGGGTCTTTACTTTTTTTTTTTACTCCATTGGTCCACCTAAACACAATGCTTCTAATGACCAGAAAATGACTGATTTTAACTGAGATAAGCTCATTACACAGCAACCAACAATGTCACTGCTGTCAACTCTTATTCCTCTTTCCACCCTCACCTCCCCAAGCTCACACACAAGCCCAGCAAGGTCCTTCCTCCCAGGCTGGAGAGAGAACTTTGTCTCTCCGTCCCTAACAGCCTAACAGGTGAATGGCGTGCCAGTGGTGAAAGCAGGGACTCTGGGGCCTAGGTTTGAATTCTGCCCCATCTCCACCTGGCCGGGTCACCCTGGTAAAGTTACTTAATCTCTTTGTGCCTCAGGTTCCCATCTGTAAAATGGGGTGGTTGTGTGGAGTGAATAAGTAACATACCCAAAGCACAAAATAAACTTTTTTTTTTTTTTTTTGAGACGGAGTTTCACTCTTGTTACCCAGGCTGGAGTGCAATGGCGCGATCTCGGCTCACTGCAACCTCCGCCTCCTGGGTTCAGGCAATTCTCCTGCCTCAGCCTCCTGAGTAGCTGGGATTACAGGCACGCGCCACCATGCCCAGCTAATTTTTTTGTATTTTTAGTAGAGACGGGGTTTCACCATGTTGACCAGGATGGTCTCAATCTCTTGACTTTGTGATCCACCCGCCTCGGCCTCCCAAAGTGCTGGGATTACAGAAAAATAAACATTTTTAAATGTAAGCTTTATTACTTCCTAATTACTACGAACTATGTTGGTAATTCAGGTAACCTGTCACCAGGATCGTGGGGCACCTGGACACTGCCTTTACTTATCCATTTTCAACTGAGCTTACTCTTGCTTTCAAATAGGGAGGGGTTTCTGTTTGTTCATGTCTAAAAATTTCTCTGCTTAAAGAGCTAAGAAACTGCTGACTGGGGTGCGAGCCCCAGGTGCTGACCGCCAGCTTCCAGCGCGTGCTGGGTTGGGTGTTCTCTCCTATTGCCTCTGCTTGGTCATCCTGTTGACTCATTTCTGCTTGCAACTGCACTGGCTCTTTGTAGTCAAAATAAAATGAGGTGTGCGGTGTCCCATCCTCTGGAGGGAACTGGGAAAAGTTCTCTTACTCCAGGACCAAGCTAGCAGCAAAGCCAACCCTCCCATCTGAAAGAATACAAAACCCTTAAGTAAAAAGTGTTAACTCCTTCAATGCCTTTCCCTTCAGCGGTATCCTGGGTTTAACACAGATCGGGTACCTTGCCTCCCTTGACAATGCCTTTGAAGGCTGGGGCTGTCGAGGGAGCCGGGGAGATGGTGCTGAACCTTTTGCCTATGGTCTGTTACCCAGGCTGTCAGCTGCCTGCTGCACCTGCTTGGTCCCAGGTGAGGGCGGACTGTGTGTGTGGCTTCATTACCCACCTACAAGTACTACAGCCTAGTGATTCTCACTTGCTTCTCACAGGTGAACCCTGCCCACCTGCCACATGCCCACACACCGTAACGACGGTGAATTTGTTAGGGACACTAGATGCTCTGTTTTTAAAATCTGACGCTCCACTTAAAAAATTCAAACAGCTATAAACAAAATTAATATCACAGGAACAATCAGAGTGTTTTAAGTGAGTTTCCACAGTTTCCCACTCCCTTCTCCTTCCACCTACTCTCTTGGTCTGGATATATCCAGCAATGACGGCAGAGTCCTCTACCAGCCCATTCAAAAATGCTGCATGTAAACAGACTGTTTAACTAAAAGCAGGGCATGTGCTACATAAGCATAGTACCCAGCGTGGCCCTATAACCAACCCTTTCCCACCAGAGTTCTGTCCCTAAGCTCCTCAGGTTCAGAATTTGGGGAGGCCTCCTTCCCCACCATCCAAAAGGTTAGTAGAGACCACGGTTGTTGGTTTTTCACGGTAAGTATCTCCATTAGTAAGCGATGCCTCTCCAATGACATAAACCATAAGACTGAATTAGAAATTAAGCCTCACTAGACAAGGAGAGCAGCAGAGCTTAATTAAATCTTGTTCCCCTTTCCCCTCCGAAACAGGAGTCACTGAGTTTAATAATGCCTGTAGTCCAGCGACCTACCTTGATGGTCTTCACCAGGTTGGCAGTGCTGTTGGCAACTTCCTTGGCTGACTGGACAAAGTGCCTCTTGGCGACCGGGTTGGCCGTCTTGGATGAGGCGATGCGGCAGGCATTGCACAAGGCTGATGTGTGCTTGGCAACAATTGTGGCGGCCGACAGGACCTACAAAGCATGGAGCTAGGTTGGGGCACCCCATGCTACAGTGCAGAGAGGTCCGCCCTGGTCCTCAGCCCCGGGTTCCTGTTCAACTCACATGTTCAGAGCCTGTGTAATTACAAGCACGTCTACCCTCAAAGTCACTCCAAAAAGAGGAGGGCAAGAAATATTAAGCAAAGATGATAAAGAAAGAAAAAGAAAAAAGGAGGTGGTGACATAGTGGCGGGCTAGGCTGAGCCCCAGGTAGTTTTAAAGGAGATGGAATCAAGTTAGCCTTTGGAACCCCGGATAGGAGGTCCAGGGAATAGAATCTACACCAAGATCTACACATAGGCAATTTTAAGTTTTCTAGTAGTCACTTTAGAATAAGTAGAGAAACAAGAAAAATTAGTGAAACAATTTTTTATTTAACTCAGTATATCCAAAATATTTCATCATATAATCCATTTAAAACACTATTGATGAGATTTTCAATTGTTTTTTTCATACCAAGTTTCTGAGATCCAGTGTGCACTGCGTGTTTACAGCCCATCACAATTTAGACTAGCTCCATTTCAAGTGCTTAACAGCCACAGGTAGCCAGTGGCCACCACACTGGAGAACCCAGATCCAGGTAAGAAAAACACCTATCAAGCCCTCCTCTTCCATGGGAGGGCTGCTGGTACCTACTGAGGTGTCTGGCTCAGGAAGCTCTGCAGGCTCCGCCCCACAGCCCCAGCTCACTTGCTCTCCTGAATGCACCTATTCTGCTTTGCTAAGGCTGGTAGCACCCCTCTGGCCTTGTTGGATGGGTAAGGACCCCCAGACACACCAGCTCTCGGGCCTGCTTTAGGTCCATATGGTCCTTGTGTTTCCTTCTTGATTCACGTCCTTCTCCAGCCTCAAGAATGTGGGCCCCAGGTTGATGGCGGACATGTCGCTAACAAGACTGCCTCCACCAAGCCCATTCCAGCCACTTCTCCTACCTTTCGGTACACACTGTTTTAATAAGTGACCGGGACTCCATGCCACTCGGAGATGACAGGTGTGATGGAATGTCACACATTCTGGCTCTTCCTCAAATGTCACTCTCTCTTCTTTCTGTGCTACAGATTCTGACCCAACTTTGAGGCCCGGCTCAGTGCCACCGCTTCTGTGAAGTGACCCCTGACAGCCCCCTTGGAGATTTCATCACACTTTCCTTTGCACATCCCTGGCACTGTCATCGTGTCCTGATCACTGCATTTTCCAAACTTTGCCCAACAGACTAAGAGCCAAGGGAGTAGAAAACAGAGCCCTGTGCACAGTGACGCCTTACAGCATAGAACAAGCCCTCAGTGCATGTCCCCTGAAATGAATGAAGACTCCCTGTGAATCTCACTGTGATTAGGTCACTCCTTTTGCCTTCTGGCACCCCATTTCAAAGCACCTACAAATTTCCAGATTCGTCACATTTTGCAGTATTTGCCCCACCCAAATCACTATCTACAGTGCTGGCATTTAGCTGCCTTGCAAGCTCTGAAAGAACAAGATTCTTTACTAATTTCCCCGTCTCCCACAACCTACTCAGAGGAGCATAAGGGCTTGAAATCTTACATCCTCCCCAATAGTTACCTGTGATGGACTGCTGCCGGGGTCCACCAGGTTCTGGCATGCCATTTGGATGGCCTGGTTAGCCCTGGCAAACTGGATGGGGTCCACTAGGCCCTGGTGGCCTGCCTGGCTGTTTGGATCAGAGATGCCAACCAAGTATGCAGCCTGGAAAGGGAAGGAGAAAGCGACAGCTCAGGCTCCACGCTACCAGGTGAGCTGATGGGGGACGATGGTCCACACTACACATGCAGCTGTCATACTCAGGCACTCCTTACTGCAAACTGGTCAAGGTTATCTCATCCCGCCTACCAATAAGGGTGTAGTCCTGAACAGGTTTATGCCAGTTTGACATGCCAGCAGGAGTTTATCACAGGCTCTCGGAACAAAGTCTCCTTGTTCTTAAGAGAGAGCCTCAAGGAATTCTTCCTCGGGGCATGGATGAACGCAGCCCTGACTCCTCCGGCAGCTGTCTTGTGATCACAAGGCTGCCCAGCCTCAGCGTGAAGCTGACTCTTTGGCTGGCAGACAGGAGAGGCAAGAAACAGCGGGCGCCTGCAGACTGAGGGCGTGGAGCTGCTGGGTCAGCCAACCTCGGAGCCTGCCCTCTCCTAGGGCTCCTCATCTCATAGCTTACAGAAGCATGTCCTTATTGCTTAGGGCAGTATTTCCAACAGCAGAAGGGAGCTAAACTTGGTAAATAAGATGGCCCAGAAAACAACAACAAAAAAGACAACATTTGGTTCCCAAGAGGAGAAGAGGGCACAAAGGAAGGTCTTCTCTTGGCATTCCCTTTAGATGTGTCAGCCAAATAAAACAGAAAAAATGAATTTTGATCTTAGTTCATTTCCCCCGAGAAGGTAGAGAATTTCATCCCCTAAACTAGTGATGTTTCTCTTTGGTTCCGTAAAATCTTCTAAGTTCAAGGTAATTGTCAAATGATGAACCCTTTAAAGCAGATGCTGGTATCTTCAAAGTTTCTGTGATATAAGGTCAATCATTATCGAAAATACGTAGGATAGTCAAAGAAGGGCAAGGAACGTGCCATATCATGTCTCTCCGTGATGACATCTAAACTTTTTCTCTCTCTGATCCTAAAAAAAGAGTATGACTTAACATTTTTGCAATTCTAAAGCCTCAGAAAATTTAAATTATGTACTCTTATTTTTTCTACCCCAAACAATTTACCAATAATAAAAACTTTTAAAACAATTTAAAAGTTGGCCTCTGAAGCTATATGCGGGGTCTATACTGAGTCTCGCCCGTCTCCCCAGCCTGGCCCACAGCTGCTCTACTCTTGGTGGGTAACTGGCTGATGTTTTGTGGAAATGCCCCAGCCAGCACAGAAGCCAGTGCCTTTTCTGGGGTTACTGTGGTGGCACTTGGAGAAAGAGGTGCAGCTGGAGCTCCCCTACACATTCCACAGGGATCTCGCACAGGGCACATGGCTGCATCAGGACCAGCACCTTACCTGGGCTGCGGCCTCTGTCAGCCCACAGAGAGCCTTGGATGCGATTCCCACACATTCCCCAAAGGCAGGGAGGTCCCCAGTCTTGGCATTCTGTGAAATCCCTGCCATCGATTCACCCAGAACCTGCGAAACAAATGGCCGGTAACATTCTTTATCCAGCATTGCTTCAAATCAAGGCGTAAAGGAGGCAACGCTCCATCTTTAACAGTCAAGGCCACTTAATCTGGAACATTTGACATTTTCTACTGTATTTGTATGAAGAAGAGACAGAAGAGGATTACATCATTTCCATTCCAGAGGTACGTACAATGGAAGTACGGCCCCAAAGTTGGCCATACCTAAGGAGATATGGTAAATGTACATAGACAATACAGCACAGTCTCTAAAAAGGCAACTCATGGGTAAATGGTCTAGGCTGAGAACTAGTTCCAGAATACAAAAATCATATCCACCAAGCTGTAGGTGAGGTCATACACAGAAAGCAGGAGACTCACCCTTCCAGTATCATTTATCTCGTTATTGATAGTAAAATTCAAATAGAGATCTTTGTTTTGTGCGTTTCCTGAATACTTTAAGAATTTTGCCTTATACTGAAAATCACGGGTGTGGTGTATTCTTTCTTTAGAGATCTTTACAGTACGAGTTCAAAGAGATTTTAGTGTTCAGAATCCAACCCAGAGTGGTCGAGCAACCTGTACAAGGTCACAGAGAAGGTCACATGGGCAAGTAACAGGGTGCCCAATGCAGATCTGGTGTTCTCTTGTCTATGAACCTCATTATGTCCCAGGAGGGCTGTTCATATTTTCCTGGGCAACAATGATGGAACTAAAGGATGTTGTACCCTTTGGAGAGACTATGGTATTGCCAAGTCTAGAACCCAAAGCAGAGACCATCATTTATCAGTAAGCCATCTTAGATGGGAATAAATTCCCCAAAACTGCTTAGACATACAAAATAATCCATTTTACATAAGGACTTGCCAAAAAAAAAGAATGCGGAGGGTAGTTTTATGTACAGTATTTCCCCCTCCGTCCTCAGCCCACATTCCTCTTTAAGAAGGAACCATTTCTTTGGATCTGAGTGTGCATGCATCCTTCCCTTAGACAATCCGTAATTCCATGAAAGGTACTGCATGAGGAAATTCTAGTCTTAGCCCAAATCAAACTGAGTCCTTCTGACACTACCAATGCAGATGTTTCCCGCTAGAATAAAAGTGACCATGTTTCAACTACAAAGTCAGATTGCAACAGCTCAACATCCATGTCATTTTCACCTTCTGATTTTAAGGCATTCTCAAAAGACACTGGTATGAATACCACAGATGAGTGTTTCTCAACAGTTCTATTTTTCATTATTGCTCCATTAAGAAGCCTTTTCAGTCTTTTTCCCCCTAATCAAATACCAAGGAGTAAGACTTTGTTGAGTAAGGTTAAGACAGAAGCGGAGTAACAAGCCATTGTATTAGCTTAGATTTTTTCAACACCTCTCCAAGATCCTACCAAAACCAAACCAAACCACTTCACTCTCCTTGAGAATGCATGCCATGAATAGACTGCAAAAGAACACCTAAGGGGATCCCACATAAGTCAATGAAGGACTTTCCAGATCAGTCCCAATGTAGAAAATACACAATTTGATTCACATTAAGACCAATCTGTGAAAAAAGAGGGGAAATGGTTCTCAAACTATGGTTCCTGGACCACAGGGGCAGGACCTGGGAGATGGTCAGAAATGCAGAACCTCAGCTTCATCTCAGATCTACTGGATCAGAAACATGGGGGTGGGCAATTTGTATTTAACAAGCCCTCCAGGTGATTCTGATGTACCCTCAAGTTCAAGAAGCTCCTGAGCAATGGGCTCCACAAGGCTTCATGCTACATGCGGCTAGCCCTGCTACCCAGCCACAGGCAGAGGCACATAAGGCGTGTCTAAGCTTCTCCCCCACTGATCAGCGATGCTGACTTCTGACCTATGGCACAGGCGGTCTTACCTTGGAGTTTTCCATCACACTCTCAATGCAGTCAAAGTAGGAGAGATCACTAACAGGTTCATTAGGATTGTCCAACATCCCCTTCACAGTCTGCAGAAGAACACAACATAAAAAGCAAACAAACGTCACAGAGCAAGAGAAATTCAACGCAAACTACCAACCGTCAACTTCCCCTCTATACACAGGTGTCTGGTCATGAGCAATCATTTACTGAGATTTTTGAGAATTTAGATGATGGTATCATGACTTCAGATTTCCTGTTAGCAACGCAATGGTCATTATGGGGGAGGGGTCTCTGGTTAGTTTTGCCAGAGATGAGAATCTCCTTTTGTTTTGAAGGAAAAGAAACAACGTAAACACAGAAGGACAACATTAAAAAAATTAGAACATTAATACAGGCAACACATGCAAGGTCAATTAGCACAATTTCTCTGCAGGATAATTCTAAGGAGTTTAAATTTCAAAAGGCCATTCATTCATTTCTTCACGACTAGTAACAATGCTCAGTTTTCCCAATTTTGGAACATTTTAATGGGAAGGCATGAAAGAAGATAATTCCCCCAAACTGCCACTGAAAACCAGTGCTAGCTCTGTCATGGCACTGTAATGACCTTTGATCACCACTCGTGAGGGACTTTTCCTGGGGATGCAGCCATTTAGCCTCCTCCCCAGGGAGTGAGAATGTTCATCAGAACCCAGCAGTCTTTGGGACACAGCCAACAAAAAGACAGTCATTTGATTTACAAAGGCTGGTGGGGGGCTGGGAGATCAGGAAGGGGAACTGCTGAGCTGTTTAAAGATGGGAGGGAAAGAGGGCAGCCTAAGGAATAAGCTCATTTCATTCAAGAACCTCTTCCCACTCCTTGGATCATCAAATTTGTTTTAGTAACAGCGATCCTAAAGTAGTCATAATTTTTCAACCAAGGATATCAATACGGGATGGATTATTGGCACCTAGGCCAAGAGAGCTCATTTAGATCAACAGCCCACATATTTATATTTGCAAATGTGAACAGAGCAGAACAGGGTAGTAATTCAGCCAATGTAAGAAACATTCTCAACTGCTTTCAGGGTACTTCGATCCTGTGATAACAATCCCTTTCTCATTTCCAGCTGTGCACAATGGCCTAGAGCCAGAGCCAGGGCCTCGGTGAAACTTCAGGAGCTGCAGTGGGTATTCCCAACAAGCCAGACCCATGCTGATCATCCAGAAAATGGAAGGGACCTTGGGACAACCAACGCATATCTACTGAGATACCGATTTGGCATCTCAGTATAACCCGCACTGCTTAGGACTGCAGGTTAGGACATGCAAGTAGGTAGGCTGATTTGATGTTTACCCACACGCATTCTATGGGGATACCTAACTTTTCAAGAATAAATAACATGAGTATGAACATAAAATGAAAAGCACCCGCAGTGTGTTCTGGGCCCTTAGGGGCCCCACAGCCACCTTGACTGTGTAAGCAGTGTTAGTGCTAGGTTTACTCTTACATGCCGCCTATATGGTACAGAATACAATGTATGTGAAAATCATTTTGACTCAAAAGCCACCTATCCTAGCCTCTAGCTCTCTCCCAATTGTTCCAGAATAATCTCTCCAATATATTTTAGGTAAAAACTGCTGATCTTCAGCCTACACCCAACATCACAGGCCTCTTCCTGTTCGTAATAAAGAATTCTTTAACAAAATACATCTCATCCTATTGGAAAAAGGAGAAGAAGGAATGGTAATTCCACTCAATTCTAGTTTTTCCTCAGTTTTTTTCCACTTGGATTGGAACTTCGGCCTCAATAGCCTCCGAGGAAAGATAAAAGGCAAGGACAGAAAAGAGAAAACTAGCCCTACAGGGAAAGAACAGGCACAGACATAGAGAGACAGACCCACAGACAAAGACGCTCTCCTTCTCTGGAGGCCGCAGCAGCCTTCCCAGGGACCTACCTCGAGCTCCCGCAGGGCATTATCACACTCTTTCTGGCCTGGAGCTTGTTGGGTGCACAGAGTGATGAGTTGATTGATGCTCTCTGTCACAGCTCTGGGACAGAAACAGAATTTTTTTTAAGGATAAGCAGTAATTTCCCCTACAATGCTTCACAGGTTCACCAGAAATACAATTAATTCACTATTTCAGCTCGGGTCCCCAGGGGAACTCTTCCACAGAGGATCTACACAACCAAAATAAACTACACCCAGGGAAGACAGAATGAAAAACCCTACCTTGCCTCTGATTATTCATTTGCTAGACCCGGAAGGGGTCCTAATATAGTTGACCTTTGAACAATATGGGTTTGCAACGTGCAAAACTGCTTATAGGTGCGTTTTTTTTTTGTTTTTTTTTTTTTTTTCAGTAAAAGTCACACCACTGTGCCCACCTCTCCTTTCTCCCCTTTCAACTCTTCTACCTCTGCCACCCCTCCAACAGCAAGATGAACCCCTCCTTCTCCGCTGCCTACTCAATATGACCATGATGACAGTGAAGACCTTTACGATGATCCACTTCCACTTAGTGAAAAGTACATTTTCTCTTCCTTCTCATTTTGATAGTAGCTCAATGTATCATAAGAATACAGTACATAATACACATAACATACAAAGTATGTGTTCACTGTTTATGGTATCGGCAAGGCTTCCAGTCAACAGCAGGCTACTGGTAAAGTTTACGGAAGCAAAAACTATACATGATTTGTTACTGTGCAGGGATCGGTGTCCCTAACCTTTGCATTGGTCAAGGGTCAACTGTAGTTCTCCTAGGAAAGTTAATACATTCATAAGAATTTGCAACAAGCATATTAGCACTATTTAAGACCCTTTATCAGCGGTCCCCAAGGAACAAGATAATCTGAACAATTTGAATATTTTGTACATTTTAAAATATATAGACATAAAGTAAACTGTGCCTATGATTTTAAAATTTCTTCCTTCCATTAAATTCTGTATGAATGACTGGTTCCGAAAGCCACTTTAAAATTATTCATTAAAATTGCTATTTTCTTTGTTAACACGAACAAATAAACTAGGGACTCTGGCATGACCTCACTTGCTTCTATTCTTAGAACGTAAGAGATAGCCCTGCTTTTTCTACACTGACAAGGACTCTGTTCCACCTGGGCAGCACCTGTTTCATTTGTCTCAGGTAATGACATGGATTTCAAAGTCATGGCCATTTGTAATTAACTTTTTGTAAAGTGTAAGATATGGGTTCTAGGCCGGGCGCGGTGGCTCACGCCTGTAATCCCAGCACTTTGGGAGGCCGAGGCGGGTGGCACGAGGTCAAGAGATCAAGACCATCCTGGTCAACATGGTGAAACCCCATCTCTACTAAAAATACAAAAATTAGCTGGGCATGGTGCCTATAATCCCAGCTACTCGGGAGGCTGAGGCAGGAGAACTGCCTGATCCCAGGAGGCAGAGGCTGCGGTGAGCCGAGATTGCGCCATTGCACTCCAGCCTGGGTAACAAGAGAGAAACTCCGTCTCAAAAAAAAAAAAGATACGGGTCGTAGTTCTTTAAAAAATTTTTTGGCATTTGGAAGTCCAATAGTTCCAGCCCCATTTGCTGAAAAAACAATCTTTTCTCCCCACTAAATTGTTTTTGCAACTCTGTTGACAATCGATTGACCACATTCGTGCGGGTCCATTTCCGGACTCTGCATTGTGTTCCACTGATCTACGCAGTGGATGTTTGGTCAATACCACACTCTCTGGACGAACAGTTTTATACTAAATCTTAAAATTGAAAACCCATGCATTTTACAAATCAAAAATCGGAGCTACCTCCCAAAGAGAATGCTACAAAGCAGCAGCAGAAATAATACTTCAACTCATGCCTATCTGACTCAAAAACCAAACACGTAATTCTTTTCTGCAGCGTCATAACTGGTCCACACTTCTGGCAGGGCCCAGAATTCCTACTCAGTTTCTAACCGCTGCAGCTAAAAGCCAAGTTAAACAAAAATAAAACAGGCACATACTGCTGTTAATCACCAACACTGATATAAAAGATGCCTCATTTTATTAGTTAAATTGGTTTTGCAGCTTCCCACAGAATATCAAATTAGACGGAAAATGACGGTGCCAATGTAGAAATGCGATCAGCTTAATTACTTGATGAGGAGATACTGCTTTCAATTTTAAACTGAGCTAGGGTGATAGGAAAAACTCTAACATAGTTTTTGTAAGATTGACTCTGGTGATTCATTTATTTGGGGACCACTATTTAATTAAAGTGTCACTGGGCAGCACTGTGCTCTCTATGGTGCAAAGCAAAACGAGAATAAGGAGACACCCAGACAATCCCTAGTTCCAAGGATTGTGGAGGATTGTGGTCCTTAATGTGTGCATTTAAAGCATCCCGTGGGGAGTCCAGCACCCTGTTCTACGTGGTGGTGGTCTTGAAGCACACTTCTGGGAAGACAGGCTGGCATGTAACATCATAATAGTATGGGCGTTTGGGGCTATTTCCACATGTCACAGAATCTTTCTATTTAGGTTAATTCTCCCTGGGTTTCCTCTTTATCTGTATTTTTAAAAAACCTTGTTACTGTAATCCCAACACTTTGGGATGCCAAGGTGGGCGGATCACGAGGTCAGGAGATTGAGACCATCCTGGCCAACCCGGTGAAACCCCGTCTCTACTAAAAATACAAAAAAACTAGCTGGGCATGGTGGTGCATGCCTGTAGTCCCAGCTACTTGGGAAGCTGAGGCACGAGAATTGCCTGAACCCAGGAGGCGGAGTATGCAGTGAGCCGAGATCACGCCATTGCACTCCAGCCTGGGCAACAGGGCTTTAAAAAAAAAACAACAAAAAACCCTTGTTACTAAAGTTTCTTCCATTAAAAACTAAGTGTTTATAATTGGTGAACCCAGAGGATATATAGCTGTGGGAAAGCCAACTAATCTCTTAAACTTTTCTGTGGATGTAAAATTTTTTCAGATAAAAACTTGGGACATAAACCAACAGACTAAGGGTTTGTGGTTGGGCGATCCACAGAAGTGCCAGCACAGCATCGCGTGTCTGAATGAGATGCTTGGGTAATACTGATCCAGAACTCGGAAGCATTATTTAGCCATCACGAATTCCCATAACTCATTTTACAGTCGAGATTACATAGCTAAATAAGTAGCTAAGTGGTCCAGAGGCAAACGGTTATGTAAATTTGACAATGAAATATACTCTTTATGTTTTAAACTCCAGCAGTCATTTATAAGAGTAAAGAGAAGGGAGCAACCCAAATATGTAACAAGAGAGGATTAAATAAATATACAGCCCACAACAGAATCCTGAGGACCCATTAAAAGTCAGTGAATCGCGTATTACTAATGTCATAGATGAAAATTTGCACTATAAGATTAAATAAAATTTACAAAATAGCATAAATAAAATGGGCCTACCAATCTAAAAAATAAACATATATGTGCAAAGCAGATGACAGAATGACATATATTAAAATGTGAAGGGACTTTATAATGTTATTTTGAAAGAAAAAATTTCAATAAATCTATCCCCATTAGAAATTGGAGGCCGAGGTGGGTGGATCACGAGGTCAAGAGATCGAGACCATCCTGGTCAACATGGTGAAACCCCGTCTCTACTAAAAATACAAAAAATTAGCTGGGCATGGTGGCGTGTGCCTGTAATCCCAGCTACTCTGGAGGCTGAGGCAGGAGAATTGCTTGAACCCAGGAGACGGAGGTTGCAGTGAGCCAAGATTGCGCCATTGCACTCCAGCCTGGGGAACAAGAGCGAAACTCCGTCTCAAAAAAAAGGCCAAAATTAGAGGGGTGTCTGTTCTTTGCAAACCAAATAGACCTGAACTATAGTTACTTTTATTCATTTTTGTTTATAATCTTCTTTTAATGATCAAAGCTATACGAGTTCATTTTTAAAAATACAAAAAAGATAGATAACCATAATTCTATCATCCAGAGACAGCGTTTTCATCTAGGCTTATCTCTCTACTCTCAGCTTCTAAAAATTGGGATCTACAACCTCAAGGGTTAAAACAGGTTACGGCAAAAACCCATTTAGTGTTCAGAGACACTGAATTGATTCAATGCAAATGTGAGAGCTCTGGCTAGAAGTTTCAAGTAGATACAGAATTGGGGTGGAGGGTGACAAGAAAATCAACCACTTTGTGCTTTTGGTCACCCATTAAGCACAAGTTACCCAGTCAGGAGCTTAGAGGGTAAAAAGCAGCAGCAGACATCTCTGTTCCTGTCTCCAGGGAAGAGGTGCGGGGGAAGGGAGGAAAGAGCAAATAGAAATCCACCTATCAGTATTTCCTGGGTCCCGTTATGCTCGAGGCACGGAGATTAAAAAATAATCTAGCCAGGCATGGTGGCCTGTGTCTATAATCCCAGCTACTAGGGAGGTTGAGGTCAGGCTGAGCAACACAGCAAGACTCCATCTTTAAAAAGAAATAATAGTTGGCCAGGCACGGTGGCTCACGCCTGTAATCCCAGCACTTTGGGAGGCCGAGGCGGGTGGATCACGAGGTCAAGAGATCGAGACCATCCTGGTCAACAAGGTGAAACCCCATCTCTACTAAAAATACAAAAATTAGCTGGGCATGGTGGTGCGTGCCTGTGGTCCCAGCTACTCTGGAGGCTGAGGCAGGAGAATTGTTTGAACCCAGAAGGCGGAGGTTGCAGTGAGCTGAGATCATGCCATTGCACTCCAGCCTGGGTAACAAGAGCGAAACTCCATCTCAAAAAAATAAAAAATAAAATAATAGTAACAATTCAAAGTAACAAAAATAATCATTTATAGCTCTCTAGGATGGAAAGGTGTTTGCAATCTAATCAAAAAGACAAGACAATGAGAAGAGAAGATCCAAAGAAGTTGCATGAAAGAAGGCAGTGCCAGGGTGGGACACCAGGCTGGACATGATGGATCACTGAGCAGGGGACCAGATATATGTGGGGACTCACAGGGAGCCAGAAGAAAATGAAGCCCCAGTCACAGGGCGCAGAGTCTGCCTGGGAGGGAGGGCTCGATATGAACTGAAGCAAGTGGAAAGTCAGGGCTAAGTGAGATCCTGATTTGGGTAGAGAGAAGGAAACATTCTAGGAGAGACCCACAGAGAGCAAAGGTCTCCTGTACACCTTTCTGTTTATAGCAGACGCACTCTTCTCATTTGTGCTGCTTGCTGGACCATCCATCTTCATGGTCTCTGGAGACGGGAGGAGCCCTGTCCAGCAAGAAGCTCAGACCAAAGGGATGCCAAGGAGGCAGGTGCTACCTGGAAGTTCCTAGGAAGTGCCCTCTGAGGACTGGAAAGCAGCTGAAACGTGGCCCAGGGGTCTGATGCTGGCCTCCGTGGGCCTAAAGCCTTCTCAGTTCTGGAGTCCTTCTGGACAGGACGACTGTGGTGGTGAGCAGTGATTCAGGGAAGGTGCTCAGAGGTAGGATATATCCCCTTTCTTTTTGCAACTGCAAGCTAGCTTTCTATTTCCTTGACTAAGTTTAGGGAGCACCTGACCAGTCCCTGGTTGGGGAAAAGGCTGATGAAGGGGAAGACAACGGGTCTCCAGCTCCACCCAACTTGTCAGAAAAGAGCCAGAGCCCAATCGGTTACATGGGAAGAAGATGAACAAGCCAGACACTACACAGAAGATGACTTCCTCTCCCCTAGGGCTACAAAACCAAGGGGCTAGGGTCCCAAAGTGTACTTAAGCTCAGAGGCAGAATTAAGAACAGAGGAGGCCAGGTGCATTGGCTCACACCTGTAATCCCAGCACTTTGGGAGGCTGAGGCGGGTGGATCACGAGGTCAGGAGATGGAGACCATCCTGGCCAACATGGTGAAACCCTGTTTCTACTAAAACATAAAAAATTAGCCGGGCCTGGTGGAACATGCCTGCAGCCCCAGCTACTCAGGAGGCTAAGGCAGGGGAGTCACCTGAACTCCAGAGGTGGAGACTGCAGTAAGCTAAAATCATGCCATTACACTCCAGTGTGGTAACAGAGCAAGACTCTGTTTAAAAATAAAAAAATAAAAAAAAGAGGAAAAAGACATCCTTTACTTTTTCTCTAGAAGCAAACCTTTTCTTCCCAGAGCAAGAAGGACTAAGGAGACCACAAATAAGAAGGGGTTCAAGACTGTTGACACAGGAGCAGGACAGGGCTGAGTTGGTCCAGGCCTGGGTCCCAGCAGTGGCATTTCTGGGGACTTTGAGGACACACAAAAAACAACAGGCAGAGCCTGACAGTGTCAAGAACAGGGAGGACAGAGGACTGAAGACTGAGGACTACGATGATCAGATCCCTGCTGCTCAGCTTCCTGTGCACTTTTATGCAAGACTGTTTTAGGCCTGGACAAAGTGAGAGAGCATGTGGTGAGTCCCGCCTAACTCCCCCAGGGCCACATTCCTGCCTCATTCACAGTGGGCACTCAGCACTGGGCCTTGCCCCTATCAGGCCTGGATGAAAATCTACGTAATGAAGACATGAAAGAGTAAGACAATGAATGAATGAACCTCAGCCTGGCAGAGCTTTGTGTCACAAGAGGAGCCTGCCTGACCCACTTAACCTGGCTGGAGTTTCTGCTGAGAAACAGCCCCAGGGAGCACAAGCTTGCCAAAATGCGCCAAGAAACCAAGGAGAACGTGCCAGCGTTTTCTAGCAGCAGTTCCATCCCGAGACGATCATTTTCATGTGACGATTTTTAAGTGCTTACTTGACTATGAAACCACCAGTCTGGGAATTCTCTGTTAACTGCTGAAAGCCAGGACAGAGGGGCAAAGAAAGCCTTTTCTTCCCTTCTCCCCAGGTCCTTTCTTCGAAGCCACCACCAGGGGGCCTGCAGCTATTCACAGAGCCATATACCAGCAATATTCTTTCCGGGTCTGTTTCCTTCTATCTGGCTTTCAAAAGGGCACTTTATACATTCTCCTCCCTCCCACAATTTAAGAGAGTGAACACATTCCAAGTTGCAAACTGTAATTTTGAAATGATGCAAAGAATTGTAGATAACGAAAAACATCTGAGTCCAGATACCTGGAAATGTCTGCGGCCTTATTCAAATGCTCTTTGTGGGAAAAAAAGGAATGATGGAGAGGGGGGCTTCTATCAGAAACAGCTGCTCAAGAGATCAGACATCACCCCCATCCCCACCTCCCATCTCTCCTGCCATCAAGGGAGGTCACTTACTTACTGGAATAGTCACAAACAAGGCATGAGATGCGGAGATGGGAAGATATTCCAGTCCACTAGCGGCTCTAGCGGTTGTTTGAGGTTAAGATGTACCTTCCAGGAGTGAATGAAGAAAGTCCAGGATGTGCAAGGAAAGTGCTCCGACAGTGTCCAACCATCACACACACACACACACACACCACGCCACAAGCCAAGAAGGGAGGAAGGGTTTGGACCACGAGTACAAGGAAATCTTAGGTGCCGAGAGCTAGAGAGCTTTAAGGATGACGTAGTTCACACCCCCACTTTGCAGATGGGAAAGTTTAGACAGGCTAAGCAACTCCACCAATGTGACTGAGCTAGTCAGGTACTAAAGCCTGGAATAGAATTCAGGTCTCTTGATGCCAACCATTTAAAAACAGCCGTTGAGCTCCCAGGGGAGATATAAAGACACAGACACACACACACACACACACACACACACACACACACACACACACACACAGCAAACAAACAAAACCAAGTTTAAAATAAGAAAGCAGAATCGATGGTATGCTTTTCAAAAATCACCAATCTGCACATTTTGAAAAGGCTTCCAATTACTCTCTATCCCCTAATGATCCTGCTTTTAATCTCTCTCCACTGTCGGCTTTCTTAAATATAATGTGTTGTTAAATAATGCTAAGAAAACATGCCTGCACCACCACAGAATCCTAACAACTCTGCTCTCTGGGTTCAGGAGCATGAAAGAGGGGCTGCTGATGTAAGATCTCCCTGGGCTGTAGCTGCAGGGCTCTACCTCCCAACATTCAACCACTACTGAACTAACTTGTGGTCCTAGAGCAGAAACTGTACTGTTTCACCCACGTCCCTGGGTGAAACCAACAGGAAACAAGGATACCACAATCATCTGAAATTCACACTCAAGTTTTACTCTATTTCCAAAAACAATTTATTCCCACTGCCTCCCTACTCATCCTAAAGTGGAGCCTTCCCTATGTGACAGATACAACATGTTACATTCAATCTCACACTGATGCCAGGGACAGAGTTAAGTGCTCAATGTCTGTTGAATGACTTGCTGAGCACTGCTTTTTATCTTTATGCTTTTCAGTATTTCTGATTTTTCAAGAAGCATATGTTCTTTTATAATCTGAAACATATAACACCACTTAAAAAAAAATCTACATAATCCATTGCGTTTACAAGTCAAAAAAGAACTGAAGTCTAAGCCAGTCTCTACTGAAAAGGCTGTATGAGAAGACAAAAGATATTTTTAGTGGGGAAAGAACATGGAAATGAGCCAGTTTTATAAAACTCCAACACTCTCAGCTCCACCTCCCGTGACCTAAGGACAGCACCAATTCTTTGCTCAGGAAAAGTAGGAGGATGTCAGGCACATCTTCAGACTGCAATGACACTGTTTTACCACACACAAAGGTACATTTTGGACCACACTTTGGAACATTTTGACTCCTACCTTGCAGCTGCAGCCAGGAGATTTTTCGCATTGGGAGCCCCTGGATCTACAGAGAGAGACTTGGCAGCTAACAGCAGCTTGCTGGATGCCATCGAGATATTCTTGAGGTTCCCTATCACTTGGATCTGGTCTTCTTTTGTCTGGAAGGTCAAAAGGAGCCACAGCAATTAGGGCCTGTCCATTTCTTGAAGGAAGCATTCAGAGCGCGAGGAGCAGCATGCTGACATGGAGGCACCTTATCTGTATAGATCACGTTAAATCCAATTAGCCTGCAGATGCCTAACTCGTTGAGACACTGACCAGTGTCTACCCTTCTCCAAACAGATGCTCAGATCAAGATGCTTGCCATAGGGAAAGAAATCCATCCCCAAGTGGGTCAGCCAAGAGCTGTGCTTTCTCACAAGTCGAGGCATTAAGCGGGGAGCAGGGTGGGAGGGGAGTGAGCCGTGAGCCAATGCAAAGACCAGGCAGCGATTCCAGCATCTTGCTCAACAATGCTGGAGTTGTCAAGGAGCTGTACGTCTCGGCCTGGCACAAACGACTAGCACTATCTCGATATTCAGAGCTCACTGCATCCCTGAAGTTCCTGACTCAGGAAAGGACACACTCCTCATCTGGTTGCCATCTGAGAAACAATTCTTTGCAGTTACTAGAAGAAGATACAACCTGGTGATCTCCTTTAGGGAGGTCACAGGAGCGCGGAAAAAAAACAGCTCCACAAACTGACACTAGATCAGTCAAGCTCCCTTGCTCTAAACAAGGGCTTTATCTGTTCATCTGAAAGAGGAAATTTTTAATCACTTGACACTTGGTATTAGACACACACCATTTGAATGGGCCCATTAAACCTCAAATACATATATATTTTTACTGTATTATCCCACAAACGAAGAACTGTTCTAATCTCTGTTAGAGTTTAGAGATTAATTCTCCCTTCCCCTCTTCTCCCTCCAAATAGTAAGACTATGCATTCTGCTGGGGGATCGTGGGAGCAGTTATCCTCCATTACTAACAGCACATAATGCATAAGCTGATAGCATCTTTGGGAATGCCATTCCCATGAGGGCATGAGCTTCCTAAGCAGTGAAAAGAATGCAACCATGGCCTGGCTGTTTCCAGGTTCTTCTCCTATTTGTTCAGTCAGTCTCAGGGATGGATCATCCATCTGACAGGAGAGGCTAAGGTCAACTCCAGACAACCACCTCCACACCCACCTGAGCTTGGCCAGCCATCTCAATGCCAGCATCGAGGAATTCATCAAAATCATCACTGAACTTTCCAGAGGCTGCAGCCAGCTCCCCGCTCTGGCCCCGGGTGGCATGGACAACCTCCCCAGCAGACTGGTTCAGATCAGCGGCTGCCTGGTTCAGTTCACTCTGGGCTTCCTGGAAAGGCTTCGTGCTTGGAGGTAGCTATAAGGAACAGATGGCACACTCCGTGAGACATTTTGCTTTGCAGGGGAGGCATAAAAGGTGTTGTGGAGGGGACACAGACTCTTCAGGGATCCATCTGAGTCATCACGACTAAAAGGCTGAGTCATCTCAGCCCATTTTATTAATAGGGTTGACCCTCAACATATATACATTCATTCGTTCATTTATTTAAATTTGTCGAACACCTACTCAGCGCTAGACACTGTGGAACTAAAAAATGTAAGCTATCTTCAGGGGCTCAAGGTCTCCTAAGTGGCAGACAGCATCACACCAGGGCAATCTGCCTCCAGAGTCCATTCTCTAAAACTCTACCTGATGATACCTCTCTTAAGATAACTCTCAAAGTTTTAGCTTTGTAAACTAAAAGGCAGATACTATCAAACTTCAAATCATGCTCTTCCAAACTAATAGCCACCAATTATATTAGTGGTCTTTGGTAATAACTTTTTTTTTACAGAATACAAACGTCATCTAGAGGAATGATAACTGTCTGTGAAAAGTTCTAGGGAGTGAGGCTAGACTCTATTCATCACCCATATACACTGCCGCTACACCTGTGCAGAGAAGACGCAAACATGCATGAACACAAACCCTCCTGCAGCGGACTCGCAAAGCAGGGAAGGGAACAGGCCCCAGGGTGAAATTCCTCAGACTACTTGCTCTCTCACTGAGTCTTGGACACAAGTACCGTTCCAATACCTGACTGTCGCTGAGAAGTCATGATAAGAAGCCAGGTGACCACAGACCCTCTTCCTCTCTCACTGGGATGACCCAAGAGGAAATGGTAACATGGGTTCAAAGAAAAAGTAAACTTTAAAAGCTCCACCTGGGAACTTGGTTGATCAGACAGCAAAACAAGGAAAACAAAGACTGGTGAGAAAAACAGGACTCCTCAAGGAAGGGTTAGCCGCTCAGAGATCTCATGGAGAGAAGACGACTTCGCTCACACCTAATATGAGCCTAGCCCCCCAGTGTCCTTTCCCCACCCAAGAACCTCTCACCGAATCCACAAGCAGCTTCTTGCTAGACTCTCCAATGCTCTTCAAGGCCACGTCCACATCCTTCTGCCCAGGGAGGCAATTGACGCAGTTATTCAAGGAGTGTGAGACGGCTTTAGCCACCTGAATTCATGAAGGGAGAGAAGCACCTTTAAGCACAAACATTTCTGCACATTTGTTGGGAATGAGCGGTGACAACATGCAGAGCTGAAACAGATATGGAAATGACCCACCAGCATTCACCTGCCACTGTCACATGTCTTATATCCCCTCGTCCAGGCCCCCTGCCCCAGAGAAGATGTCCACCTTACTGGGATTAACATTCTGTCTCAGCAAAGGGTCCGACACAGTGACACAGCACATTCTCCTGTTCCCCAAAGCCAGGCTAAGCCACTGTTTTGTGATTCAAACATGTAACTCTCCAGTATGAGGTCAGGTGCTGAAGCAAACATTTCTTATACCAAGAGAAATGGAAATATCTCCCTTCTTGGGAGCTCTGCTGAGGTCACCGAGGTGGAGGGAGACCTTGAGTTTTTTGGATTACAATTAGCAAGGCCTGCAGTTAGTTTTTCCTCAGTGACCCTCTGGGGCCATCTTCCGAAAACTGATTCTGCCCAGAGGCTAGGGGGATGCTCTGAGCACAACCTGGAGTTGCCCTCATGCTGCTTAGGAACGTTCAGTGGCTCCCTGCTTGCATTCTTCGGTATCCTCAATTAGAAGGAAGGTCTTTGGAGGTGGGCGGTTCCCTCTAATCTAAGCCATCTCCTTCCCTGCCCCACATCTAGGACTCTGCCTGGATGCTCCTTAGCCAACTGGTTCCATCAGGCAGTCAAAGAATCATTCAAAGAAGTAACAGAGAGCCAGGGTTGGAAACTTCTGAGGAGCCAGCCCTACTGGATCTACCTCACCCCCTGGCTAGGAAAAGCAAGATAGCTCAGCACACATAGACCCAGAACAAGCATGTTAAACTCCTAAAGACAGAATTCAAAGGCACCTCTACCCTCTGTTGACTGTGAATTAGGCAGATCACACATTAATGAGAATATGAGGCAAGACTTACGAAAGTACATAACACGTATGGCCAGCACTGTTACGACCTCTGGAAGTGAAACACCTGCTGTGTCAGTGTTCCCATCAGGGAAAAGCACCCAGGAAACAGCTCACCCACATGTCCAGGTAATGACCATGAAACCACACTTTCTGATTCCCAGCCTCACCTGAGCCAGTCTTTGTTGACTCTCTGCATCTCCAGGTGCAATCAGGGCCTGCTTGGCTTCTTGAATGAGCATGGCGGAGCCCTCCATCACGTCTCGAGCAGAATCTAACATGGCATGGGCAGCTGCCGGGTCGGTCGTTGATGCAGCCACTCCCCGGGCGGCCTGGGCCAGCGTTTTCAGAGCTTGGGCCGTCTCTCTAGCAGCCACCCCTGGGGATGAAAGCCCAGCAGATTTCTAATTCTAAATGTCACCTTTTACTTAGGAATAAGCTTGTGAACCAGGGCCCGGCACAGAAGGGTAGCTACAGATTAGCTTTTCTAAAATTCAAATTGCTGTGTTTCTTGAAGAAGTAGCTTCAGAAACATATCCCCCTGGCTCTGGGCCAAACCAAGAGACACGTTAGAATAAATGCAATGCTAAAGACTAACTTCCCCCTGACTTCCCTTGCTCCCACTGCCCCACATGTCCCTAGACCTAGAACACCAAGTCTGTGGGAGTGAGTACACAGATGGCCATGACCGGGTATGTTCATGTACATGTTTGTTGGAGGTCATTTAAATGTAACTTTCCTCTCAATCGTCTTTCTGGGGCGTAACTTACATACAACACAGTGACCAAGTCTACATGTGCAGATCAGTGAACTGGTACATATGGACTGTGCCCTTTTCTAGTCAATACTCCCTTGACACCAGAAGTGATCAGCATTTTAATGTCTATCGCCTTAGACTAGTTTTACCTGTTCTTAACCTTCATGTTAACAGAACCATACAGATGTATTCTTTTGTGTCTGCCATCTTTCTCTGACCATAATGGTGCAGGCTTCAGCTAAGATGTGATGTGTGGCAATTCATTCTTTTTTCTGGCTGTATAGTATTCCACTATATAAATATGCCAACATTTGTTTATTCATTCTCCTGTTGATGGATATTTGGGTTGTTTTCCATTTGGGGCTGCTTGAATGAATCTACCAAGAAAGTTCTTTGGGGCCATTTGGATGAATCTACCAAGGAAGTTCTTATATGTATATTCAGGTGGCCATATGGAATCATACCTCCTAGATATAAACCCAGGAGCTGAAATGCTGGGTCACAGAGTAAGCATATACTTAGCTTTAGAAGATACTACAAAAGCAGTTTTCCAGAATGATTTTACCATTACACATGCCACTGGCCATCTCTAAGAGCTGCATCGCTCTATATCCTAGCCAATACCAGGCGGCACCAGATTTTAATGTAATCATTCCGGTGCATGTGTAGCTGCATCTCAAGGAGGCTTTAACTTTTATATCCTTGATGAGTGATGATGTTGAGCACCTTTGCACGCACTTAATGGCCATTTAGATATCCTCTTTTGTCAAGTGCCTGTTTATCTTTAAATTCCAATCTAACAGATGATGGGATTTGGTGATAAACTTTGAATATAAACTAGTTCTTTCAAGCTGTAGCACCACCCCATGTGGAACAAACATGAGCCTTACTACCTAGCCTGTCGTCCTTGGCACACCCTAGAAGAGAATGAAGACTGGAGACGCCACAACACATATAAGCCTGAGATTCACTGAACAGCGTACCCTAGAGCTCATCTCATGAAACAAGCCTAGTGCTGAGACGTACCTTGCCCACGAACACTTCCAGAGGTGGCAACAGAGCTAAATCTGAGCTTTCCTCACTTCGAGGTCAAATACTCTTTATAGTAAGTACTCTTTAGGGTAGAGAACTATGAGCCCTTTTTGTTAGAACATGTAAGATCCACATGAAAAATACACAAATCGATGTCTCTCTTGCACTCAACTTTGAAATGACTATTTTCTACAGGACTGCGCTGGAAGGTCTCTAGGCACCAGTGAGTGTGGTCTTCACCCTGCTTCAGCTGAGTCAGCACCCACACAGCAGGTGGTCTTTTCCTCAATGAGGACGACGCTGTGCAATACAATAGAGTGTGAAAGGCCTCAGATCCATAAAAGCAGATGGGTCTGCAGCGCTGCAGACTTGCTAATATGTAAATATTTAGTAAATCACACAGCTGGGATATAAAACTACGATCTAATCAAGGTAAATTACAAAGCTGCCAATCTATCATTTATCCCATGGCACTTCTGAGTACAGCTGGTGGAATGACAATTTTAAACTAAGTGCTTTTTAAGGCAGAGGAGAAGCCCAGAAGAGAAAGCATAAGGGTAAACAAAAGGCTAAGGTGAAGGGCAGACAACAATCTGAGGAGAACGGTCATTCCATTTTACGCTTAAGCTTTTGGCACAAGGTTGAAGGACGCCGTTGCTCAGAAAAGCGCCAGATGTGGTTCTGACCTCATCTGGCTCTGGCTCTGCTGCTGATTAGCTGTGCGGTCTAGACTGCTGCCTTTTCCCTCTGGGCCTCAGTTTCTCATGGATTTTGGGAGAGGCTGAGTTCCGAGCTCTGATCATTGCAGATTCTAGGCTGTGCCTGCTACACCTCTCCTCTTGTATTCCCATTTGTCATAAGGACTCTTGGGTCCACTTCTGTGTGAGTTGTATATAAGTTTGGAGGGGTAAATCATTCATCACATGCAATTAGCAAAGACATGTTTATGCAAAATCCATTTAGTGAAAAACCTTTCATAGACTCAGACAATTAAATACAGAAATCGGAGGAGCTAAATTCCAAAAACCTAAGCTGGTCCTTCCCATGAAGTTTTCTGCTAATGACTCACTGTGAAATCTTAAAGCACATCAAGGATCTTCTCGAGAGGGATCAGGTTTCTGGAAAGAGGAAGCCATACCATCAAAAGGTTGAAGCAAGGCCACCAGAGGTCAGAAAGCCCAACGAACACCCATGGCTGTGCGTGGCTGAACGCACAGCAACACTCTCAATGGTAATCACTATAGAGTCAGATCTCCAAGCACACAACACCCTCCGAATGGAACTGTTCATGTAGTCGAAGTGTGCATCACAACGCCAGAACCACCAGTGTGAAATACTAAAGCAGATTTCTGTTTCAATAACCACAGTCCTTTGAAAACAAAGATTACTTTCACAGTATTCTTGCCATCTGGATCTTAAATTATACTCAGTAACAGAGTCTTATGAAGGCATATCAAGTGATATCAAATATAGTAGCATTCTTCATAATGGTTGCTATTCTTTACCAGAATTCATGTGGATTGTGTATCCAGACAGTATTGGGCCACACAGCAAGCTCACAAGGCAAAAAGCTCGTATGACATAAATCTTTTATCTGTTCCAAAGTATTTACAAAGGGTTCTGTGTCACTGTAATCAACCATACAGAAACATATTTTGTACACTGCTCTGACCCAAGAGAAACACACTTGCATTAGAATGGAGCCCAGTAGCAGCTCATGGGCAACCTGAGATCCAGGGACCAGTTGTCCACACATGCTCTCTCTTTCCTTGCTTCCCATCCATTCTCCAACTTTCCTGAAACTGCCTTCAACAAGGAGAATAGTAACCTTATTCCTAAAGTGAATGGATGCTTAAGTGTCCCATCTGGGCCGGGTGCGGTGGCTCACGCCTGTAATCCCAGCACTTTGGAAGGCCGAGGTGGGTGGATCACGAGGTCAAGAGATCGAGACCATCCTGGTCAACATGGCGAAACCCCACCTCTACTAAAAATACAAAAAATTAGTTGGGCATGGTGGCGTGTGCCTGTAATCCCAGCTACTCGGGAGGCTGAGGCAGGAGAATTGCCTGAACCCAGGAGGCGGAGGTTGCGGTGAGCTGAGATCGCGCCATTGCACTCCAGCCTGGGTAACAAGAGCGAAACTCCGTCTCAAAAAAAGTCTCTCATCTGACATGACTTTCTGGGCAGCAACTGTGTCTATGGCTCTACAGACATCCCTCTCTCCTGGTTTTCCTGCCCTCTCCATAGCTCCGTACTCTTCTTTCTTTCAAAGATTTCCATTGCCAGCTTCTTCTTTAAGTAGCCAGGTTCTTCAGGGTTCCAACTGATCAACTGTCTCTTACTCTGCCACTCCCTGTTGGCAAACTTACCTACTTCCAATCATTATCATTTTACCAATAATTTTCAAATCTGTATCACCCAGTCCAGCCTTCTCTCCTGAGTTTCAGAGCCAAAGATCCAGCTGCCTAATGATGCTCGTCCTGCATATTCTCCAAGTGCCTCTAACGGAATACATCTAGTGCTGAACCCAGCATTTCTGAACTTCACCTCCCCTCCTCCTACCAATGGTTCTGTGTTCCCATCAGTGGTTCATACAACTCTTCATTCAGCCATAGGGCCGAACACTTGGAATCATCTATGTTAACGACCCCACCAACTTCTAACCAGTCACCAAGAACAGTCAGGTCTTTGCTTCTTCAGCCCATCACTTTGTCTCCACTTAGGACACTACCACCTCTTACCTGGGTTAATGCAACAGCCTGCTTGCCTACTCCTTTGTCTTCAACCAATCTATCCTACGCACAGGAGGAAGGGCGACCTATACAAAAAGAATCTGAACTGTGTCCACGGCTGAAAAACACGTTCACATATTCTTCAGCTAAAGTCTAACTCATTGATTTTAACTTACGAGGCCCTTTAGGATCTGAGCCTGGCCTGACTTTTCAGCCCCATCCTCTTGCTCCTCAATTCCTCTTTGCCTTTTACTTTAACCATCTTCAGTTCCTTCCATCAGCCCTCTTTCCTCTCATCTTTAAGGCATCATGCGTGCAGTGCTCACCTATGCAACCGCCTTCCGACGCCTGCCAAAATGAAATGGGGCTACTTCTGGGCTGCTTTTCAGACACCAGCTAGAAAGCCTGTCTTCCTGGATGTTATCAGTATCAGATGACACAACCTGCAAAGCAGTCTCTTCTCTACTAACTATGCATTTCATCGTCTGCACAACAGCTGGCAAGATTGCGGGCAAATGTAGAAATTTTTGAAATTTAAATCTCTCCCATTACCTCATGATTTTATAAGAATTTTATCATACTTTTCCTTCTCCTAGAATGCTAAAGGAGTCCCACCCAATCCTCGAAGCCCTCACCAGGTGTCCATTCTGCTCTGAAAATTTCCCCTGCCCTTCCATTGGGATCAAATTTTACGTTATTATTGCAAGTATTACACATATTGTACAATAACTTTGTGTTCCTATTGTGCTCTTTTAAATTTTTATTTTCAAAGTAATACATGTACACAGCTTTTACAAATCAAAGAGGATTTTGCTTGTAGTGATGGCAGAATAACTTACTGTGAATCAAGCTTCCCACATAGAAACTCTGGAAAACATACATCCAGAACATCTATTTGAAGGCACTGGAGAAAGACCAAGGCACCAAGGTAAAGAGGGCCAAGACCTTGAAAAGAAGGAAAGTACGGAGAGGCGAGTCCAATGTTCACGGTGGCTTTTTCTCTAAAGGCATTTCCTAATTTGTAACCTGTTGCCAAGAAGCTGAGAAGCTGAGTAAAATTTCCTGAAATCTCATGGGGTTAGCAAAAGAAAAAGCATAGTTCTGAGACCAAGAACAGAACAGCCCTGGTAAACAGAAACCCTTTCAGATTGGATACACAAGGTGGCACCCTCAAAGGTAAACCGGAAACAGACCTCACAATTTCCAATCAGCTCAGTTCCCGCATTTTTATTGTGATCTGTCCTTATCTTAACTACCTGCCAGGAGCAAAGAGTAATCCAATGTAGGGAGAAAAACATATTTCAGGGCCTCAAGTTATCTCTACTTAAAATAGCAATGTTCAGTCTTAAAGAAAAAGAAAATGAAAACACAAGGAGACAGACCAATGGCTGATAAACCGAGAGGGGGAAAAACAAAAATGAAACCAAAAACAACCCTGACAGTAAAAACAGGCTACAGGTGATCCAGACACTAGGACACTAGACTTCAACTTTAAATAACTGTGATAAATATGTTGAAGAAATTAGACAACATACAGAATTTTGGCAGAGGCACAAACTGTAAGTAAACAAATGACTATTCCAAAACTGAAAAATATGATACTTAGAATTAAAATCTCAATTGAAGGGGTTGAAAGCAGAATAGATACTGCTAAAGAGAAGAAAAGTGAATGGGAAGATAGATCAAAAGCAAATATTGAGAATAAAGCATGGAAAGAAAAATGATGAAAAAGAAAAGTACAGGAGATGTAGAAACACACTGAAATGATTTAACATACGAAAAAGAAAGTGGGACAGAAGCAGTATCTGAAGAAACAAAGGTGGAGAGTTTTTGAAAACTGGCATAGGACAAAAAACATCCCATTTTCAAGGAGTACTTACAACCCAAAGGAGGACAAATACATAGGACCAATACATCCTTCAGGCACACTGCTGAAAAACCAAAGACTAAAAAAACTCAAAAAGCAGAGAAAGGGGGAAAAAATAAAACCACATTATCTTTATAACTAACTTCACAGCATAAATAAAGGAAGCCAGAGACAATGGAATAGCCTCTCCAAAGTGCTGGAAGAAATCAACTAAAATTTTGTAAGTGATATTATCCACCCAAAATAAAAGGTAAACAAAAGCATCTTTAGACAAACCAAAACAGAGAGAACTGGTCACCAGTAGATTAATACTAAGAAAAATAATGAAAGGAGTTCTTCAGGTGGAAACGCAATGATCTCCAAGGAAAACTCCTCAAGACGCAGAAGGAATGAAGCGTGATGGAAAGGGCAACTATGCGGGAAATCTAAATGAATAAGGACTATCTGGAACAATACTGAGATTATACTGTGGAGACGAAAATACGCCTAGAATTAAAACATACAACAATAAAATAATTGAAAGAAAGGTAAATGAAGTTAACATGTCCCAAGATTCTTGCACTATTCAGGAAGACATAAACAGAGTAACTTGTATTAAAGAAATCATAAAGAATAGTAAATTAACGTACAACTAACAAGCTAATCAAGAGGAAGAAAACAGAGTTTAGAAAGTGCGTATGAATCTGAAAGGAGGCAAGCAAAGAGGGAAAAAAGGCACTTACCACAGGTAGGCACAGAGAAAACAAATAGTAAGACAACAGACTCGAACACCAACATATCAGTAATTACACTATCTATAAACAGACAAATCACTCCAATTGAAAGAAAAAGATTGTCACACCACCAACCAATCTCTGCCCTCCTCAAAGAACAATGACAAACTTGGAGGATACCCAACCCATTCACTATAAACGTGAAGAAAAACTGAAAGTAAAAGAATAAAAAAGAAATGTCACGCACACATTAAGCACAACAGGGACTTCTATGCTGAAAACCATATAACTGGACTGAGAGAAAAGAAGTCCTAAATAAACGGATATTCAGAGATTAGAAGACTCAGTGATATAAAGACGTCAATTCTCCCTAAACTGATTCTATGTTATCCCAATAGTAGTTTAAAAATACTGATTTAAAAAAACAGTATATATTTTTTTATTTTGTAGAAATGTACAAGTTGATTCTAGAATATATGTGGAAATCAAAAAGGCCAAGAATAGTCACCACTAACTTGAGGAAAATCAAAAGTTGGAGGATGTGCATTACCACACATTAATACTTAGTACAAATACTTTAGTATAAAACTACAATACAGTAATTACAGAAGTATAGTACTAATATAAGAACAGGCATAAACTGACCCAAACATGTATGTTCACTTATGTTACAACAAAGTGGCACTAAAGATCATTGGAAAAAGTGGGCTTTTCAATCAGTGGTGCTGGGTCAAATGGATAACCGTGTGGAAAAGCAGTTAAGTGAACCCTGCTGCTCATAAACAAAACTCATTCCAGAAAGATCAATGTTCTAAACATGAAAATCAAACAGTGACGCTCAGGATATGACAGAGGAGAACATCTGCATAATCTTAGGCAAAAGTTTTAAAATACGACACAAAAAGTACTAACCATAAAGAAAACAAAAGGATAAATTGGAATGTATTAAAATAAAGTCTTTGGGCATCAAAAGGCATTTTAAGAAACTAAAAAAGCAAGTCACAATACAGAAGAAATACATATAGGTAACAAAGAACTACAAGTGAGGAAAAGACAATAACCCAATTTTCAAATAAGGGGCAAAAGACACACACACACACCACAAAATGGCCAATAAACCTGTGAAAAGGTCCTCAATGGCACTGCTCATTGGGAGATGCAAATTAAAATCATAATGAGCTACTATGACTCACAAACCAAAAGGCTAAAATTACAAGATGAACAATACAAAGTGGTGGCAAGGATACAGAACAACTGGAGCTTCCTTCCATACACTGCTGAAAGAAATGTACTGAACACATGCAGAGCCACTGACCTAGGAAACCCACTTCTAGGTACACAGCAAGAAAATGCTTAGTATGCTCACTCAACAGCAGGGACTAGACTTGTTCCTGGCAGTGCCTTTTGGAAACAACGCAAATGACCATCAACAGTGTAAAGGACAGCTATGTTCAAGTAATGTAACACCATAGAGATAATGGAAATGAAAGAACCACTCTATGTACCACAGATGAGTCACACAAACATAGTGCTGAGAAAAAGCAGCTAGACATGAGGACCACATATTGTATTATTCCGACTACTTACAGCTCAAGAACAGGCAAAATTCATCTACGCTGCAGAAGCCATGAGCGTTTACCTCTGGGGAAGGAGGAAGGGGATGCAGTGGTTGGGAGGGGGCACAAGGGAGCATCCAGGAGGCTGAAGACGTTTGATTCCTCCCTCCTAGTAGTGGCTTCTTGGGTGCTTTCAATTTGTGAGAATTTATGAAGGTATCCACTTAGGATTTATGCTGTTTTCTGTGCCTATATTATACTTTGATAATAAAGCGTATTTCGAGAGGAAGTCAAGCAGTGTTACAGTGTAACAAAAGCAATAATCCCTAACCCTTCCCTCTTCATCCCCCCTCCTAGAGCCACTCAGTTCCTTAAACTTTCCTTCCATATATGTTTTAAAGAAATGTGCTGATACTGAAACCTCTTGGTTTTAAGATGTGAGATATGTATACACTTCTTACAGCAAGAGCATTTCCTTATTGGGTACCTTTTCTGCTATTCTTAGAGCTGATGATTATGCAATCTGGTCCTTACAGAGGCTCCTATTTAAGGGTCTCCCACCTTCAGGGGCACCTGGCATTACCCACACTCAGTACTGCCTCACCCCCCAGGGTTCTGCAATACAAATCGCTTGCCTCCTGGCAGCTCCCCTACCCCTCAGGTTCCTGTTTCCTCGTCTCTACCTATTACCACGCATCTGTCTCCTTGTTTTCACACGTTGCATTGACATCTATTTGTTGTCATTTCTTACTCTCTTCAACCTTTTTTATGCTTTTGCTTTAGTGGGATTTCTGGATTCACAGATAGGCCTGGAGGTCTATTACTATTTCTTCATAGTCTAATGGGGGCAATCCATAAATGGTTTGGGGGAAGCATATTTTATTAGTCTTTGTGTGCTTCACATCAAGCCCAGCAACAAGCATACGGTGCTTGAAAAATGTATGGTGAGCTGCTGGAGGAAAAAAGTCAGGCGTATTGTCAAAGGAATGAATTCCCTTCTCCCGCATCCCCTGCCCAGCGGGCTGCACCTGGCCGCACTGCAGCATGAAGGGCATGGGTCTCACCTGTGTAGTGTTCGTTGCCCTGCGCGGCACAGGTCAGCAGCTGCGCCATGGAGGAGCCCACTGCCTTGGATGTGCTTCCCAGGTCCTGAGCACATTTTTCCAGCTACAAGAATATTCGAGGAGGAAAATAACTTAGAAGAAAAGGAACATCCGCTGAGGTCTTAGCATAATTTAGAAAAGCCATGCAGATGAAACTTTGAGCCCCAGCTCTTTCCCAGTAACAGCACCAAGCTGCAGCAGGGTGGTACAGAAGGGAGCCTGAGCTTTAGAACAAACAAAGCGGGGTGCCAATTCCTGCCCCCTGCTCCCTCCCCTCCCAATTGCTAGCATGAGATTGAGTAAATGACTGAACCTCTCCAAGCCTCAGTTTTCTGAGGAGATCATAATATCTAGGCTCACAAGGTTTCCAGAGAATTAACATAGGCTCTCAACAAATGGTAGCTATTAGTATTATGCCTTTAGAAGCTAATTTAGAAAGTCTGCAGCAAATCCTTAGCGAGAATTAATTATGGCTGGGCAGGAAGTGGGCAGACATCCAGCTGTACCACCTTCCTGGCATGTGGGAGCATCGACAGTGTTCAATTTGATCATTATACTCTGAGGAGTTCCAACGGAAAGGAAATGCAATAGCAATAGAGGGTTGGAGTGGCAAATGAGATTATGAAAATGGGCACAGAGTTTGCTTCCCATGAACAGCATGTTATTTGCTTTGTAAAGTGAATAAAAAATGCAGGGAACGAAGTCAGTAAAGGCCTAGGGTATGGATAATTATTTGATTACTAGATGAGGACACCATTTTGGGAGGGAATTTCTAGGTATACTGCGAGAGCGCAAAAAGGCATCAGAGAGCAAACGCATCTTAAACCCCGTAACGTGTCTTCTGAGATAGGCAGGGCTTTCCAATAAAATACAGCCTGGTTCATTACAGCAAACAATGTGTTAGGACACAACACAGAGTTTTTGAGAGCAGTTTCCTTAAAATGTTACGGTGTTTTGCTGCATCCTAAGTGACTATGTTCTATGGAAAGGTGGAATTACATGTCATGCCAGCCTCTCCTGCGCTCCCTGGGGCATAGGACTTTGCAAAGCTGCTGGCCCAGCAGTTAATCCCAACTGTCACTAACTGGGTGACCTTAGTTAAGTGACTTAACCTCTCTAAGCCTGAGTTTCTTCCTTTTTACAGTTAGGGGAACTTGTAATTTAACACCTCTTTTCTGAGTGCTTCCTATGTACTAGGCATTGTTCTATGGTACAATACATGCTCATGAAGTCCCCTGTACATTCTAAAAGTCTTTAGTTCATTCCAAGAGCCAGAAGCTCTCAAAAGCACAGGTTTTAGAGTCCTGCAAATCTGAATTTAAACCTTGGTTCTGCTCCTAACTGGCAGGTAACACTGGACAGAACGGTGACAAACTCTGCCTCTGTTTTCTCACCTGTAAACAGGGTTAATAAAACTTGCTTATAGCCAGGGCGTGGTGGCTCATGCCTGTAATCCCAGCACTTTGGGAGGCCGAGTTGGGTACATCTCCTGAGGTTGAAAGTTTGAGACCAACTTGACTAACATGGAGATACCCCGTCTCTACTGAAAATGCAAAGTTAGCCAGGTGTAGTAGCAGCACATGCCTGTAATCCCAGCTACTCAGGAGGCTGAGGCAGGAGAATGGCTTGAACCTGGGAGGCAGAGATTGTGGCATTGCACTCCAGCCTGGGCAACAAGAACGAAACTCCATCTCAAAACAAACAAAACAAAACAAAGAACGAACCAACCAAAAACCTGCTCATGAAGCTTACTACCAGGATAAAGTAGTATTGTGTGTGTACAGGGCTTCACGGGTGCTTCATATGTGGTGACATTTGACTAGCAATGTTCAGTCAGTGTGGGAAGAGCATGCAAACGAGAGGGACTAGTACCATTTCAGCCAACAAAACTCTGACATAAGCATCAGGAGGTGTGCTAATATGACCACGGTAGATTTCTAGTGCCATTATTCCATTTGCAGTATGGCTTTCCCATAGGGATGTGCTTTGCCGTTGTCCATCCCAGTGCTTTGCATTGGACTTTGCAAAGAGACTTTGGAGTAATTTTTTTTTTTTTGAGTAAATTTTGAGTAAATCTTTTTTTTTTTTTTTTTTTTTTTTTGGAGATGGAGTTTCACTCTTGTTACCCAGGCTGGAGTGCAATGGCACGATCTTGACTCACTGCAGCCTCCGCCTCCTGGGTTCAGGCAATTCTTCTGCCTCAGCCTCCTGAGTAGCTGGGATTACAGGCGCGCGCCCCCATGCCAAGCTACTTTTTTTGTATTTTTAGCAGAGACGGGGTTTCACCATGTTGACCAAGATGGTCTCGATCTCTTGACCTAGTGATCCACCCCCCTCGGCCTCCCAAAGTGCTGGGATTATAGGCGTGAGCCACCGCACCCGGCCAGTAAATTTTTTTTTAAATGACTGTTGATAACCTTTTCTGTTTATCATGATAGCCTCACTGCTACCCACTTCATAGATAAAATACTTGAGACGTAGAGGAGATACAGGATGTGTGCACCACTACTTGATGATGCACCTGAGTCCAGAAGCCAGCACTCCTAAGTCCAAACCTAGTTCCTCCACTTACCCTGGGCGTTCTTTTCAGAGGAAGGCCACAGGATTAGAAATTTCTCCACGTGCCTCAACATTTAGCAAACATCTTAACCACAAATAATTTAACAACGTCACAACAAAAGGTAGACCCGAACCCCAGCTGACTCTAACAGCTCACCGTTTCCCCTGGAAGTGGCTTCAGCTGGCTCTCCACGGCCGCCATCTTGGCATCTTGCAGTTCATTCTTAAGCGTCTGCACAGTGTTCAGAGCTGAATCTATTTCCATTGGACCACAGGCTTCATGGGCCTGTCAACAGAGTTGGGAACATGTGTACAGTCTGCTTGAGAAAAGTCCCCAACACTTCTTGCAACGTATAAAATGCTTTTCTCGATACACCTAGTGATTCTCCAAATCCAGAAAGAGGGGCAAGGAAAGCAAGAATTTTTCCAGAGAGAACAAAATCACCCTCAGTGAGAACCTTACTCTCAACTTCTCTAAACCATCAAGTATGGATGTCTCATAACTGGATATATTAAGTCTTCTGGAGGTGATCCTTATGTGAAATGCACTTGCCTCTTAGTCTCAGTGGATCATTTATTCACTGTGGCTGGGTTGTTTTTAGGGCACCTAGCACAGCCATGTATGTACACAGAGGCGGGAAACATGCAGTGAATGAGTGAATGAACAAATGAACCTACCCAGGACTCTGGGGGCAAGTCTATATCAATTTACTGATTCTCTTTACAAATTTCTATATCATAAATCATTATGTTTCTGTATGGAAGATTATAAACCTTTTTTTCCTTAGAAATTTATGAATACTACTTCATCTCCTGGTTATTTAGAAGACTGATCTCCAAATTCTTTGCCCTCAATATACACATGCACAAATAATTGTATACATGTGTAATTACTGATCAGTATACTAAATAATGGAACGCTTTCACCTCTTTCCATTTTTAGATTATAGTAACAACAGGAGAAATAAATACTAGTTGATTTATATGTGCCAGTATTAAGAAGGAAACTGGGGCACAGAGAGGTTAACTAACTTGTCTAGGTCACAAAATTAGTCAATGACAGTCTCATTCCAGAGCCTGCACCTTTTTTTTTTTTTTTTTTTTAGAGACAGAGTCTTGCCCTGTTACCCAGGCTGGAGTGCAGTGAGATGGTCTTGGCACACTGCAACATCTGCCTCCTGGGTTCAAGTGATTCTCATGCTTCACCCTGTCTCCTGGGTTCACGTGATTCTCATGCTTCACCCTCCTGAGTAGCTGGAACTATAGGCGTGCACCACCGCATCCAGATAATTTTGTATTTTTAGTACAGACAAGGTTTCGCCATGTTGGTCAGGCTTGTCTGGAACTCCTGGAATCAAGCAATCTACCCACCTCAGCCTCCCAAAGTGCTGGGATTAGAGCTTGCACTCTTAATGCTTAATCCTTATACTACAGATGAAAAAATACTGACGGGTATGGTGGCTCACCCCTATAATCCTAGCACTTTGGGAGGATTACTTGAGCTCAGCAGTTCAAGACCAGCCTAGGCAACATGGTGAAACCTCATCTCTAAAACAAAAAATATGATGAAATCTCGTCTCTAAAACAAAACAAAAAAATTAACAGGACGTGGTGGCACATGCCAGTTGTCCTTTCACTCAAGTGGCTGAGGTGGGAGATTACTTAAGTCCAGCAGATCGAGAGGTTCCAATGAGCAATGACTGAACCACTGCACTCCAGTCTGGGCAACAGGGCAAGAACCTGTCTCAAGAAAAAACAAAAAAAAAACAGTGTCTTCCTGTACCCAGTGGACAGCCTTGCTCGAGTCCCACTTTGAGGATCACTGTTCCGGAGCAGTGGTTCGACGTTGGTATGTGTGTCTCACTCAGCAAACAAGCTTGTTAAAATGCAGATGTTCAGGCTCTACGATGAGAAATTCTAATCTGGTTTCTCAGAGACAATGCCCAGGGATGTGCATTCTAATAACCATCCCTAGATGAGGACCTCTTTGAGATACACATGTCTAAATACTTTTTTATTAGGTATTTCTAAAGCTGCGGATGTTTTCATGTGGCTGTGTAATATGCTCCTCATATTAAAAATTCAAGTCAGCTTCTACCTTCTTCTCTTACCAATTTACGAGGCTACTTGTTTCTGTAAAGGGATTGCTATAGTGAAGAAAAGCGAATTCATGCTAGAACTTCATGCTAATATCACATGAAACAGAGTAGCAAACGAGGCCCTTTGGTATTTAATATGCTCCAGAGACAGAAGTTCATTTAGTCTTCAATTCTGTTCTCTTGAAAACCTTGTTAAGGTGAAGGCTCCCATGCAAGATGTGAAAACATTAAATAATAAAGATGACCCTTCAAAGTCGATGCTCTGCCTATATAATTCCTTATTAAGTTCATAAGATGATACCTGGAATATATGAACACTTATTTTGGCCCACAGTTTAGCTGGCACCAAGACACTGATGACTACCATTATCCCCTAGGACTGTGAAAAATGGACCACTGCTTGTCCCAGGAAATGGGAGGAGGAGGAGGAAGAGGAATTACGCAACTCAACTCAAAATAGTCCAGCCAAAGGCATCTGAAACTGATGCCTTTGAATACTAGGTATGGGAGACAGTGGCTTAAGGCAATAAAAGCCAAACCACAGGGGCATCTTTAACAGTCATGCAAGTGGAATGGACACCTCTGCCAAGATAGGTTCAGCAGTGTTCAGGTCCTGGGTGGTACCCACGCCACCCCAGCTCCCTTCCTGACAAGCTAACCCTGTGACACGGTCCACTTGCCTTCTGCGAGGCAGTACGCAGCTCCGCCAAGCTGGTGGCCAGATTCTTGGCACACTGGCTCAGCTGCATGGCTGCAGCCTGGTCACTCACGGTGGGCACTGCGGCTTTGGCAGAGGAAACCATCTTGCTTCCAGGCTGTAGAGAGAGATGAAAAGAAAGTAAGATGGCTCCCGGGCAGCAAGAGACAGAGAGGAGAGAACCAAGCAGCGAAGCCTCCACAGCAGTCAGAACTGATTGTGCCCTAAAAAAAAGGGAATATTAAACAACGTGTCCCCTACTCACAAGCTGCCACCTCAAGTCAGATACTCTAGAGCAACACATTTTAAGAATGTTTTAAAAAAGAAGAAATGGAGCTGCCTTGGAGGGTAGAGGAGGTGAAATTAGAATAGTGGCTTGAAATTCTCATTTAAAACATTTCAAAGAGTTTCTTATTAAATAGGTTTCCTTGTATTTCTCAGGATAGCTCTGTATTCTGAGTCTCCCATACACCCAGAAGGCTGCTTAGGAATATGAAGACAGACAAATCAAACAGCTAAAATGACCTCACATCTCACAAAGCAGAATAATTCTACCAGTGCATGGATATCTATGTGTACGTACATATATTTTGAAAAATAAGATCATACTATGTACTCTATTTCACAATCTCATTGTCTCACAACATTTCCTGCCTTTTAAATAGGTATATAATATTCCACTGTATGCCTCTGTTGCCATTTCTCAATTCTCCATTGTTGGGCATATTTCTATTTTTTCCAATGCAATAATGCTATGATAAACAGCTTTGTAGCTAAATCTGCATACATTTATAACTTTCTCTGTATAAATTTTTAAAACTAGAATTTCTGGATCAAAGAGTATACATACTTTTAGGACTTTTTTTTTTTTTGAGACGTAGTTTCGCTCAAACTCCAGTTATCCAGGCTGGAGTGCAATGGCACGATCTCAGCTCACCGCAACCTCTGCCTCCTGGGTTCAAGCAATTCTCCTGCCTCAGCCTCCTGAGTAGCTGGGATTACAGGCACGCACCACCATGCCCAGCTAATTTTTTGTATTTTTAGTAGAGACGGGGTTTCACCTTGTTGACCAGAATGGTCTTGATCTCTTCACCTCGTGATCCTCCTGCCTCGGCCTCCCAAAGTGCTGGGATTACAGGCGTGAGCCACCGCGCCCGGCCAGGACTTTTAATATATATGTTATGAAACTGCACTTAGAACAAGTGCCAGATGATAAATATTAAGGACAAAATTAATGTTTTTAATATTTAAAGTTACTGAATATTTATAAGAAAAGCTACAATGAGTATATAAAAAGCACAAACAGATAATTTTGCTTAATAAAAAATAAGTGAAACTTATGAAAAATGTTTAACATTGTGAGTATCGGAGAAATGCAAAATCAAACAAAAATAGTTTTACAGAGTGAACTGGCAGAAACATACATGTCTTCTTAAATGCTTAATTCACAATCTCATAAAAGATATACTGAAAAGCATGCTCTATATACAGCTAAGTTGTAAATTTAGTTGTTCAACCTCCTGGAAGAGCAATTTTATAACATGGATGAAGTTTAAAATGTGCAACCTTTTTATCTGTCAATGCAATTTCTACTTATTTTCGACCTTCCCTTGTAGAGATCTGCGTGTCTATAATAGCAAAGTTAAAAAAACAAAACAAAGGCCGGGTGCGGTGGCTCATGCCTGTAATCCCAGCACTTTGGGAGACCAAGGCGGGTGGATCACGAGGTCAAGAGATCGAGACCATCCTGGTCAACATGGTGAAACCCCGTCTCTACTAAAAATACAAAAAATTAGCTGGGCATGGTGGTGCGTGCCTGTAATCCCAGCTACTCAGGAGGCTGAGGCAGGAGAATTGCCTGAACCCAGGAGGCAGAGGTTGCGGTGAGCTGAGATTGTGCCATTGCACTCCAGCCTGGGTAACAAGAGCGACACTCCGTCTCAAAAAAAAAAGGGAAAACAAGGGCAGGGACTGAGTGGAACCAGGAACACGTCTACACAGCTCTATCTTGAAGCCCTACAATCTTCCCAGGGTGGAGACAGTACCCATGACTGGCTCCAGGTCCTCTCCCCTCCCAAATGCAGAAAGGAATGCCTTGTCCAAGTCATGATTCACAATGTCCCAAAGATAAAAATAAGCAGTTTGCAATCCTATTGCCAGGAACTCAAGCAGAGAACAAAGACATGGGCACACAAAGATTTGTATCACATCACAAGTTAATCATGATGGCAAAAAATTAAAAAGCTGTATGTCCATGAGAGAAAAGTCAAATGAAGAGTATAGTCATCTAACAAATGATTATTCAAAATCATTAACCCTCACAACATGTTAGATGAAAAACACAAAGGTCCTATATACAACGAATACCAATTTAAAAGAATACGCGTATATATATATACACACACACACACACGTACATACCTGTGTTGTATATGTATGTAGTTAAAATATGAGGTGATGCATCAAATCTCTCATGTTTTACTTCTGCATGTTAGAATTACAAAACTTGAAAAATGAGCCAAATAGATGTATTGCTGGGTCCTATAAATATCAGTTGAACTAGAAAGGGATGAGGAATTGACCCACCTCATCATATCAACTGCTTATAACATGTAAGTCGAGTAAAAGTGCTGATAAAGAGATTTGAATATAAGATGCATGTAAAGGGAACTTTTCCCACAGCTTAATATTTTTGTTTATTTGATTTTCCTTAAAATGAATCTATCCTTTACCCCACAGAGACTGACAATCCTAACTGTACAACTGCCACAAAGAACGATCATGTCTTACAAGAAGATGCATTGAACAATTCTTTCCCCAGTCCATGAATAACGGCATTAAGCTCTCTGGAAATGAAAATCCCAGCACTTTGGGAGGCCAAGGCAGGTGGATCACGAGGTCAAGAGATCGAGACCATCCTGGGTCAACATGGTGAAACCCGTCTCTACTAAAAAAAAATACAAAAAATTAGCTGGGCATGGTGGCGCGTGCCTGTAATCCCAGCTACTCAGGAGGCTGAGGCAGGAGAATGGCCTGAACCCAGGAGGCAGAGGTTGCGGTGAGCCGAGATCGTGCCATTGCACTCCAGTCTGGGTAACAAGAGCGAAACTCTGTCTCAAAAAAAAAAAAAAAAGAAAACCTAAAGCAATGCCTAGTCCTAGGCTGTTCATCACAACTTGCAACTTTTGACATGTTTTCTTCTCCCTGAAGAGAAATAAACACGACAATCCTAGGAAAATGGGTCATATGCCATCTCCCCAGGGCAAGTTCCCTGCATATCAGCAGTCTGCTTTGACAAGCTGAATCCATCTCTCCTGAAACTGGAAAGGTAAAGAAGAGGCCTTCAAGGCCTACCTACTGCAAAGACTTAGCTGATGCAGGGATTTAATCAACTCCTCTCCCTAAAGGGCAGCCCCTGCCCAGACAGCGGCTCCGAGTGAGCCCAAGGTGACCACGGCCGTGTTACCTGGAGGAAGTTCTGGCTGGAGATGATGAGAGCCAGCTGGGCACTCAGGTCTTCGGCTTGAGCTTGGCTCCCCCGCACTCCCTGGACCAGCTGAGGGATGTGATCCGCCACTGCCTACAGAAGGTGAGGAAATAAAAGCATCATGGCTAGAATGGTGGGATCATCCAGAGAAGCTAGAACAGTACCCAAGTGCGGTTTCTGGATGTGCCGTCCACTCCCGAGGGACACTAGCCTTGGAATGACACTGTGCAGTAACTTAGCTGGGTCCTTACCAACACGGAATCCCACTTTGTGGGCATCTTCTCCACACACACTCTACCCTGTGGTCCTGGAGGTCGCAATACATTCCTTAGAAGATGACTGTCTATGATAAGACCTAAAAGAATTTCCCTAGTCGCAACTCAAACCATCTGGCTCACTGGTGTTGCAAAACTAGAATCAAAGGACCTACATGATTCCTGGGCGGTAAACCAGTCATGCGGCCCCTTGTTCAGAAGGCAAGGGAAATGCTTGTCCACCAATGCATGTAAGTGCTTGGGCTTCTGATTTCACAGACATGCATTCTGTGCACCAGCCTTTGTGTTGCCATGGCCCATCTTTCTCTGTCCTAAGTAACACTTCTCATTTCTCAAACCGGAGAGCCCAAAGCCAGGGTAAAGGAGCGAGGTGCTGCATTCCGTGAGGCAGGGCTGCTGTAAGTAACAGGCTCCTACGGTGCCCTGGGAGATGACCCTTTATTTCTCTATGTTCTGTCCACATTTCCTTTTTGTGCTCACACCTCTGAGAACCTCACTAACCAGAGAATGAGGTAAATGAGGTTCTCAGAGGTCACAGCACCATGGCCATTGTTGTGGATAAAGGCACTCAGCGCATACTGGCCTGGTGACATGTACTTTTTCTAGGGCTGCTCCAGCACAGGTTAAAAAAAATATGGAATTTTTCCCAGGCCCCCTTTAGGACTGCTGGTTCTGCTGGTTCTGGTCATTTGCTCTACTTCCCTCTCTCCATTTTAATCCTTTCATTTCTTGGCAGTGACACTCGAGACCTAGTATCTTAAATCTCTTTGCAGAAGAGGGGCAAGAGGCCTCACTCATCCAGTGGCATGACCCTGCATGTGAGCAGCACATGCTCCCTGAGAAGAAAGCAACCAAGTTTTCACCCCCGCTGGCCAGCTGAGCTGAGGACCCAATAGCAAGCAAACTCCCCATAGTAGGGGACTCGCTCTCAGCAAGACCCTTCTTTATCCACAGAGGACCCAAAGACACTGGCTCAGGACCCTACTCTGTCGCTGAGGCTTTTCTTTCTGGAGCACATTCAGTCCCCAATAGCAACAGGGCTGGCCTTGGAGAACCCAGAATCAGGAACAGAGGGCTCCAGGCAGCTCCCCATCAGAAGTAAAGCCATTTCTGAAGTGGGAACAGTGGCACCCCTCACATGTGAATCATTTGGCAGAGATTTGAAGGAGGAGAGAGGGTGCAGTGAGTTCTTATAACCCCAGCACAGACAGATGTGCCTCCCACTCAGCTACCGAGAGTAGCTGCAAATACTTCCAGAAGATGCCAGCCAGATGTGCCACCCACGTATGGGCAAGGGCTCTGCAACTGGATTTGTGTCTGCCACGATTCAGAGGTGCCCTGGGAGAGTCATGTCCCTGGACTCTTAGAGAAACCAACAGGGGTGTTTACTGTACCTTTTGCAGTAAACTGGTCTCAATTTAGCATCCAGGCCCAGGTGTCAGAAGAATAGAGACAAAGCGGAACAGAGAAAGCACCAAAGCGCAAAGCTGCAGAAGCCAGACTGGATGAAAAGTCCTTGAGGTCCAATTAGGAGAAAGCAGGAAATGAACCCTGCTCCAGGGAGCAAAGGCCAAATTCGAGTCCTGCCTCTAAAAGAAATGCACTCTAGAAACTCAGCACTTCCTTCCTATTTCAGAGGCCTAAGACGGCCTCGTCATTGATCCTCTTTGGTTCAGGCTCTTGTAAAGAAAATTGTGGACAAAAGGAAGAGAATGCTGGAAGAAAACCAGACGTTCCTTCCAAACACAGGCCAGCCACTTAAGGGACAAAAACCAGACGTGTATACACCTGCAACATGGGAACTGCAGCAAACTGGATTAGGAGCTTGGATACTCTCTCGTAACTGAAGTACCAGGGGACTTGGCGTTCTAATGTTATCAGGGTCATGTTATCAGGAACCTCACCTTGCAACTCTGGACCAGCTGCTGCTGAGCCGCAGGGTTCTTGTTGGAAACGGCCGCGTTCTGGGAGGCGGCAATGGTCTGCGTGGCTGCTGCTGCGGCCTGCTTGGCTGCAACCTGCAGAGGAGTGACAGATGAGTCAAGGTCTCCATATGTAACACACATGCATGTTCTGCATTCACTTCCACCAGAGTCAGCACAGGTTTGTTGCTCTACAGGAACTCAAAAGAGCAGGCTCTGCCTTTTAAATCCAGTGATAAAGGCTGGGCGCTGCGCTGTGGCTCATGCCTGTAATCCTAGCACTTTGGGAGGCCAAGGTGGGTGGATCATCTGCGGTCAGGAGTTCAAGACCATCCTGGCCGTCATGGTGAAATCCCACCAAAAAAAAAAAAAGATTTTGGGAAGCCGAGGTGGGTGGATCACGAGGTCAAGAGATCGAGACTATCCTGGTCAACAAGGTGAAACCCCGTCTCTACTAAAAATACAAAAATTAGCTGGGCATGGTGGTGCACGCCTGTAGTACCAGCTACTCGGGAGGGTGAGGCAGGAGAATTACCTGAACCCAGGAGGCGGAGGTTGCAGTGAGCCGAGATCATGCCATTGCACTCCAGCCTGGGTAACAACAGCGAAACTCCGTCTCATAAAAAAAAGAAAAAGAAAAAAAACCAGTGATGACCCTAATCTTACAACACACTATCTTCCTTGTGTTGACATCCCCTGGGACACGTGACAAAGACAGGAATTCTTGAAAGCTCAAGCCTTAAAGTTCATTTGTCTTTCTCAAATACAGAAGGGATGATTCCACAGTGTGAATGACACTGACAAGCTGCACCAAATCTAAATGTTTTCAGGAAAAACAAATCTCCCACAGGTAGCATAGATAGTTGAAGCATAAACGCTGGTGCCCATGACTCTCCTCTCAAAGCAATCAGAAGCCTTAGTTACAAAACGTAGAGCATTTCCCCCCATGGCACTTCATCACTTTTACCCTCTTGTCTTTTTCCAAGAACATTACTTTTCTTCCAGACTGTAGCAGACTGCATGTGGAGGCACTTCTCAATACACAGGCAGGGTCTCAGCTTCCAAACTCTCAAATCTTAGTGTAAGGGTCTCCTGTGTGCATCTGTAGTATAAACTTTCTCTTCTTTACTTTTTTTTTTTGAGACAGAGTTTCACTCTTGTTGCCCAGGCTGGAGTGCAATGGCGCGATCTCGGCTCACTGCAACCTCCGCCTCCCGGGTTCAAGCTATTCTGCTGACTTAGCCTTCTGAGTAGCGGGGATTACAGGCATGCACCACCATGCCCAGCTAATTTTCTTTTGTATTTTTAGTAGAGATGGGGTTTCTCCATACTGGTCAGGCTGGTCTCAAACTCCTGACCTCAGGTGATCTGCCCGCCTCAGCCTCCCAAAGTGCTGGGATTACAGGTGTGAGTTAACACGATCATCAAACTTCTTTTTTTTAAACAGTTTGTGCCTATTACTATTTCAACTTTTTCAGAATAAATATTTCAAAAAATAACAAATATATTTCACTTACTCCCTTCCATACCGCTCCACCCAAGCCTCATCTCCACCTCCAGTCTTTGAAGTCCGTATTTCCTATGAGAAGCCCTGAGAAAGTCATTGCCTCCAACAAAATAGAAACATTTTTGGCAAAAGGCCCTTCTTGAATGTGTATATCCTTTAACGCTGGAAAAAATGCTCTGGTTCCTCCTGAAACGAGTCAGCATTCTATTCCTGAACAGGAGACGCAGAAAGGATTTGAGCTTACTGAAGCGGTTTTTTCCCATTGTGTCAATGCTTTTATAGTACTCAAACCTTTAAACAATGATGTTAACTTTGACTTAGCTTTCTGTCTTTTGTTTTTCTTTGAGACAGAGTCTCACGCTGTTGCCCAGGCTGGAGCGCAATGGCGCAAGCACGGCTCACTGCAAACCTCCGCCTCCCAGGTTCAAGTAATTCTCCTGCCTCAGCCTCCTGAATAGCTGGGATTACAAGGGTTCACCACCATGTTCGGCCAATTTTTCTATTTTTAGTAGAGACAGGGTTTCACCATGTTTGCCAGGCTGGTCTCAAACTCCTGTCCTCAAGATCCGCCCACCTTAGCCTCCCAAAGTGCTGCAATTACAGGCATGAACCACTGCGCCCGGCTCACTTGGCTTTCTTTCTATGGTCATCACTTTGTTAATTCAACTATCTCTTCAAATAGCTCTGCAATCTAAGATGGGCATCCCCGAAAGCCGGCCTCTTTCCTGACCTCCAGCCGGTTGACGATTTTTTTCTTAATAGCATTCTGGGCAGCTGCGTTGGTTGCTACCCGGAGACCTTCTGCAGCTTCTCTCAGCCTTTGCTGCTGGTCTTCATTCTCTGGGTTGGCTGCAGCCCCCTGCGAAGGTAAAAATACAGATTTCAAGTGGTCCAGTGGGGACATCACTGAATTCATGCCTTCAGTATTATTTTTTCTTAGTAAGAGAAGGCATTTGGAAGGACAGTTGGATGCTGCAAGTAGGATCTTTATGACGAAGATGTTTGCTCATCAACAAAAAATACCTACCAGAGGATGTTTCAAAATTGCATGGCTAAGCAGTTAGAAATCCAAGGTAATAATTAAACACTTGAGAACATTGCTTTGGTGGTCCATACAAATTAACCTGTGGCCAGAAACCCAGGGTTTAAAAGATAAGAAGATTAAATCTCCCCTCTCCCCAGCTCTCCCAGGGAGAATTTTCTTTTCATTGGCATGACACCGTAATGACATATGTCTTCACGTCACTCCTGAAATACCCCGTGGCACAGGTAAATGTGAAGGGGTAAGAGTCAGTGTAAACTCATAGGCACGGACAGAGGGAGGAGGGGGAAGGATGGAGGAAAGGCTCCGGAATGCCATTAAAAAAGACACCAAGAACATTCTGTTAAAGACAGACCATGACCAGAAATCATATTCCTAGAGAGCCAGAGTTGGAAAGTATAGGAAAGTAGAGATGGGACCTAAATGTACTGAATTAATGAGAGAAATGTAATGCCCTCAACCGGACAGAAAACGGGGCAGGCACTGTGCGTAGCCAGTCACACTTCCTTTGTCCAGCCCTAGCCCTTTCACTCTGTTGCTTTTAGTTGACCGTGTCTTAGAAATCTAAGTGGATTTAGATGGGTGGGATTCTGAAGCAGGGGAAGGCTAACGGTAAGGTACAGAAAGGATATAACTGTACTCTATAGTAATTCAAAAACATTCACAGCACATCCAGCCTTCCTCTCCCAACAGCAAGAACAGCAGCAATCAGGATTTCCCTCACCAGGGCCCGAATGCTTTGTAACATGTGCTTCATGTCTACAGATCAACGACTTTCTTCCTATGAACCCTTTCAGGCAATAACATTTGCTCTGGAGGCAGAGAGAACAGCAGAGACCAGAACACTGATTTATCAAAAATCAATTTTCTGAATGTCTAGATTTTCCAAGTGGCCAATTTGCTAAATTTACCAATTTATAATAAAAGTTATATCAATGCATACAGATGGAATAGGTTTAATGTCTGTGGCAGAATTATTCTGGCAACCGTCTTGAATAGAATCTTCTATTCTTCCAAACGTTAACCACTCTCATAATCTTCATTTTGTGTTTCTAGCAATTAAAAATGTTCATTTCTTCATTTCATATGTAAAAGGACGTTTGGGCTACTTTTGGATTCTTTTGCAAGTTTATCAAAGTCATTTTGGTTTTTTCCGGTCATCAGATATATTCTAAGCCGCTCCTTTATATACGTCTCAAGTGCATATCAGCCTTAATTTTATGTATTTCGAGCAGCTGGAAACCAGCATTTCTGCACTTCACACTGATGTGGATGCTCTGGGTCCTTGCTCAGCACTGTCTTTTTTTTTTTCTTTATGGTGAATATGTATCAGATATGGGGTACTAATCTTGGTCCTGAAATCTTAGTTACTAATCATGAAATATATTTTTTCTGCATGTTAAATATAATCCTTCAAACTCTAACCAGTCCATGTTCTTTAGCTTTCAACAGAATTCAGCAAATTAAAATACTGCTACAAAGACAAAATGAAAACTTCTAACTAAAAGTTAAAAGAATTTACAGAAACCCTTAACATGTCCCATTTAATGTAAGTAACCAAAACACCCAACATCACATAAATACTTAGAAGAAACAGTTTTTGGTAACTTGGTAAATGCAGTGAATTGGCCTGGTAAACAGTCACATCAAGAAACAAAATGTAGGCCGGGCGCGATGGCACAGGCCTGTAATCCCAGCACTTTGGGAGGCCGAGGCGGGTGGATCCCGAGGTCAAGAGATCGAGACCATCCTGGTCAACATGGTGAAACCCTGTCTCTACTAAAAATACAAAAAATTAGCTGGGCATGGTGGCGCATGCCTGTAATCCCAGCTACTCAGGAGGCTAAGGCAGGAGAATTGCCTGAACCCAGGAGGCGGAGGTTGCGGTGAGCCGAGATCGCGCCATGGCACTCCAGCCTGGGTAACAAGAGCAAAAACTCAAGTCTCAAAAAAAAAAAAAAAAAAAGAAACGAAATGTGCTCACTGGCCTGGCCCAGTACTTACGTGGCATTAGTATTCATCTTTTTAATTTTTTTCAGTTGTAAAATAAGGAATGGACTAGATTCTTTCCAGACTAGCAAGTAATTTTTTTTGAACATGAGTTTGCCTGAAATAGCTGCAGTGTAGACTGACAGAGGTGGGATAAACTAGTAAAACTTTAAAAAAAAATTCAACTACTATATAAAACCTAATATATAATTTTTATATAAATATATATATAAACATATATATATACTGCTTAAAGAAGGGAATTAAAAGCAGAGCTTATTGGCTGAAACAGGGATTAGGAGACAAAGGAAGGAGGCTCAGACTCTGCCCCTTCCTGCGTCTCTCCTTCACCCCTACCCACGAGGCGTCTCTAAGAACTCTCACTCCTTCAGGTAACACTATGGCCAGTCAGCCAGGAGAGGTCCTTTGCGTGGCTCAGTATGTGTCACAATATGGTTTAAATGAAGTAATGGTCATATTAGGTTGAGATATACTACCACTTCCCTGAAGCCAGGGAGATGACATAAGATATGGAGACACTTAATGCATCTTTTCTTTTTTGAGACGGAGTTTTGCTCTCATCCTCCAGGCTGGAGTGCAGTGTCGAGATCTCGGCTCACTTTAACCTCTGCCTACCAGGTTCAAGCGATTCTCCTGCCTCAGCCTCCTGAGTAGCTGGGATTACAGGCGTGTCCCACCATGCCTGGCTAAGTTTTTGTAGAGACACGGTTTCACCATGTTGGGCAGGCTGTTCTCTTAACTCCTGACCTTAGGCAATCTATCCACTTTGGCCTCCCAAAGTGCTGTGATTACAGGCATGAGCCACCATAGCTGGCTTTAATACATCCTATATGCATAGAAATACATTTACAATATTATTTTGGAGGCACGAATTTGAAGGTGATTTTTATTTTCTTTTTTCACGTTTATCTCCATTTTCTTTCTTTCTTTTTTTTTTTTGAGACAGTTTCGCTCTTGTTACCCAGACTGGAGTGCAATGGCGTGATCTCGGCTCACCGCAACCTCCGCCTCCTGGGTTCAGGCAATTCTCCTGCCTCAGCCTCCTGAGTAGCTGGGATTACAGGCATGCGCCACCGTGCCCAGCTAATTTTTTATATTTTTAGTAGAGACGGGGTTTCACCATGTTGACCAGGATGGTCTCAACCTCTTGACCTTGTGATCCACTCGCCTCGGCCTCCCAAAGTGCTGGGATTACAGGCGTGAGCCACCGCGCCCGGCCTGCATTTTCTATTAATTCTACAAGAAATGTGTGCTAGCTACATAATAAAAACCCAGAAAAAATATAGCCTTATTCATGTAAAACAGTTCTCACCTAGGGGTACATGTTAGAATATCCTGCAGAACCTAAAGACACACACGCATGCACACACACACCCCACACACAGATAAACACACACTTGGTCTTACCAGTGACCTTATGAATCAGGATCTTGGGATGAAACTGAGGCACGTGCATTTTAATATGTTTCATGGGGAGCTGTGTAACAGACTCCTGGTTCAGAATCACTAGGTTTTATAAGCACTATGCTATAGCATAGCTGTCAAAAAGCATGAAACTAACTCTTAACTCCTCATCCTTTTATAATATTTAAAACTGTGACTGGAATCCAAAGAACGGTGAAGTACGAAATAGTCTACCGTGCAAAATCTTGATAGAAGTTTGGTTGAGAAGTCAAGGAGAGGGCACAGTAACACTAAGGCATTAAGGAAGAGAACAGGGTTAGGTGAATTTGCTGTTGAAAAATACTAGGTTTAAATTAGTCACCACGTTCAATGAAGACCACAGAAATGACCAAATGGAACAAGAGCCTTCCCTCACGAAGGTGCTTTGCTGCCAAGGCTGAGTCAGTACCAGTCCCCTGACGGATTTCATTCAGACGTTCCATCACCTACTCTGCCACAGGAACAGGGTTAGATGTTGCAAGCCATATAGGTTTTAAGCAAATCAAAATGCATTCTCAGCTGACCATCCCCCGTCTGGAAGGTACCTCCCAATCTTAACACTGAATAGCGTTCACTTTTCATGCAAACAAATCCAGTAGAATACCTTTGCAGCTTCCACCATGCGAGCAGTGGAGTCGGCCAAGAGTTTTGCTGCTGCCAGGAGCTTCTTCGAATTCTCCATGTCGATTTCGGCTTCTGCATCTGATCTCATGGCATTGACAAGGTCTGACGTGGCTTGGGCCAGGACCCGTGCCTGGCGCACCATTTCACCTAGAGGATGGAATAGAGGATGTGGTCTGTCTGCTTTCCAAAGGTCAGTGAAAGCTCAGGAGCTGTACGGTCTTGTGTCTCCTCTGGTACGTGGGAGAAAGGAAACTGAACCACCGTGCTCTACTCCTAAGCTGTGCATCCAAATTAGAACCCAGAAGGAAAATATTCCCTGTGGCCACCAAGATGGTACTCCCCAAACATACCCAGGCTCACCCGTTCACTATGAGGCACAAACAGGACAGAAGCAGCCAAAGAGGGACATGTTATAAAAAGATAGGGCAGGGAGGCCAGGTGCAGTGGCTCACGCCTATAACCCCAACACTTTGGGAGGCCAAGGTGGGTGGATCACCTGAGGTCAGGAGTTTGAGACCAGCCTGACCAACATGGAGAAACCCTGCCTCTACTAAAAATACAAACTTAGCTAGGCCTGGTGGTGCATGCCTGTAATCCCAGCTACTCAGGAGGCTGAGGAAGGAGAATCACTTGAACCCAGAGGAGGAGGTTGCAGTGAGCTGAGATGGTGCCATTATACTCCAACCTGGTCAACAAGAGTGTAACTCCATCTCAAAATAAAAAAAAAAAAAAAAAGAGAGAGAGAGAGACAGCAGGGAACAAAATTACACAAATTTAGCGTTAGTAAATACTTATTTAGAAAACATTGTTCTCTTCACTTTGAAAACCACTTACACAAAAGCGTTTATAATAAACGTTCTGAAGAACTGGCACAGAGCAAAATTATTTTTCGATTTTCTATTAATGTGTAGGCGAACTAGCATTAGATGAGGGATATCACACAATCCGCTTGATGTATGCCGTTTGACCTCTGCTAACAGAAGCACATCCAGACACCAGCTTCATGTTCAAATGCTATGACTTGCCTTGGCCTAGAGTTTGCCCTGTCAATTTTCTCTTTGCTCATCCTTTTTTTTCCCAGCACTGATTCTGATCTTGCATTATTGTTTGGTCTTATTGTGTCCCTGTGATTTTACTGAAATCGATTTTAATTTTCTTCTGCAAGTAGGAGGGATATACCAATCAACATTAAAAAATAGAACGATTCAAATGTGAGGGATTTCTTCCTCTAGCAAAGGGCATGACAACAAAAAGGCGGAAGAAAAAGCTTTTACTGAAATAAAAATGTGCTAAAGTCGGTGTGGTATGCTGGACTGGATCCTGAGACGGAAAAAGGACATCAGCAGAAAAACTGATGAAATTGAATAATGTCTGTAGTTTAGTTAGTAATGTACTAATGCTAATTTCCTGGTTTTGACAAATGTGCTATCCTATAGGAAAGATGTCAAAAATGGAGAAACTGGGAAAGGTAATGGGACCGCTCCAAATTACCTCTGCAAATTTCTTTTGCAGATTTAAAAGTATTTCAGAATAAAAGGACTATCAAAAACAACAATGAATTCAAATATGTGGAGCATTCCTATCTTGTTAAATCATTTAAGATTACAGAAGAACACAAGACAACTTTCTAAAAAAAAAAATCTAAACTCATTTATAAGGTATTGTTCTAGGCTGGCAAGGAAGCCAAAAATAGATCTCTTACAAATTACTAGTAGGGATGCAAATTGTGGGTCCTTTCCGGAGAAAAATTTCTTAGACACATTTAACGTAAAAATCTACCCACTGGCCCAGCATCTCCATTAATAGGAATTTACCCTACACATGAACCTACAAAAGTAAACTATTTTTACAAGAATGTTCACTTCAGTGTTTTTGTAAAAGCAAAACAAACCAACAAAAGACTTAGAAATGACCGCAATGTCCACTAAAAGATTGGTTAAATTATGATACCTATACAAAATAGAATACTCTGCTGCCACCAAAAAGATGAGCATACAGGTGGCAACAAAAAAAGTCCAAGCCGGGCACGGTGGTGCACACCTGTAGTAGTCCCAGCTACTCCAGAGGCTGAGGAAGGAGAATCTCTCGAACCCGGGAGGTGGAGGATGAAGTGAGCCAAGACTGTGCCACTGCACCCCAGCCTGGGCAGCTGGGTTTGGGGAGACTCACTTTTCAATACAGTATAAAAAGCTGTACTGCAAATGCTTTTAAATGGACCGTGTATTATGTACGACACTTTGGGATCTGAAAACACCTTTCTGCCGGAAACAAACTGTCCTCTTAGGGCTGGCCAACTGAGAGACTGCACAGGCTCAGCAGGGAACATGCCTTTGATATGCAAACTAACCAATCCAGAGCTTTTCCTCCTCTGTCTGGCCCAGACACCCAGAAGACAGTTTCTCTGCCTGGATCATCCTGGGGCCACATACCAGGTAACTAGCTACCACTTCCACAATTTAGAGCCTGTCAAAATTATTTAAACTAGCCAGTCCTAAATTGTTTACCCTGCCTTGAATTTCCCAAGGAAGATCCAATAAAGGCCATGGTCGGGCCAGGCTTGGTGGCTCACGCCTGTAATCCCAACACTTTGGGAGGCTGAAGTGGGCGGATCACCTGAGGTCAGGAGTTCGAGATCAGCCTGACCAACATGGAGAAACCCCATCTCTTAAAAAAAAAAAAAAAAAAAAAGGTCATGGTCTAGACCAACCCTTGCTCCTGTCTTCTCCCTCCTGACCACCCCGGTGCTCCCCCATGACCCTGTGTAGCATGCAGTGACCCCCTCCAGGGGACATGCAAGTATAATAAACTTCATTCGGTGGCCGGGCACGGTGGCTCAAGCCTGTAATCCCAGCACTTTGGGAGGATGAGGCGGGTGGATCACGAGGTCTAGAGATTGAGACCATCCTGGTCAACATGGTGAAACCCCGTCTCTACTAAAAATACAAAAAATTAGCCGGGCATGGTGGTGTGTGCCTGTAATCCCAGCTACTCAGGAGGCTGAGGCAGGAGAATTGCTTGAACCCAGGAGGCGGAGGTTGCGGTGAGCCGAGATCGCGCCATTGCACTCCAGACTGGGGAACAAGAGCGAAACTCCGTCTAAAAATAAAAAAATTAAAAAAAAAAAAAAACTTCATTCCAAGCCTTGATCTTGTTTCCTTCTGTGGCTGCTCCAACTTTGCCGTATCATACCCAACACGTGCATTTGCAGAACAAAGGAATTCACTGTGAATCTAACAAAATAACAAAATCTAACCAGTATAACAAAAACCTCGTAAACTTTGCTGAAGTCTGTAAGCATGGGTATGGGAGCGCCTTTTATCTTTTTCCAAGCTTCAGTGGGGCAGCCCTGGCCAGTCATCCAGGCAGCCTTCATCTTCCCTGTGAGTGAGCAGCACCATCAGGAACCCCAAAACTCACCCACACACCCACCCACAGCACAGTGCCTTACCAGCATCACCCATGGAGCTGAAGATGCTCTCGGTGACACACATGATGGTGTCGGTAGCCTGGTCATAGCGGCCGATGGGCTCGCCTCGGCTGGCAAACTGCCGCACATGCTGTAGGAGATCATGCAGGGCCTGGCTGACCACGCTGGCCGCGGCGCTGACCTGCTTCAGGAGCTCACTATCGGAGGTGGCCGCCTGGCAGGCGCGTACGCAGTTCTCCACCGAGCGGTCCACCAGCTTCCCTGCTTCAATCAGCTGCTCCTGGCACACAGGGGAGCTGATAGTGGGGCTCACAACCTGAAGCGAGACAGGAACAGGTTTTGGACACCGTGGTTCAATCCTTATTTCCCATGTCCCCTCACAGTCCCATCAAAGCCCTTCCTGCTCTGGGCCTCGGTTTCTTACTTACAGGACCAGGGATTCACCTAAACCATTGCTGTGGTCTCACGCACTCCGCTATTCTACTTCGTCCCTGTGATTTTATACGTCCGCTAATTCATATCTTCATTAGTCACACGTGATAGTCCACACTACTCCCCTATTCACGTAGGGAGAAATTTCTGAGCTTTCCCGATTATACCTCCTCCCTTTGAGGATCCCTTGGATTGAGTCTTCTGAGTTGGGATACAAAGACTACCTAAAGAATTCTATGTTTATTCCCCAAACACCTGAAACTCTGCCTCATGCAGGGGTTCTGTCAGTTCCCTGCAAAGTCTAGCAGCGTGGACAAGGAAAGCTTGAGGGAGACGATTGAGGACACTTCCGAGAGATGCTGCAAATCCTCCCACAGGCTATCAATGCCACGCTGAGCCAGATCACAGATCTATACAACATGACAGGCCATCAAGTCCAGAAACGGACAGTTCCATCTTCTGATGCATCGTCACTGCGAGGACACATGAAGTGGAGGGGAAAGGGTATTTGGAAGCCGATGAACCTGAGTTATAACTCTAGTTCTGCCACTTACTACTTCTGTGGCCTTAACGTACTAACATCAGAGGGCCTCAGGTTCCCATCAGTAAACTAGAGGTAATAGAGCTTAATGTGAAGGATTGCCGGGGAGATGGAATGAGGTGATGTATGGCCCGCAGTGTGTATACCCGCACAACGATTCACATCCCCACTCGCTCACAGCCTGGAAAGGGTTCCCATAAACTCTGTGGATTATTTCTGAATCCATTTATAGTGCAGTATCGCACAATGCAAGAAGTATTTTTGTGCAGGTGTAAAGACACACTGAGAAGTCCGAAGGGGAGACATAGCAATTTGAACACAGAAATGAACTAGTGAAAAGTACCAACGGCCTGAGGACTTGGGCAAAGAACAAATAATAAAAGAATAGACAGCTTACGCTAAAATCCTATCATCACGTAAGACCTGTCATCACTCACACAAGCTCTAAATCTCAAGACTGTTTGAACAATTCTGCCCCTGCTACTCCCCAGATGCCTGGAGGCAGATAAGAGCACATGATACCGGGTAGAAAGGGCTTACCTTGGCACATGCCACAAGCTGGGAGGTGGAGAGGGCACACTGGGTGGCAGCAGCAATCACCCTGTTCTGTAGGACAGTGTCTTCTGCCACTTGGGCAACATTCTTTGCCTTTAGTACCAACATGGCAGCTGCATTGGCAACAGCTTTGGCCAAACTCATTAAAACATCCTAAGAAAAGGGAATCAAAGACTATTCATTTATTTTTCTCTAATCACCTTTCACAGCCTGAAAATAAACATGTTATTAAAATTCCATTTGATCTTTTTCCTTCAGCACTTCAGAAGTTTTTTAAAGTGTCAACTTACCCTTAGAGGTAATTAAGAAAGGAGTCTTGTATCCTAATAACTCCGTCTCTTACATCCATTAAACAGCATAGGTTTAAATCTAAAATAGTTAATTTGAGGGAAGGGTTATTATTTTAACCACGGATTCACATTTGTGCACTTATCTAACACGAAGTCTTGACCACCTCTCTTGGATGCGTGGTCAATGTGGTGGATCAGGAGAAGCTAAAAGCATATCCAGATGCCACAACATCATGTGCCACAGGAAGGTTATAACTCATGGCCTCCAAGTCATCATGCCCCACTGTAACTTGAAAATTTATCTTATGGATTTCTACCTTGCACAAAGATCCAAGTGGTCATCAGAAATTTAGCCATATCTCTACCTCCAGAGGGCAACATTTGATGTGCAAAGACACCCAGCTGGCACAAACACCTACAGCTCAAGAGCCAAGAAATGCTCTGAAAATGAGTTATTCTCAGTGTTCTGCAGCCTTGTGGATGGGAATTAAATTATTACGGAAAGGGGAAAGAGAACCTATAGAAACAAACTAGCTAAAAGATGGTTTGACTGAAGATACAAGGAACTCTGGGCCTTAAAAGATCAGTTTATGCTTCAACTCAATGACTAGGCATTCTGCCTGCAGAATTTAGAATTCTTTGATTGAGCCTACCACATTTATCACCCATCTGTTTGACCTAAACAATAACCACTATTACAATTAATTAATTTCTTTGCTTTTAATACTGAAAGTAGTATATTTGACTTGAAAATGCCTTCCCAAACATAGAAGCCATTCTGATTTTGAACAAACATGTCAAGGTTTTTCCCCTCAGGGAAATACGGTTAGAAGTTTTTATTAATTCATTAGATGATAAAAAGCACTTTTGATTCTACATGTAAAGGGCACCCAGTGTCTTTACAGTGAGATACTTTATGAGAAGATATACTGGAAATAATATTCAGCCTGCACAATTTTACACAGAACAAAGACTACACATAATCCAGCTAAATCGGAAACCCATGAATCTATCAAGTAAGCTGATTTGAAACCGGGCAAAAGCTAAGTGGTCTTAAAGGAGCAGGTTATCCCAGTCTGTCTTAGGTCTGTGGTGCTTCCTGGAAAGCCCCTGGTGCTGAGAGCTGAACATCCCTTTGGGATCTGACTGGCACTTGTCTACCACACAACTTTCAGGAACTGCTCCCACTACGGTTACAATTCCTGGACATCCATCTCAATGCTCAGTGAAAACACAGCTTGAATATCACAAATTATTAAAAAGATTTTTAAAAATAACTTTCCAAAGTAGGTCACAGTATTCCTTCACTTGATATGAATTCATCTTTTCAGATGGGGGCCAGGATTTGGTCACAGGGAATCATGATTGTTCTAAAGGGCTTTGTTAGAACTGTTTAAAGAAATCCTGTTCCTCTTATTAATTTTGTTCAAAAAAAAAAATACAGTTAGAAAAAGAATGTGATACTACAGCTATAGCTGCTGACAAGGCCTTTGTCGAAAGTTTCAACAAGACCACTATTATGTAACCCGGGTAAAATAAATCTTTGTTAACTCTGGGAACATGCGGTGCATTAAGAACCCAAGAAAAGCTCTGAGATATGATCTCAAGAATCAGAAAAAGAGAGTAAGAAATCCAACGTCAGTTACCCATCACTGGAGGAGGTTGCAGATCACCTTACTGCCCTGGTCTTTACCTAGAGATCTGGCACAATTGCAAACACACACGTGAGACCTGTCCCTGCTAACAAAGGCTCTGCAGGACTATCATCCTGAACCTGAACCTGCTTCCTCTGCACATCAGAACACAAACAAACATTAGGAAGCAGGGTTCACATTCATACACGATGAACACCATCTACTACAGCAGGGAGAGGCAGGTAAAGCTTTTAAAAAACACAAGGTTGTGTGCGATGTTTTAAGGAAGAATTGTGACTTCCTCCTTAACCTTCCTTAACATATTGCCGGAAAACAATAATATTAATACTTCTGGGGAAAGTAAATGACGACGTCAAGATAATTAAGCCTAATAAAATAGCAGCTGGATCTCATATTTACCAAGTTCCTAAGTAGGCACCTGCCTGCAAATAATTACCTGCACTAAATACAAAAAGTATAGGCCAATGCAAGGCCAGTTGGGGGATCTGGAAAGGGAAGTCAGGACGGGGATACAATTAACTTGGGTGTAGCAGAAGATACTGATGTGGTCTGCAGTTCACTCTGATTCTAGGGAACGTATCACTGGCCCTTGCAGTGTACAAATGGTTTCTAGAAACATTCCTACCGCTCATCCTACAAACTGACGCTAGTGAGGACTGAAGGATGATGCCATCAAAACCTCTATCATGACATGAATGCCTGTATATTAAATGTCTTATTGCCCTCCTTCACTCCTCACATGCCTGTGGCACGAGGACATGGGACTCATTCATAGCCTGCTGTGGATGAAAGTTGACCACATCTTAATATATCTGACACATCTTTGGCTGATAAAAATTTGGAAGTTCTAGATAAAACGGCCACCCATGAAGCAAGAAACCTGAACGCCAGAGGAAAGCTAATGATCTTTTTGTTCTGTCTACTAAACATTATAAAATCATTGCCAAATGAAGAGGGGGTCGAAACAGATGAAGCCAAAAATACAGGAAAAAAGGTATTTAGAGATGTCAGGTAGTTAATAAAAAGATCACCCTATTTTTCTGGACTTGCTGATACCTGTAGTATTAGTTCACGTAAGTTTGTAACTTATTTGTTACAATTTCTTATTTGTTGCAAATCTGCTGTAATTTCTTCTAAGTAAATATTTCAATATATATACATATAAATGAATAATTTGAAAAAAATTTTTAATAATTGAAGGCCAATGAAATTCTGTAGAATTCCTAAACAGTGAACTTGACATAGGATTTGGAAAAGGGCATCTTTCAGGGAACCTGGGCTAGAATTGTAACAATTTAATCAGGATGTATTTATATAATACTTGCAAAATGAGAGACTTAGGGGGAGGAGTAAAGGGGACTGGCTCATCAGCACGTAAGCAGACCATCCTGGCCTGAACCACCCTAGCAGTGGCCTCTGCACTGCACCTTTTGAGGGACAGGGATGGAGGGAGACAAGCAGAGATGCCTGATGCCCTGTGAGCTGCTGTGAGATGATACCACACGGTGGTGACAGCAGCTCCCCAGACGGCAAACAGCACATGTCCCTGGTATTGAAAAAGAAGGGTCACAAAAAAGACTTCTCTGCCACGCTTGTGGTTTTGGATAAGACACAAAAAATAAACCGCCTCTGAGTACAAAGGAATTTCTTACCTGGAATCGCTCATCAGTCTCATTCTCTCCAATCTGTCTCAGAAGATCCCCACTAGCCTGTCCAATGCTGCCAGCAGCAGTCAAAACTGTCTGTCGAGGCTGTGAACAAAGAACACTCCTTAACTGGAAAGAAAACGCATTTCCTCCAGTGCAATCATATATGGAATTGCAGAAAGCAGAATCTCACAGAATTTGCTCCCTCTGTCTATCAGTGAGAATCTCGGGTGGTCTGCCGGATAGAAGACATCCTGGTGAAATCCGTGCAAGCAAACAGCCGGTGTCTCACGAACCAGCAATGGGTATATGGATTTGAAACGGCCAATTAGTGAGCCTTGTTCAATTGATAGGAAGGTGATAAGCGTTCTGTGGAAATTAGGGCACAAACTTATATTCCCTTTAAATGTGTATTAGTCATGTGTGTTACATTCCTGGGGTTGCATCTACTCAAGTACCCATGAAGGGGAGGCCTTCACACTAAGAGCTCAACCACTCCTGAATGCAGCTGAGCTTCTGCTCCCAATTCCACAACTCCAATTACTCCTGCAGGGAAACATACCTCAGCAGGATGAAAGGAACAGCTTGAGAAGCAAGAGCACCATGGTCCCCCCCAGTGGATGCAGCTGTCTCATCAGAACCCGAGTGACTGCTTGCCTCTAGAGCTTACCTCTCCAGAAGTAGGCTGCACAGCTTTCAGCAAGTCTGACACTGCCCCAGCGAGGGTCCTGGCAGCTCTGAGCAAGTCCTCCCCACTGCCCACCTCATCATCCATGAGGGCGGCCAACAGCTTCACACCCTTGGACATCTCCGTCAGGTTGGAAGAAATAGTGGTGATCGCACATCCCACAGCCGTGTAGTCAGTGTCTGCAGGGTCACCTGGGACCAAAAGAACCATCCCCACCAAAGGAGGGCACATGGTCATGGTAGGAATTTTCAAAACCCTACAGTGGCAGGAGTTCCTCACCCACCATCCTGCAGGGGTCAAACACCAAGCTTCCCATGAGCACAGTGAGATGGCTTGCTCCCTTTCTCCAAGGTGACTTCAAGAAGGTCCTTTCACCTGGAGGCTTCATGCATTGAAATTCTGAGGTCAAACATCTTTACAAATCCAAAGGACGTCTCAGCATCTCATAGCCCTTTTCTTTAGGCCCCTGTCAGCAGCTCAGGAGGTCAACTCTGCTTCTAAAAGGCTGATACACTGCAGGGTGAAGCCAAGCAAGTTCCTAGCTCTCCTCTGACAGCACAAGGCTGGGAGCCACGCTGTGCCAGAAGAGACTGCTGTTGGACAAGATGGCCCAAGGCACATTCCATGGGTCTGTTCATTCAAAACCATTTTCAAACTGTAGGTGCCCAGAAGGGAGAAAGGAGCCTCAACAGACTTTGCAGTAAGTCCAGCACACTGACAAACCATGAGAAGATCTGAACAGGAGCTTTTTAATGAGGATACATGATGGAGGCGAAAAGCAATGACCTATTCCTTACCGCTCTCCGGGGTCACTGGGAAAAAAATGTCAGAAGCACTCCGAGACTAGGAAAAGACTGTCCTCTCATAATATGAAGTCTATTCTCTCAATTAACAGGTAAGTTATTTTTTTTTTTAATTAGAAAAACAGCTTTTAAGCAAAACCCCAATACAGCACAAATCTCCCAGGGACTTACCAGCTGTGAGGTTAACGACGGAAGCTGTTCCGGCCGTGATAGCATCAACTTGAGAATGAATTTCGTGTTTGGATTCGTCGACTTTGTTCTGAACCCACACCCTCGATGCCTGCAAAGCCAGACAACAGCATGACACAATCACAGCACAGAATCACCCAGGAGACCAGAGGGGCTCTGCCATCAAGTCAGACCAGCATTTTGGCTACGCTCTTCTTAGGAGCACTGATGGGGCCCTCAAGTTTTCCTAAACAGGGGCCTTAACAGGCCTTGCTCCTTCACAGACGCTCAATGGCGTGAAAATTCTCCCTGTGTCTTACATTAATGATGTTGTTTGTGTCTTTAACTTTTAAGATCTTAGGGAGAAAAATTCCACGTAGCTTTATTTAGAAAAATTCAACTGAAAAATAATGAGGAGGAAAAAAATCAGTATTTCATAATAATACTGCACATTAATATTAATAGTTGTTGCCGATTTTCACCTTGCTTTGCAGGGAGCAGGGTGAGGAGGAGGATGTTTCAGCTCACGTGTTCTCTGTCAATGCAGGAAATGTCTCTTGCTTACAATGTGCATCACCTTGAAGACGACCAAGGGTCACGTTCATGTAGATCCTAAAACCTTTCCTGCTAAGATGAGGGAATGGGTTGAGACCCCTGTCCTGGGTCCAGATCTACCACTAGCAGGTGATAGGACCGCAGGCAAACCATATTCAGGTCCTGTGCCTTAGATTTCTCCTACTGTGTGAATTCAGTGGTTTATAAAAACCTTTCCAGCTCTTATATTTCATGTTGATTTGAACCTATAAATAGCAAGATCTCTATTTTCTGGCATTTCAGAACTTACCTAATAAATGATCACTTATCTTGATGATGACCCTGCAGTATGGTGCTCATCTGCTTCCCAAAACATCCCCAAAACATTTATCTGTGTTCAGGATGTGAACACTGGAAGTAATTTATTGCATCTAATTCTTCGAAAATTTGTGAAGCAGGAATGTAAAATCTTAAACATGTTAAAACTCTACCTCACAATTATACTGGATATGGGTGTCTGGCATACATGCTTTTACTCTGGAGTTCCTCAAAGCAAGATGTTTATGGTTTTCAGATACCTGGGAGAAATGGCGCTGAGGATGCCAGCGACCTCCACACACAAAGATGTGCAAATGAAGAACTCAGCATTCTGGGAGAACCTGGAGGGCAGTTATCCTGGCAGGACAAGATAAAGCTACAGACTGTATCTTGGTTCTGGCCCCTGTGATGGTACCAGTCAGTCCTACCACAGTGGTTATCAACCCTGACTGGCCATTAGAATCACCTGGGGAGAACAAAAACCACTGATTCTCAGGTTCCACCCACAGCAACATCAAGTTCTTTGGTCTCAGCTGGTGCTTTTGGCTTTGTTTTTAAAGTTTCTCAGATGATTCTAATGTACAAAGCAGCACTGAGAATGACAGTACTGGCTGGTGCTTCTCCCACATTAACGGTCACACAAAGAAGCTGGAAACTTGGCTAAAATGCAGATTCTGCTTGAGTAGGTTGGGGAAGGCCCCCAATTCCGCACTACTCACACAGAATTGCCAGTGCTGCTGGTCCTGGGAGCACGATTTGAGCAGTGAGGAGTCACGCTGAGGTCCCTAATTTTCCAGTCACAAAGGACACCTCTGATCTGAGTCATCCAATTTAACTTTTTCAGAGACAAATGTTATTCCTGAGCTTTCAAAAAAAAAAAAAAGGGGGGGATTTCTTGGAAAAAAAATCATGGGATTTCATGCAGCAGCAGCTACAGGAAAATATCTGGGTGAATCACGCTACCCTGCTGAAAAACTCAATGGTAGTAAGCCAGTGGTTCTCGAAGGACAGTTCCCAGGCATGAAGCATTAACATCACCTAAGATCTTGTTGGAAATGCAAAATCTCAGGCCCTCCCCAAGATTCCACTGAGTCAAAAAAAAAAAAAAAATGGGGAGAGAATTCCAGCAATGTGCATTTTAGTAGGCCCTTCAGGTAATGCCAATGTACGCTAGAGTTTGAGAACCACTGGCAGAGACAAAAATAACAAACAGCTAATGCTCACTGAGCTCTTTCTATGTATGTGCTAAGGACTGTGCTAAGAACTCTACAGGTGATTCATCACCTCTTCACAAAAACTCTATTTACAGATGACAAAGTAGATTAGAGAAGACAAGTAGCCCAGAGTCACACAGCCTGTGATGGAGCTGGGATGTGAGCTCGGATCACAGGACCCTAGGGTCCCAGTTCTCAGCCCTCCTGCGGCGCTGCACACAGCCAATGATGGAGCTGGGATGTGAACTCGGATCACAGGACCCTAGGGTCCCAGTTCTCAGCCCTCCTGTGGTACTGCCAGCAGGCAGCAGCACCCTATGTTTCTCTCCTCCTGTGGGTGCAACTGAGAGACAAAGACTCAATATCGTGAAAAATCATGGGTTTCCTCTTCACCTAGAGATTTACCTGGTTCAATCCTGACAGAGTGCATAACCCTGCTTTCTGCCAGGGCAGAGTCTTGGCATGAAAACACTGAACAGTATTTACCATATCCTGGCCAAGAGGTGGCAGCGAGTCGAGCTCACTGAGATCATCCTGGGCCTGCTGGACGGCGTGCATGCTGGTGTTGATGGTCCCCATCAGGGCCTGCTGGGCTGAAGTCTGCAAAGGCAGAAGAAACAAAGCAGTCATCCCACACTCAGGACCTGGCGCTTTATGCGAAACAGAACTCTGCGCTCAAGACAAAGCAGCCCAGGCTACATCTCAACAACCAGCTGAACCATCTCCCATTTTAACCTGGAGGCCAGAAATAGATACAGCACTTTATTAACACAACACAAAATGAAGGTGACTGCCATGGACGGATTATAATCAGAAGTGTGTGAAGAGTTTAATTAGCTGACTAGGAGGCTCAGAAGAGTCCTTCCAGGGAACTAAGGTGATGCAACCTTTGAGTACTGAGGAGCTCCTCATGCACAGGAAACACGTGGGTGTTAAATAAGAATGCTTCCTGATGGACAAGGACTCCGACTAAATCTACAGTCCACATACTTTTTCAGAGATAAGGGTTAATCCTGCGCTTTCAAGAAGTTCTCGTCCAATAGCAAGGGATTCCCAAGGCCGGCCCGAGAGGCACCGAGTCAGACAGACCAGCACAGTGGAAGGGAGTTAACGACCGCCAGGGTGAAACCTCCAGATCACTGGAAACCTGGTCTACTTCTCAGACTTTCCTAGGGGTATCTGCACCAATCAGCTTGATGCTGCCAGGACAGGGGAGCAGAGTTCTATGCCTGTATCACAAATCATGTTGAGAGGTCCCTAATTTTCCAGTCACAGAGGACACCTCTGATACTAAACAGGCAGTGATCTGAGTCATCCAATTTAAAAATACACAGCTGAATGCAGCATGGTTCAGCCAGGGGTTAGAGTTCCAACACCCAGCCCATCGCTGCTGCCGGTGTCCACCCTGCACACCAGAGGCAGTGGACTAACGAGCAGGGGAAGACGGGAAGCCTCACCAGTGGCGGCATGTGGCCTCGGTGCATCTGCCCAACCATGACCTGCTGCTGTGGCGAGGGCATGCTGCCAACGTTGAAGGTCTCAGGCCCGCTGGAGCCTGAGCGCATGACGGCCGGCAGCGCCACCGAGCCGTGCTCTGCCTTCCCGGTCCTGTTGAACTGCTGCTGCAGGATGGTGGACCTGCCGGGCAAAGTGGTCTGGTCACTGCGAGGAAGCCACCCGTGTGGAGTGCAATGAGGAGACCCCCCAGATGTCACATACGTTCCCTGCTTTATGCTGTGAAGGCCAATTTAGAGAGGCACGTACAGACAGAGAAGCAGTAATGAAGAAGTGGTACTACGACAGATGGCAGAGCTCTGAGATGAATCCTTTCATGACATGTAATGTAAATAATTACTCCCAATTTATCCACTTAATAGATTTATGGTATTATGCAATTAGTTGTTCTTATTAAAAAGAAAAGAAAAGAAAAGAAAAGAAAAAACAAGGCCTGATGCTGTAACTCACCCCGGCGATCCCAGCCCTTTGGGAGGCCAAGGTGGGGAAGATTCCTTGAGGTCAGGAGTTCAAGACCAGCCTGGGCAACATAATGAGATCTCATCTCTACAGATCTCAGGAAAAAATTCAAAAATTAGCCCGGAGTGGTGGTGCGTGCCTATAGTCCTAGCTAGGTAAAGAGGCTGAGGCAGGAGAATCGCTTGAACCTGGGAGCCCGAGGTTGTAGTGACCTATAATCGCACCACTGTACTCCAGCCTGGCCAACCAAGTAAGACTCTGTCTCAAGAAAAACAAAAATGACAACAACACAAGTATTCCTATAATGATAATAGTGAAGTTCCAGGTTTTAAGTGAATGTTTTGATATGCTGATATATTATTTTTGGTAAATCACACCTGAACGAACATTCATTAAACAAGTATCTACCCTGCGGCAGGTTCCATTCTAGGCATCAGAGATACAGATCATTTATCTTCAGCTGGAAAGGGGAAATGTGGAAATGAAGGTAGGGGAAATCTCCTGCAGCTTAGCTCCCCTCCCTCAGGCCTACCACCATTGACAACACAGGGTGTTTCATCGCCCCTGGAGCCTTGACCATGTGAGGCTTTGACATCTTTCAAAATGCTTTCAACTAAAGACCGGGAAGACTCTTAGGTTATCTAAGGAAAAAAAATGCATTTTTATTTTTTTGAAGCAGTTTCACTCTTGTCATCCAGGCTAAAATGCAACTGCATGATCTTAGCTCACTGTAACCTCTGCCTCCCAGGTTCAAGAGATTCTCCTGGCTCAGCCTCCCAGGTAGCTGGGATTACAGGTGCCCACCACCACACCTGGCTATTTTTTTGTATTTTTAGTAGAGATGGGGTTTCACCATGTTACCCAGGCTGGTCTTCAACACCTGACCTCAGGTGTACTACCTGCCTAGGCCTCCCAGAGTGCTGGGATTACATGCGAGAGCCACAACACCTGCCCAAAAAACTGAATTTTTTACGTGATATTTTCTTAGAATGAATAGTAAGTCCAAAAAACGCTGATCGTCTGAAGGTAAGAAGTCTGAGGGTGATGTATCTTCCTCAGAAGCCCGGTGGACAAACCCACAGACAGAGTCCGGGGCATCTGTGTGTTGTGAGGTGGACAGAAGGTGGAGGTACAGCTGGATGAAGAGACAAGGCCTCTATCCCAGAGCTCTTGCACTATCACAGATCCTTCCCTGTTGCCCAGGGCAAGACTCGACAGCCATGCTGGGATCCCAAGCAATAGGCATCCAGGGAGCAACACTGCAGACTAGGGATAGGGTGGTAAGAGACTGGGAAGGTTGGTCTGGAGGTTCCAGTAAGAAGTCAGTTGCATTCTAAGAGCTCAGCCAAAGATCAAAGCAGGATGAAGAAGAAGGTCTAGCGATGGGGACCATCCTGACCATTCATCCTGCTTGCCTTCATCAGACCCCACAGTGATGCCATGGGCAGTAGAGATGGCTACAGTGGTCCCAGGCAGGTGAAGGTCCCAGCCCTCTGGGCTCAGACACTTACTGGGTTGCTCCTATAGGAAGCAAAGCACAGCAAGGTCCTCTGAAGTGAAGCACTCACCCTATCAGGGAGCACTAGCTTACTAACTTACATATAATGGTCATGAATAATTCCAAGGACTTAAGGTGCTCTGCCCGAGGGTGGCAAGTACCAGAAACGTATCATATCAAGTTTGGTTTCAACCTGCATACTAGTGGGGACAAATGGAAAAACACCTTTTGGGTGACGAGGAAGCAAACTGTGAGAAACTGGCAGCAAGGGTAGAAATGTTAGACAAACTACTATAGCTAAGCAAGTTTAATGCACTGGAAGATGCTAGAACTTTCTAGCATTGTACTATGGGAAACATCACAAGATCTGAATCTGAGTCCTGGCTCTACCACATGTGTGGATCTCAACTAATCTTCGTGAGCTTCAGTTTCCTTATCTGGAATGCAGATGACAGCACCTGGCCTCCCTCTTGCATAGGGAGTTGTTACTGGAATTCCAGATGAGACATACTGTCAGACACACACATACTGAAGCATACAAGAACAATCATTACATTGCTCTATTAATATAAAAGGGGTGTCTGCATAGGTTTCCCAAAAATAACCATTTATTAGATGTTACTTAATTTTAATAAATCTATCTCCTCATCTATAAATGGGGCTAAATAGAGGATACTGTGAATTTAAAATAATGATCGTGAGGATGATAGTTACAACAGCAAGCACTATGTGCCAGGCATTGTTTTACGTGCTTTATTACCAACTACCATAGAAATAAAACCTACTTAGGAGGTAATATCAATATGCCCATTTTATGGATGAGCTCATGCCAGAAGAGAATTCCGTAACTTCCTAGAGCCACGCAGTGAAACACAGACCCTAGATTTGCGCCTAACAAGAGTCCATGTTCTTAATCTCTCACCTGGACGATGCTGCCTCACACACTCGAGACAAGCGTGGCACGAAGCAGTGCTTCACGGTAACAACCCCTCCACCCGCTGCACTCCCTCCTCCCACACAAGGGGCCAGAATCAAACACAGGCTCATCCTCTGACCTTCTGATGATATGGCTCAATGATCACGATTCGATCATGAGATTTAAATCAGAAATGCAGAAAAGGACCCATGAACATTTTATTTACTGCCTCAAAAGATGCAGTAAACGCCACACCATGGTCAATGTCTCCCTGATCCTCAGCCTCACTCATGAGACACATGCCACATCAATGCTGCTGGTCTTCGGACTACGCCTGAAAAAGACTCAACTATATCATCTGCCATCATCTTCTCCAGGTGACAGGTTTTGGAGGAGCAGGCTCCGAGCTGGCAAGAGGAAACCCGCCTATCTAGGGAGAAGGTGGTTCTCCAGTGCTCTTCTTAATACTTACTTTTTTGGGGAAACGGACTCTTCTAACATAGTTGACTCCTCATCACCTTCTAGTCCAAATCGATCTTTACTTTGTTTCTGGAAATGCAAAAAAAAAAAACAAGATGCAAAAATGAAAATCAGGCCGGGTGCAGTGGCTCATGCCTGTAATCCCAGCACTCTGGGAGGCTGAGGTGGGCAGATCACTTGAGGTCAGGAGTTCAAGATCAGCCTGGTCAACATGGTGAAACCCTGTCTGTATTAAAAAAAAATACAAAAATCAGCTGGGATGGTGGCAGCAGCCTGTAATCCCAGCTACACTGGAGGCTGATGCAGGAGAACTGCTTGAACCTGAGAGGCAGAGGTTGTAGTGAAGACAGTGCCTCTGCACTCCAGCCTGGGCGAGAGAGCAAGACTCTGTCTCACCAAAAAAAAAAAAAAAAAAAAAAAAAAAAGGAAAATCAGCAGGTCTTCATACAAGGACCTTTGAAAAAACCATTTTAATGGGACACAGGGAAAGTGATGAATTTTACTCAAAATTCCTTATGCTGGACATTTAGTAAGTGATGGATGAACAAATACATAATAATAAAAAAGAAATATTTAATATACAGTTAGATGTCATGTATTTAATGCACAGACTTTAATTTTACATAGTAAAAAAATCAAGATGCACATATTAACATTCTATTAAAACTTGGTTTTTTTGAATGGGCTGTATCTTGAAGCCTTAAGAAATCTGTTTTTCTGTATACCAATATGGTACATAACCCCATTACATTTGTTTAAAAAAAAAAAAACACAAACAAGAAAATTACAAAGATCATTTAGGCTCTCAATCCACCTTTCCAGAGGCTGAAAAGCACAGTACAGCTTTGTGAAGACGAGGATGCTGAGGCATGCTAGGCTCATTCATCAGCTAAGCGACGTGCTATTGTTCATTGCCTGGTAGTAAGTAATACTAATATGTGCTGCAGAAAAAAGCAGGAATTCTCATAGGATCTTGCGGTCAAATATCTCATACTTAATTAGCGATTAAAGATTATATTAGTGAATCAAGTGGTTTTTTTTCTGTTTTGAGACAGAGTCTCCCTCTGTCACCCAGGTTGCAGTGCAGTGGCAAGATCTCAGCTCACTGCAACCTCCACCTCCTGGTTTCAAGCAATTCTCCTACCTCAGCCTCCCGATTAACTGGGACTATAGGTGTGCACCACCACACCCAGCTAATTTTTTTGTATTTTTAGTAGAGATGGGGCTTTGCCATGTGGGCCAAGCTGGTCTTGAACCCTGACCTCAGGTGATCTGTCTGCCTCAGCCTCCCAAAGCACTTGGATTACAGGTGTGAGCCACCATGCCTGGCCTCAAGTACATTTTAAAAGGACTTTTTTTCAAGGTAGCCACGTCACCCAAACTGAGCCTTTTAAAAAAGCGGTCTTGCTTTTCCAACAAAAATACCTTTTTCAGGATGATGTCAATGTAGCCTGCAATCAGCTGGGATATCTGCTCTCCCTCAGTGGTCTGTACAGAATAGTAGCTTTCCTGATACTCCCCAAAATCCTGAAAAGAGAGCGTTGGAAGAAATATAGGTAAATCAGATGTATCAACATTTTAAAGGCTAGGAAGTCCAGCTCTACAACAGTAAGACGTTGACTTAATTTTCCCTGCTCCCCCTCTCTAAATACAAATGAATACCCTAAAATTTATTCAACAATATTCAACAATGGTAAAAGAGTTCTGAAAACTGAAAAGATGAACTGGCTGGCCCTCAGAACTTGCAAAAACCACCATATGATTGAGTTATTGGATTTTCTTTCCTATCCCATATAACCCCTAAGACTAAGAGCTATAGAGGCCTGAACATTGGAACCTCCAATAGGCACTTTCTTAAAAGCATGCTTTTGGTCAAAGAACCAGGAGAAGAGGAGCCCAAGAAAGACTAATCTGGGGAAGCAATCAGGAAATCCAACTCCAGCTCAACAACCTGGGCTGACATTCAACGGAAGCTGCAGAGCAGTGAAACTTCGGACCCTTGCAGGCCCTAGTCCACAACCCAGGCAGCTGCATGGTCTGACTCCTTTGCTGCAGCAGCCACAGAGAGTAAAGCCCTGTGTGTCCCTGTCCTCCAGCCAGTGGCTTAGAGAGACGCAGGCCCAGTGCCTTTTGCTTCCTGCAATGAAGGTCATCCAGCAATAGCAGGTAGCCCAGGGAAGTGCCTTCTGCCCTCATTGACAGATACAACAGGGTCTGAGCAGGAACATTAGTGTCAAAATTAAAACTCAGTCTAGAATAGCACTGAAAAGTCTCAGAGAATGAAACTGTCATTGCAACTAAAGCCCACAAAAGTAGGCCAGAACACTACACACTCAACTTGAACAAAGTGTCCGCCTGCTAAAATAGAATATTTCAGTAACATCAAAAGTCTCCCAATAGGCCAGGCACAGTGGCTCATGCCTGTGATCCTGGCGTTTTGCGAAGTTGAGGCAAGAGGATCACTTGAGCCCAGGAATTCAAGATCAGCCTGGGCAACATGGTGAGACTCTGCCTATATAAAAAAAACTTTTTTTTAATTAGCCAGGCATGGTGGTGTAAGCCTGCAGTTCCAGCTCCTCAAGAGGCTGAGGTGAGAGGATCGTCTGAGTCCAGGAGGTAAGCTATGATCATACCAGTATACTCCAGCTTGGACAACAGAGTGAGAGACTATCTCAAAAAAATAAAACTAAGGGCCAGGAGCGGTGGTTCAAGCCTGTAATCCCAGCACTTTGGGAGGCCGAGGTGGGCGGATGACCAGGTCAAGAGATCGAGACTATCCTGGCCAACATGGTGAAACCCCATCTCTACTAAAAAAAAAAAATACAAAAATTAGCTGGGTGTGGTGGCATGCACCTGTAGTCCCAGCTACTCGGGAGGCTGAGGCAGGAGAATTGCTTGAACCTGGGAGGCGGAGGTTGCAGTGAGCCGTGATTGTGCCACTGCACTCCAGCCTGGCGTCTGGCAACAGAGCGAGACTCTGTCTCAAAAAAATAATAATAATAATAATAAAAACGTCTCCTATTATAATAACCAAGATGTGTAGGATGTTTTAAAAAAATAAATATTGACATCAAGAGCCAGGACAAACACAATACGAATGACAAAGATGATCAACTCATCCCATTACTGACATAAATCAGATAGTGGAATTATCTGATCAACTCGTCCCAATACTGAAATAAATCAGATACTGGAATTATCTGACAAGGACTTTAAAGCAACCAGCATAAAAATGCTTCACCAATAAATTGCAAATTCTCTTGAAGCAAATTTTACAGAATAAAGACTTTCACAAAGAAACAGAAGTCATAATAAAGAACCAAATGGAAATTATAGAACTGAAAAAGGCAATAACCAAAAATTTAAAATTCCCAGGCTAAACTAGTGTGGAGATAATAGAAAATAAAATCAGCAAGCCTGAAAACAGATCAACAGAATTGAATCAATCTGAACAACATGGAGAAGAGAAACTAAAGAACAGAGCTTCGGGAATCTGTAGGACAGTAACAGAAGATCTCACATTAATATCGTCAGAGTAGCAGGAGAGCAGAGGGCTGTACAGAAATAAAGTATCTGAAGAAAGAGTGACTGAAAACTTCCCCAAATCCGTGAAGACTTAAATCCACAAATTCAAGAAGCTGCGTGAACTCCAAACAGAACAAATCCTAAGAAACCCATAGCAAGAATTTTGAAAATTAAAGATAAAAGTATCTTAAAACAGCCACGGAAAAATGGCATATTACCTACAAATTGACACCAACTTGAATGACAGCAAATTTCCCATTTGAAACAATGGAGGTAGCAAAGAAGTGGCATGACAGGTTTCAGATGCTAAAACAGAGGAACGGTCAATCCCAAATGCTGTACCTGGCAAAAGTATCCTTCATGAATGAAGGGGAAATACCAACATTCTCAGAGGACGAAATCACTAAGAGACCCTGTTGCTAGCGGATGTACCCTTCACCAGTAGCTAAAGGAAGCTCTCCAAACACAAAATGATAAAAGGAGCCTGGGAACTTTAGAAAGGCAAGAAGAACAATGGGGTGGTTAAAAATGAAGGGAAATGTAATAGACTGTTCATCAACTCACGAGTTTCTTTCCTCACATTTTCTGTTCAAAGCAGAAGCTGTAACACCATCTTATGTGGTTACAGGCAAAATAACTATCTTATGTGTATATGAAAAAAATATTTAAACATTATATTAAAAAAATGTGGGGAATGGGTAGGTAAAAAGACCCAAATGGAAGGAAGATTTCTACACTTCACTTAAAGGGGTAAAGCCAGTACCAACAGGCTGTAATTAATTTCGTATGTACACGGTAATATCTAGAATAACCACTAAAAACACTACACAACGTGATATGCTCAAAATGGAACACACAAAGCAAAATGGAACTCTGAAAATCGCTGAAGTAACCCAGAGAAAAGGCAAAAACAAAAACAGAAAAACTACAAAACGAGAGACTTGGGCCCTAACATATCAATCAATTAGCTTAAATATAAATAGTGTAAATATACCAATTAAAAGAGATCAAATGGATTAAAAAAATAACCCAACTAATTATGCTCTCTACAAGAAATTCATTTCAAATATAACAGTATACGCAGGTTGAAAATAAAAGGATGGGAAAAGATATATCATGTCTACATTAATGTTATAAAAAGCATTGGCGGCTATGTTAACATTAGATGCAGGAGACTTTAGAGCGAAACGAAAATTACTAACGGAAAAGAACATTACATAATGATTAAACATCTTCTCCATTAAGACATAGGATTCTTAAATGCACAGGCATCAAACAACAAAGCTTCAAATTACATGAGACAAAAACTGAGAGCTGAAAGAAAAAGTAGAAGAATCCACAATTACTGTTAAGAACTTTACTCTCAGCAGCTGAGAAAACCGCCAGGCAGAAAATTAACAAACATACGCATACAAAAGACTGGAACACCACCATCAACTAACAGGGATGTAACTGGTATTCACAGATCCCAGTGTACATGGGAACAGCGGAATGTAAGTTCTGTTTGAGTACTCATAGAACACTCACCAAAAAGGATATACTGGGATAGAAAAGCCTTAAAATTACAAAAGAACTGAAATTATACAGAGTATGTTCTCTGACCATAATGGAATCAAACTAAAAATCAATAGTAGAGAGACAACAGAAAAGCCTCCAAACACTTGGAAATTAAATAAAAGCTAGGAGTAGGAAGGAAAAAAATCACTACATAGTATGAGCTCTAACGCAACGTAAGGCTTTAAGCAAAATACTGATATTCTCTCATTTGCCTGAGATAGTTAATGAGGTAATCATAACTATTTTTTATTAAAATAAATTTTTATTTTTAATAAATACTTGCACCTAGTTTAAACAGACCAACAGTATTAAAAGATGTAAAACAAAACACAGTTCTTCCAGCCCTACCCATTCCCACCTTCACTTTCTACTACACGCCCCTCCAAAGGTAACCACTTTCATCTCTTTTAGCAGTTCTTCTAGTATTTCTAAATAGTATGTTTATACTGATCTCTTGATTTTTGTCATTTAGAAATTATCCATGACTTCCTGCAATGGAAGATGAGGTCATAGCTAAGTATGAACGTTCATCTTTTGAGGCCCACACAGGAACAGCTGTTACAGCTGCAGGCGGAAAGAAGGTATGTTTCTGACGATTCCTTCTAATTGGCAGGAACCTATCACTCTACAGTCAAATTAGATAACTAATGACTCCTTCCACTGCACCTTCTTTACAGGTTTTTTTTTTTTTTTTGGTCCTATTAGGACTTTTTGCATAGATAAGAGGTGAAACTATCACCTCTTATCTATGCAAAATGCATTCAGTAGAGACTTCAAGAGTCTTAAGAAACTGACAAATTCAGGCTGGGCACAGTGGCTCACGCTTGTAATCCCAGCACTAATTTAGGAGGCTGAGGAGGGTGGATCATGAGGTCAGGAGTTTGAGACCAGCCTGACCAACATGGTGAAACCCCATCTCTACTAAAAAAAAAAAAAAAAAAATACAAAAGTTAGCTGGGCGTGGTGGCACACGCCTGTAATCCCACCTACTGAGGAGGCTGAGGCAGGAGAATGACTTGAGCCTGGGAAGCAGAGGTTGCAGTGAGCCAAGATTGTGCCACTACACTCCAGCCTGGGCAACAGAGTGAGACTTTATCTCAAAAAAAGAAAGAAAGAAACTGACAAATTCCAGCACTTTTTTTCTTATTGCACAACTTGCTCTTAACAACTACCTGCCCTATTGCGTTTCGCAAGTAAATGTGGCTCTAGTTAAGGCATACAGTTATACGATGCTAACAACAAAAACTGAAATAACATATTCTCACTACTTTCCATAAATTTTATACTAAGTATTTTATCATCTTCATCTTAATCATAGCAACTCTGTGAAATGTACGTGACTATCACCATTTCATTGCTGAAGAAATTAAGGCTCAGAGAGGAAATGTAAGTTGAACAGGGTCACAGAGCTGGGAAATGACCAACTGGATTTCTACAATAATCCCACACTAAAGTCGTGTTATTTCCACTGTATACCATACTCCTTCCAGGCAGGCTAGGAAAACACTCGGCAGCAAGATAATCACAATTCTTAGGAACATCTAAAACAAAGAGAGGGGCCTTTCTGTGCATCTCAGAGCACTAGAAACTTTCCTTTGAGGATATGTCATCAGGAACACAGAACTGAGGATCATCAGGGTGAGGGGCTCTTTCTAGATATTGAACTGGAGGCTGACTTATGTAGAGTGCAGAGAAGCCGCAGTGACCGAAGAAACCCAGGCTTGCTGACCTCACTCTCACTTCCACATGCATCCCCTTTCTTGCCATGGACTTGCACCATCTTTCCCCTCCACCTGGCTCTCTAAGGCTAGAGAAACCCAATGGGCAAGGATCTGGTCTTTCTCCTGTCCCCACAATATCGCCCAAGGCCATGCTAGCCCTCTCCCTGCCCTCCGCCAGTCCCTACCAGTGTGAAGCTCTTGGGTGAGGCTGCCCAGCGCTTGACCGTGGTAAGGGGCCACTCCTGTAGCACTTCCTTGGTCTTCTCATCCACACGCATCACCGAGTCTTTGGTGATGCCCAGCAGGCGAGGCACCAGCTTGTTCTTGCCTTTCATCTTTTCCTGAAACAGGAGACACGGAGCGTCAGTGCTCTTCCTCTGAATACATCTGACTTTGCAAAGGATCAGTGATTTTTTTTAATGTTTCACCTGCATACACTGTGTTTCAAAACAGGCAGGGCTATAGGAAAACCAACGTTCTGAGGCTAGGTGAGAAACTCATTAAACTGAAGGCATGGGAACTCACACAAAGACATGAGAAATCTGGAAAGATCCAGAAAAGCATGCTCCTGTTTGGAGAGCCGCTTGCTCCAAAACCAGACTACGTCAGAAAAACGGGATACAACTGGAAAAACATCCAGAGAAAAAGAAGCAAAGGTGAATTCCAGGCACTATCACCCCCAGTGGCCAACTCAGTGAGTAACCAAAGAGGTAATCTAATATTTCAAATTAACTAAAACTGCCAAAGTAGAATCTTCTCATTATAAGGAGACACACCTGCATATCCTTTTTTAAAATCTCTGAAATATATTTCCGTTTGGATTCTTTGTTTTCGTATTTTGTATATTTACTGATTCTTAAAACTTATTTTATGATTAGTTTTAATGTTTTAAGATATAGTAATGTCTATTAAAATAATGGACCATTAGCTCACATTCATACCAAAACAAATTCAAGATAGATTAGTAATTTAGGAAGAACATCCAAGTGGGTATTTTTGTGATCCTTGGGATGAAAAATGACTTCCTAGGAAAAACACCAACATAAGAAGCCATAAAGGAAACGATTAATAGGCTTAACTCCAAATATATATACTTTTGATAGATTAGGGGAGGGGAACAGAAGATAAAGAAACCTCATAAAAAATGAAAAAAGACTGGGAAATAAGCATTTGCAATGAATGTAATGGTAGCAGACTTCATACACTGTCTATGTCTTGCATTCATAAATCAACAAAATAACTGCTGAAAAGCATGAACAGAAAATGTTAAAATAACTAAATGAGGAAGTAAGTTTTCACTTAAAATAGCTGAGGTGTTTCTTTTAAAATTAAAATTAATATTCAGATTTGAGGAAGACGTGAGGGGGTCACTACTGATGAAAGCTTAAGATAGCAAAGCCTTCATGGGAGAAATGTGTCAATATCTATCCAAACCCTTAAAAAGCGCCTACTTTTGGCTGGGCGCGGTGGCTCAAGTCTGTAATCCCAGCACTTTGGGAGGCCGAGGTGGGTGGATCACAAGGACAAGAGATCGAGACCATCCTGGTCAACATGGTGAAACCCCGTCTCTACTAAAAATACAAAAAATTAGCTGGGTGTGGTAGCACGTGCCTGTAATCCCAGTTACTCGGGAGGCTGAGGCAGGAGAATTGCCTGAACCCAGGAGGCGGAGGTTGCGGTGAGCGGAGATCGCGCCATTGCACTCCAGCCTGGGTAACAAGAGGGAAACTCCGTCTCAAAAAAAAGCTCCTACTTTTGACAAAGCTAGCTTTTAGGAACTTAGTTTTGTGTGTGTGGTTTTTTTTAAAGTTATAAATGTGTGTAAAGATTATACCACACGAAGCTCAACCACAGTACATCAGAGTGAAAAGCTAGAAATCACCCACACTTTCAGACGAGATTGGGCGCATTCAGGGTGGTATGGCTGTAGATGAAACAGTCCCAATTTTCTATAACACAGGATTTGATATGTACATTACAGTATACCCAGGTAACAGATTATCCTACATTATTAAAAATCACATTGTAGAAAAACAATTGGTTTATATAGAAGTAAATTATTCATAATATATTACCTAAAAAACAGACTATAGAGCCTAATCTTAGGTGAAATAAAAATTTTTACATAGACACACGTCCGTTACATGAAAAAAAGGCAGCGAACGTCTCATGTGTTTTGTTTTTATGTGCGTTTCCTTATTTCCAAAATTTCACTTAATGCACGTGTATTTTTAGCGTTGTCAGGAAAACCTTTTCAAGTCATATTTGCTGAAACCTAGCAACACCTAAACTGCTGTTCTCAGAGGCACAGATATATATATTCACACAAAGTATCTATGCATTTGTGGATGTGTATACACACACCCGACACAGGGTAATGCCACTTAAAACAGGGCTGGAGCAGACTAGATACTTAACAAGCATCATACGTTTATCTTCAGAGCAACCCCAAAGCACTGGTATCATCATTTTCAGTCTGCAGGTGGAGAGACCGAGACTAACAGTGGTGAATGGTAAAGCCATAATTTGAACAAAGATGTGAGGAGCTCAAAAGCATCTCTGACTTCGAAAGCTGTCTACTGCAGCTTACTGTCTTCTGGTGGAAGTAAAAAGAGAAAAGGCCAAATCTTCCTCCCCGGGCACACCATGAGCATTTGATAACCCTTCCTCACGGAGGATACCATGGTATGAGGAATCTGCCTGGGTGTCTGAGGAGGGGAATATTCCTCCCTGAGCCTCAAGTCTTAAAAAACACAGAGAAGGGTCAGATTTTTTTCAAAGAAAGAACAGTTCCACAAGGGGTGAGATCAGTGCAGGGCAGACAATGTCAGCCAATCTACTCTGATTCAGGAGCCACACAGAGTTTTAGGTTGAGAGGCTGTAGGCAGCTAATTTGGTCACACAGGGTTGGCACAAACCTAGCTTCTGGGACCCAGGAAGGGGACAGGAGATAAAAAATGGTTTGCAGCTGCTTCCTTCGTTCTTTCCCATCTGCACCACTCCCCAGTGAGGGATTCTGGGGTGTGGGAACACAGAATCGTGACGGATTGCCCTAACTTGTCAAGATCATTCCAGGTTGGGAGAGGAAGCCACAGTGAACAAACAACTTACAGTGAACATTCCATTACCAGGTCACAACTGAGGAAAAGGGGCTGAGGGAAGAAAAAACACTGGAACTGGCAACAGAGACCACATCGAGGGACAAAATCACTTCAGGGCCTACCCACAAAACACAGAGCAGCTGAAGAAAGGTAAAACAGCAAATGGCTCAGACCTGCGATCCTGACGCAAGCTCTTCCCTGGAGCAGAAAGTTGCCTTACAGCCTCAATGGCAGGAATGTGAGGCAAGGGCCACAAGGTAGTAAGGCTCCCTCTTTCCTTCCTATGCCTCAAGTCTCAGTACCCATACCACTCCTTTCCAACCTTCAGTCTCCAGCTCCCTTTTATCTCCAGTAGACAAAGCATGCTAAAGCAGGCACCAGTGAAGACCTATCTATCTCAAATACTCACACACAGAGATTGAGCTGATTTTTGCCTGCCATCTAGAAGCTTCTCTCCTGAGGTGGTCCTGATTAGACTGTTTTTGTTTTGAAAATGTCTACAGCTTGTATAACTCAGAGGCAGGAGAATGCAGGTATTCTACCAAAGAGAGGTAGGATCCATTAACAAACCCAACCCCTCCTCTTTCAAATGTATTTCAGCTGCTACCAGGGGTTTAGCCCTGGCAGCCAGCTGTGACAAAGCCGGCTGTCGGCAGGTTCTTCTCACAGGTGTGGAGATTGCCTGAGATCCAAAACTGGGTGGAGGGATGCAACTGGGCTGAACTTCTGGCTCCTGGCCCCTCGCTTCAATATGGCCCAAGCCCAGTGGTCCTCCCCACGATCCAGCTGAGCTCACTAGAGTTCTAGGTTGGCTTGGCCAAAGGGCTGATGTGCATGTTTTGGTCTGTCTTCAGTATATTTCTTTCTTTTAGAGGCATGGGAAGAAATGGCTGTCTAAGAACAAACCTGGGTGCTGAAGACCTTGTTTATTAGCCACTTCTCTCCCTACAAGTGACTGGCAATCCATTTTAACTAAACTCAGGATTCTGAGATGCTCTGAATGCCCTCTCTGATGTTTTTACAGTTTAGGGCAGAAGAGGGTCAGTTTCCCAGGCCAATCTCCTATCTCAAGGCTATGGCTATGTCTGAAAAGTTTTCAAAGGCAAATGAAGAAGTGACAAGGGTTACACAATGGTCTTCTGGAGTAAAACAAGATTTCATGCTGGTCATGGGAAACGCCTTCCTGCTGCTTGTGGGGTTCTGGTGTAGCAGATCATGATGAAATGGAACAGAGGTCAATGAAAGGGGAAGACTGTAGACCTTGACAGCTCCCGTTCATGGAGATCTTATATGAGGCAGTCCCCTTTTGTGTATTAACCTCCTGAAAAGCCACCATTTTATAGGTGAACAAACTGAAGCTTAGAGATGAAAGGTAAGGTAACTTAGCCAAGGTCGAACTACTAAGTGACAAAGCCAGGATCCAAACTCAAGCCTTTTTTTTCAAAGCCTATTCCTTAGCCACTGGAAATACTTCCGCCCAATACTATTCCCTGTGAATTCATTACAGGGCTTGCAGACATTCTCTGTATGGAGGTGGGTAAACCATGGCCAATGCTAAATCCAGATTATTTTTTATGGCCCAAGAGCTAGGAATGAATTTTCCATTTTTAAATTAAAAAAAAAAAAAAAAAAGAAGAGGAAGATTTGATGCCACAAAAATTATATAAAATTCAAATTTCAGAGTCCATAAAGCTTTGCAGAAACATAACCATGCTATTCATTTACATTTTGCCTAAGGCTGCTTTCATACTACACGGGCAAAGCTGAGTATTGGCATAGCCTGAAATGTTTACTATCTGGCCCTTAGGACCAGGGTTTGGGAAGTGTGGGAAGAGTTCAGTGACTGGGATAATCTAAAATGTATCAGGCCAGGTACAGTGGTTCATGCCTATAATCCCGACACTTTGAAAACCTGAAGTGGAAGGATCCCTTGAGGCAAGGAGCTCGAGACCAGCCTAGGCAACATAGGGAGACCCGTCTCTAAGATAAGATAAAAATAATTTAGCTGGGCATGGTGGCACGTGCCTGTAGTGTCAGTTAGGAGGCTGCAGAGAGCCACGATCATGCCACTACATTCCAGACTAGGTGACAGAGTGAGATCTTGTCTATATAAAAAAAGAATAAATTAAATTAATCAAACATCCTTACTTGCCAGTCACCACACTTGTTCACATACACTAGCTCACTCATCACTGGAGCTCTGTAAGGAATGAGTCCTGTTGTGAGATGAAGGAACTCAG